AAAAAAAAAAAAAAAAAAAGGACAAATCATGTACAAAGCCTCTCTTGCGCCAACGCATTTTTTGTGCTGTACCTCAATCCAATAAAGCACAGCAGTAGCAGAAGAAACCCTTTCAAATTACACACACATAATTGTGTCCAGAAACCGTACGCCGTCCGTGATTACGAAGGAGACTATGACCACGACGCTATGGAGGAACGCGCATAAACCCAACTTTCAGTAAAAAAACAAAGCAAGCACGAGCACACGCTCTGGTGTCTGTCTAGAAAAAGAAAAAGAAAAAAAATGCAATTCTCGCTCTCGCACTCACACATCATACGGCCTTGCGCAGGCGCGCGCCGGCCCACAGGACGGGCGCGAGGTGCTTGGGCAGGTTCGCGCCGAAGAGGCTGACGAACCAGAGGATGGTGAAGACGGCGACGGGCGCGAGGAGCAGCTCCGTGTGGTGCAGGAAGGGCAGCGCGTTGTAGCCCAGGAAGGTTATCACGGTGTAGTAGCCGAAGGCGAGGAGGTAAAGCGAATTTCCGATTAGCGAGGAGAGCCTGGAAGGGGAGAGGGGGGGTTAGCGGACGGCACGGTGGAAGCGCACGGAGGGGAGCGCTAGCTAGCTAGCTCTCGAGGACTCACCAGTAGTCGCGCGCGATCAGCGGCATGAGGACGAACTGGACGACGTAGAGGAAGACCCAGACGGGGAAGAAGGCGCGGATGGCGACGTCGAAGCAGTAGCCGAACTCGAGCTGCTCGCCGTCGCCGGGGGCCATGAAGAGGCCGTGGCGGCGGCGGCCAGGCAGGCCCGCGACGCCGGGCCCTAGCAGGCGGCCGACGAGGAAGTATGCGCTTGTTGCGAGCAGCAGCGACAGGGCGACAAAGTGCACGAAGACGAAGACCAGCGTGATGCGCAGCGTCTTGGCGAAGCCGTCGGCGTACGCCAGCCCCCAGGCCAGCGACGTCAGGATCAGGAAGAAGGACAGCAGGTACGTAAAGGCGGGATCCGGCCGGTGCCAGGTGTTTTTGGTCTCTGTAGCGGCGGGCGTCAGCTTGCTCAGCTTGCGGCGGGCAGCGGCAGCAGCAGCAGCAGCAACAGCAGTAGCGGCGGCGACGGCGGCAGCAGCGCGCGCGTGTGGGTGAGGCGCTCACGCTTCTGCGACATGGGTTAGCTACATTGCGCGGGGCAGCGATGCGTGTGTGGTGGGTGTGCGTACATGGTAGTAGATTGATCGGAAGACCTTCTTGGGAGCTATGATCAGGCTCATCATCTCCCACACGGCCGTCTCAAAGTCCATCTGCGGGAACTTGAACAGGCGCTTGAAGAAGCGCGGCATCTTGAGGCCTTGGCGACGATTGCTGGGGGCCAGGCCGCCGAAGTTGTTCGAGGGCCCACCATGACGCGGGAGGGAGATCTGGGGATTCATGTTGTCTGTTGTCGCGGGGACGAGGGCGGCGGCGTGGAGGGGAGGGGAGGGTTTTAGTTATTGGTGGGAGAAAAGTAAGTGGAGGATTGAGAGTAAGTGGTTGAGAGAGAGTGAGATGGTTAGATGCCCAGCTCAATGCGCGCCAAGGAAGCAAAGGCGTCATTGCGCAAAGAGAGATTGCTCCGCTTTCGTGGCCGTCGCCCACATCCGCCCACAGCACCCACCACGCACGACACTTCACTCGAGGCTTCCTAGAGCCTTGACACGTCTGCGAGCGCCGTGCATTCCCCCTGTGCCACCTGCTGCTGCATCCTTACTTCCCAAGTTACGACGACGACTACTACTACCATCACCATCTCTCTCTTCCTCTCTCTGCAACTTTTCGCTGCTGCTGACCTCCGGCGGCGCAAACTCCAGCCATGGCTGACATGACGCCCGAAATGGCCTTTCTGCAGTCGCTGCAGGCCGGCGGTTCCAACGAGTACGACCCGGCCGCGACGGCGCCTGCTCAAGACGACGACGAGGACGACGATTACGACCCTTCCAGTCTGATGCCCGACACGATGACGCCGACGACATACGACCCCGCTGCCCCCTCGTCCAACGCGCCCTCGCGCACCGCCTCGGCCGCCCCCGACGCCAACTCCACCAACAAGCCCGCGGCCACCAAGCCTCCACGAACTATGGGTGGGTTTGTCGTCGATGATGAGGACGACGAGGAGGAGACGACTGCTGCTCCCGTCGCGAAAGCTGGTACTACAGGTGGCTTGAGTGGAGCACCGGTTTCTTCGCATACGCCAGAGCGTTCTGTTTCTCAGACTCCAGTCAATGCACTTGCTTCATCAGATGTACCAATACAAAAAGCTGCACAAGATCAGGGTGTTTCAGGTGTTTCCAATGGCGCTTCCGGCGCTGCTGCTCCCGTTCCTGCTGATTCGTCTGCTTCCGTCAATCAACCTCCTCCCCAGTCCCAGCAGCCGCCTGCGCCTAACGGCACCGCCGCTAAGCCGGCGACCAAGACGCGCCTGCCGCAAGACCGCGTCGGCATCTTTGAAGACAGAATCGCCGAGGATCCCAGAGGTGACATGGACGCCTGGTTGAGCTTGATCAGCGAGTACAGGCGGAGAGACAAGCTGGACGAGGCCCGCGCCGTCTATGCTCGTTTCTTCAAGGTCTTCCCATCCGCAGTAAGTTCTTTGTGAGCTCCGCGGTCCGGAGACGCTACTAACAAGACGCCAGGCCGAACAATGGGTCGCGTATGCCAACATGGAGCTGGAAGCTAACAACCTCTACGCCGTTGAGCGCATCTTTGAACAATCCCTTCTGCAGCTGCCCAACGTCCAGCTTTGGTCCACTTACCTGACGTACATTCGTCGCCGCAACAATCTCACCAATGACCCGTCAGGAGCTGCTAGACAGACGGTTTCCATGGCCTATGACTTTGTCCTCCAGAACGTCGGAATGGACAAGGACGCTGGGCAGCTCTGGCAGGATTATGTCGATTTCGTCCGCTCCGGCCCTGGCATGGTGGGAGGCAACACTTGGCAGGACCAGCAGAAGATGGATTTGTTGCGCAAGGCTTACCAGAAGGCGATTTGCATTCCGAACGAGGCGGTCACTGCCCTTTGGAAGCAGTATGACTCATTTGAGATGAGCCTCAACAAAGTCACCGTAAGTGATTTATAGCTAACTTGTCTCTTCTAAATTAGGCTAACTAGTTGCAAAGGGCCGGAGGTTCCTTCAAGAAAAGTCGCCCGCGTATATGACAGCCCGTAGCTCTATCATTGCTTTGGAGAACATCACCAAGGACCTCAGGAGGACAACCCTGCCCCAACTACCGCCAGCTCTCGGCTTTGAGGGAGACGTGGAATACGTGAAGCAAGTCGACATCTGGAAAAAGTGGATTGCCTGGGAAAAGGAGGACCCTCTTGTGCTCAAGGACGAGGACATCTCGGCCTACAAGGCCAGAGTCATCTACGTCTACAGACAGGCGCTCATGGCATTGCGATTCTGGCCAGAAATGTGGTTTGACGCTGCTGGATTCTGCTTCCAGAACGATAAAGAGACGGAAGGCAATGACTTTTTGGCCAAAGGCTGTGAAGCCAATCCCGAGAGCTGCCTCTTGGCTTTCAAGCGTGCAGACAGGATCGAGCAGATGACTGCTACCGAGGAGGGCGAGGAGAGCATCATCCGGCGTGGAGAAGCTGTCCGCGAACCTTACCAAAAGGCCTTGGACGCTTTGTACGCCCTCATTCAGAAGACAAAGGCTCGCGAGACTACCACCATTGAACGAATCAAGGAGAATTTTGCTCAGCAGAACCCAGAGTCGGAAGAGGAAAAGTCGGACGAGGAGGACGATGAGGAGGAGGGTAACGACGCTAATAAGGCCAAGGAAGCCGCTCTTCGTGCTCAGATCGATGCGATTCAAAAGGGCAACGCCGCGCAGATCAAGCTGCTCTCCAGGACCGTGTCCTTTGCTTGGATTGCGTTGATCAGAGCCATGCGTCGGATACAAGGCAAGGGCAGGCCTGGCGAGAGGATAGGTGGTTTCCGTCAAGTCTTTGCCGACGCCCGCAAGGCAGGCCGTATCACGAGCGACGTGTATGTCGCCAGCGCTCTCATTGAACATCACTGTTACAACGACCCCGCGGCCACGAAGATTCTGGAGCGTGGCATGAAACTGTTCCCCGAAGACGAGGAGTTTGCGCTGGAGTATCTCAAGCACCTTATCGCGAAGAACGACATCACCAACGCGCGCGCTGTCTTCAAGACTACTGTGAACCGATTGGCGCAGAAGCCCGAGACCCTGTCCAAGGCGAAGCCGATTTACGCCTTCTTCCACGAGTATGAGTCGCATTACGGCGAGCTGAGCCAGATTACGGAGCTCGAGAAGCGCATCGCGGAGCTCTTCCCCGAGGACCCCCAGCTGTCGCATTTCGCGCGGCGCCACTCGAAACCGTCCTTTGACCCGACCTCGATCCGGCCCATCATCTCGCCTCTTACGCAAGCGCGCCCCAAGCCGCCTCCAGGCCTGGAGCCGCCTCCGCAAGCGGCAGCGCCACCCCCGCCGGTGCCGGCGCCGCAGCCAGTGGTCGCGCCCGCGCCTGTCGTGCCGCAATCCATGCCGACGGACTCGCCGCGCCCGTTGCCCGCGCAGATCGCGGCAGTGCGCGACTCGCCGAAGCGGCCGTACCCCGACGACTCGGACACGGACACGGCGGCGGCGCCGCGCAAGATTGCGCGCGGCGAGTCGCCCCTCAAGGGCGCGGCGGGTCGGCGCCTTGCGGCTGCGACGCGCAATGTGCGCGAGGGCGCGGGCGGCGGAATGGGCCTCGGTGCTGGGGGGCAGCCGCCGGCGCCGCTTCCTCGCGACGTCACGTTCTTGCTGAGCATTATCCCGCGCGCGGACACGTACAACTCGGTGCGGTTTATTCCCGAGCGCATTGTCGATGTGCTGCGGAATGTGCAGTTGCCGGGCTCGTGGCCGCCGCCGACTCGGCAGGTTCCGCTGGGGTATGGGGGCGGGGGGATGGGTATGGGTGGAGTTGGTGAGTAGCTACCTAGTTCTTCTCGTTGTGTTTGATGGGTCTTTGGAGATGATGTGCTGACTTTGTGATGGCAGGTGGGGCGCCTTATTACCGCTAGACATGCGTGGATTGTCGCGTTAGGGGGCTCTCTCTCCCTTTCTCCCTCTCTCTCTCTCTCTCTTGACTGACGTAGACCGAGTTTGATCGGGTGGGCGAGCGCTGCTGGCGCGGCATCGACGGACACGGGGTTCTTGGCGCACGAGGATGACGGATGACGGATGACGGCGCGGAGGCGCTCTCTAGGTCTTTCGGGCCTGGGTTGGGGTCAAAAGAAAAAGAAAAGATAGGTATGACGGTGCTTTCGGGGCAGACGCGCGGACAGCCGGTCGGGTTTGGATTGGAAAGAAGCGCGGAAATGGCCGGATGGGCAGTAGGTATGCAGACACACGGCGGTAATGAGATGACGGTCACGGCACGGCACGGCACGGCTGCGAGGGAGAAGGAGAGCGTAGGTAGTGTGGGTTGGGTGGGCGAGAGGAACGCGGGAGCGAGCTGGCGGGCGGGTCTGCCAACCTAAAGACTACCTGTTACTGCAGCTTATTGTCTGGTTCCCTTGCCGCCTCCTCCCCTCCCTCCCTCCCTCTCCCTCTCCCTCTCCCTCTCCTTTCCCCTTTCCATTTTCCTCATTTTTGCCTTCAACTTCTTCTCTTTTTCTTTTACTTTTTCTTTTCTTCCGTTTTTTTCTTTTTCGTTTTAAAGCACGGACGGACGGGTTTCGGTGGTTGGTTGGGCGGACGGGAGGCTCATGTGTAAAGTAAAAACTGCTGCTGCTGCTGCTTGCTGGGTTCTAGGGGTGATCTGATACGGGGTTCGTAGATAGGATGGATGGTGGGTGGGGGAGGGGGTGATTGAGAGGGATGGGATGGGTGGGATGGGGTGGAGGATGCATGGAATCTTTACTCTCTCTCTCTCTTTCTCGCTCTAGTGTGTGTGTGTGTGTGTGTATAATTGCGTCCCGCAGTTGAGGCGTCAAGGGCACGTTTATGTGTACAATAGGTATGTCGGCTCGCAGACCAGTCCTCCGCATCGCACCGCACCGCACCCAGCAAGGCCCACCCCAACCCAACCCCAATCCAGCATCACCATCTTCATCATCATCAAGCACGCGCTGTAGCTCTCTCTCGCTCTCTTTCTCTCTCTCTCGCATCGCTCACCCCCTCCCCCCTCCACTCCCCCCAACTCCCCTCAAATAATCAAGTCCCACAGCACGACAGTCGAGCACAGGGCGCACGTGGCGTAGAAGACGAGCTGCGCGGCGCTGCGCCGGTCGACGGCCTTTTTCAGCTGCTTGTTGCCGCTGCCGACGTTCTCGGTCGTGAGCTCCGAGTCCTGCACCAGCTGGTCGATCTGCGCGGCTTGCTCGAAGAGGTTCGTCGCGAGTGTGTTTTGTAGCTCGGAGATCTCGAGGAGGGAGCGTTCGGTGGAGCTGTGCGTGGTGGGGGGGGTGGGCGTTAGTGAGGGTTGTTGTTGTTGTGGGGGTGGTGGATTGTATTGGATTGGAGGTTGGAGGTTGGTTGGACTTACCGCACTTTGTCCAGCGTGTCTTCGTAGTGCTTGAGCATGTCCTGGTTCTCCTCTGCGAACAGCTGCAGCTGCTCCTGGCTCAGCTGCTGCTCGACAGGCAGGCCGCTGTCATCGAGAGCGGCGGCACGCGAGGGCGCCGCGCCGCGACTTGCCTCGTCCGGCGCCATGGGCGGCATGATGGGCCCGCCGCGCGCCTTGTACAGCACGCTCTTGCTCTTCTCGCGCTCGCGCTCCAGCCGTATCTCCATCATCGAGGCCTGCGCGCCGCTGCACTGCTCCAGCTCCCGCCCCAGGAACCACACCACGCTGTCCCGGTGCAGCTTGACCGTGTTTTGGCGCGCTTCCTCGAGCTCTTCCTCGGGGCTCTTGGCCGTGATGGCCCCGCCTGCTGCCCATCGTCCTAGTGCGCCGAGGCCTTGTTGCGCGCGCTTGCGCAGCGCGATGGTCGCTTCGGCTGATTGCCGTACCTTTTCGGCGTCGCTGAGGTTTTTGATTGCGGATGTCAGCTCGCGCAGCAGTTGCTTGGTTTCGGCGTCGATTTGCTCGCGCTGCGTGTCCGTCAGGTGTTTGCGGTCTTTGTCGGTGCGGGGCAGCGATGACGACGAGTCCGTCCGCGAGAGGTGCTGCTGCTGCTGTTTCCGCCGCGGCGGCTGCGCGGTCGAGAGGTAGGATTGGCGGATGGAGCGGAGGTAGCCGTGCAGCTCGGCAATGTGTCTATGCTGTGCGTAGAGGGAGAGCGGTTAGACGGGGATGATTTGGTGGTGGTTTGGAGGCGCCGGGCTGGTCTGGCTGTTAGCTCACAATTCGGTAGGCCTCCTTCAGGAAGGCCTCGACGTTGTCGGCGTCGGGCTCCGGGGCGCGCGCCGCTGCCGCCAGGGGCGCGACATTGTGTCGCTGCAGGGCGGCGTTGAAGAGGGTGCTGAGATCCATAGCTAGCTTGTGTGCGTGCCGTGTGACGACTTGCCCCCGGACGGACCTCAGACAGCTTGTCGGAAATAAGCCGCGCCTTGGCTTCGCTTATGCCCGGCGCCAGATGTGCGCGTTGCGTGTAGCGCCAAAAGCTTGATGCGACGTCCCTTCGTGTCGCTTTTTTGTTTGTTAGGTACTGCTGCTGGGCTGAAGAGCGTGCGTACATCTACGCCGGGGATTTATCAATGGCTGGTTCACGAACACGGTTGCCAGGGCAGGCCTGTCGTTTCTCTGTCTCTTCGCCGGATGGGCAACAATGAGTCTGCCCGCGCTCTACGCTTGCAAGTGCGAGAGACAGTAGTCACTGCAATGCTTTGGGGTTTAGTAGACTTGTGAAAGACCTGTCTCGTAGTACCTAATTTACGAAACGAACACGCTCCCAACTGACTACCAGAACCACTGATGCGATCTCGTGCGCTGGTGCGTTAGCCACTGCCACATTCCGTAGTGCAGGCGTCAGTCCCTGAGACGTGGCTGCTGCTGCTGCTGCTGATGATGATGGTGGGCGATGGTGACTTCCTCTTTCAAAGATTTCCCGTTTTGGTGATGATCGTCGTCACTGCTGCCGTCGCGACTGCTGCTTCTGTTTTGAAGCCCAGCGTCGCTCCTCCAACCTAGTCTATAAAACCTTCCTCCTCTTCAACCCTTCCCTTCCTCCTCCACCTTCTTCCACCTTGCTCTCTCTCTTTTCTCTCGAACACACTCTTGCAACAGCACCAAAGCCTCTCTTCAACGCCGTCTCATCCACGAATCCTCCGCACGTAGCCGTTCAAGTCACGCTGTCTCGGTAAGTTGCATCCGCCTGCATGAGCATCAAGCCCTCTTGTCCGACACGATCCTTGCCTCTTTCCCCACTGTCTCGAGCCTGCGGCTTCACTCGGACGGCTTGCCTCGTTACGCGGTCCATCAGATCTGCTTTGCCACATCTTGGACCCGTAACATAGCAGTCGCGTCTGAGCTGGCTTCAGTTTCACTGCTCACCATCATCACCTTTCAACAACCTTCATCATCCTTTTCCTTTCGACCACCATCACCACCTCACATTCGCCTTGACTGCAAGTCTGGCTTCCCCTCAATTTGGTCCGGGATGGGTTGACAGCAACATACTGACGTCTTGTTTCCTGCAGGTTGCCGCCCGTACTCGCGCGCTTCCGTCTCTAGCGCTTCGTATCGACCCGCGTCTGCTGCGCATCGTGCGACCTATTCCCTTACCGTACAACCGTTAGATCTACGACACCATGGCCGGTGCTGGTAAGCGTCGTGCTAAGGCCGAGGACCCCTCGTCTTCCGGCGAGCCCTCTGCGGAGCGTCAGAGCCCGCCCTCTGGTCAGCAGGTGCAGGAGTCCGCTGAGCAGTCGTCTGCGCCTCGTTCGACTCCGCAGTCTCTGCCTAGGTTCGATGGCAACCGTGACCCTCAGGAGGCCGCCACTTTGAGTGTCGATATCCGTGGCCAGGGCGACTTGATGGGAATTGCTGGCTATTATGCCGCTCGTGGTGTAAGTCCAGACCTATCCTTCACACATGTCCGCCCCATGTTATTGTTCTTGCTATTGTACCATGCCCCATGCCCATTGACCTTAGCCTTCTCTTGCTCATACCCCTTTCCCCTTGGCCTTGGCCTTCTCTTTCCTATGCCCCTTGCTCCTTGACCTTGCCCCTCGACCTTGCCACTTGACTCAAGCCTTCTCTTTCCCATGCCCTACCCCACCGCTCGTTTGGTTGTTCAAGGCATCGCGCACTTTCACGAAGCAAACGAACCAAGCCCTACTTCAAACGCGCCCTCCGGTGCCGGCCCCGCTGGTACCCGGGTAGCCGCTTGCAGCCGGATTGGGGTTTGTATAAAGCCTCCAGTCTTCGACCTTCCTCCTCCTCCTCCTCCTCTTCCTCTTTCAATTTCAACCCCGACACCACCGAACATCTCAAACACACCCAGCCTTTGCATCAGCATCTCATATTCCTCATATCTCTTATTCCCCCTCAACACATTCTACTATCACCTCCTTCGTCACAGCGGCAATGGCGAGTCGCAACTTTGAGATCAAGACTGACTCTGCGCAGCTGGATATCCCGGCCGACATGCCTAAGCGTCCTGCGAAGCTCAACACCCAGGGCCGTGAGGTGGTCATCGGGCTCAACACATTCAATGTGGTTGCTATCCCGTCTAAGCCGATCTACCAGTACGATGTAAGTACCACCTTCACCTACTCAATCAAAGCTCATCATGCCGAACAATTTACTGACTCGGTCATTTTAAGGTCATCATCGGCAGTGGCAGCGAGAAGCGTGGCCTCATCAAGGCTGTCTGGAACAGCAAGACTCTGCAGAACCAGCTTGGACAGAACTGGATCTTCGATGGCAACAAGATTGCCTGGTGAGTCCCACCTCAATCTCAACTTGACTTTCGGGGTTTTTGCTAACAACTTCTGTTTGATAGGTCCCTCGACAAGAAGGGCCAGAAGACCATCAACATTGACCTCGATGTCGAGCGTGGCCGTCAGGTCCGTCCTGACCGTAGGGGTCGCAACTCTCATCGTGTCGTCATCCGCGAAACCAAGACTGTGAACTTCACTCTCTTGAACTCCTACCTCGCGCGTCAGGCGGACCACACCAACGAGGTTACCGAGGCTCTCATCTTTTTGGATCACCTCATGCGCGAGACACCCACTCGCAAGTTCACACAGATCAAAAAGAGCTTCTTCGCTCGTGGCCAGACGCGCGTGGACCTCGGCTTTGGCATTGAGGCCTTCAAGGGCGTCTTCTCATCCATGCGCATCGTCAACGGACCTGCCAACAAGCCCGGATTGTCGGTCAACGTTGACGTCGCGAACGGTACCTTCTGGGCTGCGGACAAATTGCACAAGGCTGTCATCAACATCTTGGGCTTGCAGCCTAATATTTTCCTCAACCAGTTCAGGTTGATTCTGCAGAAGGGAAACTGGGACAAGTCTCCGATGAAGGCCAACCTCAAGCGCCTCAGCAAGCTCGGCATCAAGGTCAAGCATCGTGGAATTGACAAGGAAACCGGACGCCACCCTGAGTACATCATTGAGAAGGTTATCCCTCGTACCGCTGAGGAGTACAAGATCGAGCTCCTCGATCGCGATGACGCGGGCAACATCACCAAGCGCACTTGGTCCACGATCGCCGAGTACTTCCTTGTGAAACACGAGATCCCGCTTATGAAAGGCCTCCCTCTTGTGAAGATGACCAAGAAGGACATTATCCTACCGATGGAAGTTTGCGAGATCCTCCAGAACCAGCGCTACCCGTTCAAGCTCAACGAGAAGCAGACTGCGGCCATGATCAGGTTTGCGGTCACGCCTCCCAGCGATCGGATGGAGAGCATCAAGCATGGCCTTGGTATGCTCGACTGGAAGAGCGACACTGTGCTGCAGATGTACGGACTGAAGATCGATCCCGCTCTGGTCAAGGTGAAGGCTCGCCAGCTGCAGCCTCCGACTGTCCAGTTTGCCGGCAATGGCCCGCACGTCCAGCCTGGTGAGTCTGGTAGGGGACGTTGGCAGCTCATTGGCAAGAAGTTTGTCGGCAAAAATACGGCGCCGCTCAAGTCCTGGGGCTTCTGCATCATCCCGGCGTCGAGGGGTGGTCCTAACGATGCTGATCTGAACACGACCAGGCGTTTCGCCGCGAAGTTTGCCGAAGTCTACGCTAGGCACGGCGGCCAAGTCCTGACCAAGGATCCCATTGCTCTCTTCTACAACGTGCAGAGGGATGAGATGCTTCAGGAAGCCTGGAACAAGGTCGGCAACACCTACCAGCAGCGTCCGCAGATCATATTCTTTGTCGTGCCCGACAGGAACAGCGAGACTTACAACAAGATCAAGAAGGGTTGCGAGTGCCGCTACGGCGTCGTTTCCCAGTTTGTCCAGATGGCTCACGTCGTCAAGTGCCAGGACCAGTACATTTCCAACGTGTGCATGAAGGTCAACGCCAAGCTGGGTGGCTTCACTTCTCGGGCTGTCGGCAACCTGCTGAAGATCGCTCCTCAGAGCGCCAAGATCCCGACCATGTGCATTGGCGCTGATGTTTCGCACCCATCTCCTGGTTCGCCCAAGGACGGCTCGATCGGTTCCTTTGCTGCCATCACCATGTCCCTCGACACGACTCTCACCCGCTACGCCGCTCAGTGCGAGACTAACGGCTTCCGCGTTGAGATGATCACGACTGCCAACATCACGAATCTTTTGGGTAAGATGGTCACCCACTGGTCGTCTACTATTGGCCGTGGTCAGCTTCCTGACCGTGTCCTGTTCTTCCGCGACGGTGTCTCGGAGGCCCAGTATCAGCATGTGATCGAACAGGAGGTTCGCGATATCAAGGCTCTCTTCAAGTCCATCAGCCCCAAGTCGAACACGAAGTTTGTGGTCGTTGTCGCCTCCAAGCGCCACCATGTGCGCTTCTTCCCCGACCGTAATGCGGGCGACCGCAACGGCAACCCCAACCCTGGTACCCTTGTGGAGACTGGTGTCACGCACCCTTTCCAGTTCGACTTCTACCTGAACGCGCACTCAGCCATCAAGGGAACTGCTCGTCCAGTGCATTACACCGTCATCTTGAACGAGGCGGGAATGCCTCCTGATGAGCTTCAGCAGATGATCTTCGAGCACAGCTTCCAGTACATCCGCTCAACCACTCCGGTCTCTATCTTCCCGGCGGTCTACTATGCTCACCTTGCCTCTCAGCGTGCTCGTGGTCACGCCAACCCTCCGGAGGCTTCTTCTGGAAAGAAGCAGACTGAAGAGAAGAAGGACACTGCTACTTCGATTTCTGAGAAGACTCCTACGGAGGTTCAGCCTCTGGCTCCCATGAACCCCAGCTTGGGCATTGACTTCGCCATGTGGTACATCTAAGCTGCTTTCTCTGCAGTCCTTCCCGGTGTGGCACTCTGCTTGGCGACTTCAAGCTTGGGTGGATGATTGACTGGTATTCTGGCGATTTCCTGGTTGGAGGAATCCGGCGATACCCTTATGACTTTGCTAACTCTTACGGTTTGCTAACCCCTCATGATTTTGCTAACTCTCATGATTTTGCTCTCCTTCAGGACTTTGCTTTCCCTTCACAAAAAAAAAAAAAAAAAAAAAAAAAAAAAAAAAAGTGGCGGCTTCATCCTTCGGGGGTTCCACTAAATTGCATGATGATCATCGGGTCTTGCTTAAAACCACAGGTAGTTAGTTCAGTTCGAGATGCAATAGTCCTCGAAAAACATGGCTCCCTTTGTGCTTGTGACTGCTGGGTTTGGAGGCTCACTGGCTGAAGACTGAAAAGCGAGCTGGTACTTGCGAAGGGCTTGCTATCTATGGAAAGTCCAGTCAAGTCTAAAAACTTACTGATGATTTAAAACAGTACAACACTCCCACGGGTTCAACAACACAGGTCCGCAGTGTCGGAGGCAGTAAGGTATGAGCCTCACATGGAAAACCCCAAGATTGAGCGACAGTGCGGTATGTATCAGCGCAAAACGACATATCAACAAACTCAAAACCACGGCTCTGAAACCAGCCAGACAGACAGACAGACAGACAGCCAGGCAAGCAGATAAGCCCGACCCCAAACAGCAAGAAGAGAAAGCAAGCCACTTGCCAAATTAAAGCGCCAGCAGAAGCAGAAAAGAAAAACAGGCAGAGCCGACCTCTCGCGGCCCCTATAGAGGTTAGAAAGAGAAAAGGCTGAAGGGAACGGTGTAAGAGTAAGGCTTTTGGGGCGGGGAGAGCGAGAGGGAGAGAGAGAAGGATGTCTTTTGGTGGGTATGTGCGTGGTGGATTATGGTGGTGTAGGTTGTTGGTGGTGGTCGTTGGAGGGAGGGAGGGAGGGAGGTGTTTGCTTTGACCTGCTGGGGGGTGTGAGGTGCGGTGGGTGGGTTCTGTGGGCTTTGCTGTGGGGCTGTGGGGAGGAGGAGGAGGAGGAGGAGGAGGCGGCAGTGGAAGGGTTAATTCTGCGCACTAGGTAGGTAGGTAGGTAGGTAGGACTCGTTCTTCTAGACCCCGAGCCGCTAACCAGTGCTTTGCTGCTGGTTGGTGCTCTGCGGCCTTCTTGGATTCTTGGGTGCCCTGTATAGAGAAGCTTGCGCAGCTCGCGCTCGCGGCTGTCCTAGGTTGCTCTTCGTTCTTGAAGCTGCTTTGCCGGAAGCTTCTTCACTTGCTGCTGCTGCAATCAACTCCTAGGTCGCTTCGACATCGCCACTGTAGGTCGCCACCACGCTGGGAGTAGTCGTACGGAGATTTTAAGGTATATGAGGGGGAAGGCGCAGGAGGACCCAGAAACGAAAACGCGATTATTCAGAACTCGACGACACTTTGGCCGGCAATGATCGTGTACACGACCTATATTTCCCAACATCGCCTGGACCCCTCACAAAAAGTCGAGGAGCTTGCGGAAGAGCTCGCGCGGGCGTAGGAGAGCGGGTATGTGGTCGAGACGCGATGCCCTTCGCCATTGGCAGTGGGAGCTGGTGCCCAAAGCCACTGATCCATAGGAAGACAAACAAAACACATTGAGGACGTGAAAGTTCAGCGCGCGACGTCCAAAGTTCAGCCTCCACGCTAGCCGAAACTAGAAGAAGCCTCCCCCCTCTATCAAACAGCCATTACACAGCCCGCCCAGCACGCACACCAATGCGTAGCAAAACAAGCGCAGCAGCCTCTCCCCTCCCTCCCAACGTCCATCGAACACCAGACTGGCGACAGTCCAAAGCCAAAGCCAAAGCCATCCCCATCCACACCACAAACCCAACACATCCCCCAGCCCACCAGCCGCTCGACGTCCGACGTCCAACGTTCGATCATCCCCCCCATCGCTCGCGCTAACTAGCCGCATCCAGCCCAACCTCGAACGTCGATCCGCCGGCACCATTTGGTTGCCAATTTGCTGCTCCAAGACTTTTTGGTTTTGGGCGGCGCGGGGCCGGGCTGCGCTCCTACTCCACCGGCACCCCTAGGAGCACCCTGCACCGTGCGGCGTGCGCGCTGCGCTGCGCTGCGCTAAGTACCATCACGGTGGGCGTTCAAGCTGCTAGACGTTCGACGTTGGACATTAGGAGGTTCCGCACTAGTTAAATAAGGGGGAGCCTGGGCTGCGTGCTTTGGCATGCAACTTCGAACGTAGGTAGGCTCGACGGGCAGACAAAATGAAAAAATGCACGAGCAGCAGCGAGCAACGGATAGCGCGGGCTGCGAACATGTTCAGCTTGCCAGACGTCCGATGTTGGGCGTTTCGCCGCTAACCGCTTGCAGAAGCTTGCTTTGTGCGAGGAACCTTGGACGTCTGATGGATTTGGCAATGAGCAACGGGCTGCCTTTGCGCGGTTGGAATGAATGAACTTCTGCTGCACTTAGGTACGAAGTACTGCACCTTATTTGTGCACGCTCTTCTCTGCTGAGACATTAGTTGTCGTAAGCACACACGACAGACACCAGCAAACATCACACACAGACAGAGAAAGAAACCATCCATAATGTATCATATCCCACCCGCCAAACGCACCCAAGATGATTCACCCACCCATCCGTCCCTAAAAAGAAAGCAAGCAGGCAAGCAAGCAAGCAAGCAGCCGGACAGCCTTATTCGGACGCCCGCGTCCTCTCTACAAGCAAGCCCTCGCCTCTCACAACCTAGATACCAAACTTCGACTTCACGGCCCCCATGACAAAGCCCCGCTTCTGCTTCTGCACAAACTTCTGCACGTCGTTCGCCCATCCCGCGCTGTTGTTCTCCAGCCTCTCCATATTGTCGTCCATGATGCCCAGTCGCTCCGTGCGCTCGTTCATCTGCCGCTGCAGGTACGCCCAATAGCCCTCGTCCTGCTCGCCTGAGGAGCTGCCAGCTTGACCCTGGCCTGCCGGGTTTTTGGCTGCGCGCTCGGCGTCGTAGCGCTGGCGTTCCTCGGAGCGCTGCTGGTCGAGCATGCGCTTCGAGGGCGGGCGATCAGGACCACCGATCAGTAGGTCCAGATCAGAAGGCGTTATGTGCTGAGTGCCTGAGATCCACTGCAGATTTGAGATGGTGGGTCGCGGCGGGATCAACATGTTGGGGTTGTACAGCATGTCGAGGCTGCCGCGAGATACCATATCTTGTCCTGTACCCCATATATTGACCATCGCCATTTCTGCAGGACCATTCCAGCCCAGCAACAAGCCAGTTGAAGTGATGTTGGATTCGCCGAAGCGACGGGTATCAAAGACGTGGTCGATTTTCGTGGAGCCAATTTCCTTGAGCGCAGGAATGCTGTAGGCGCGGACATAGCCGTCACCGAATAATCCAAGCAGTGCGTACCCCGAGTCTTCAAACCTGGCTACCATTGCGCGGTCGCAGAGGAATTCGTCCCACGACTTGCTGGCACCCTTGTGGGTGGCTGGCTTGAAAATGCGAGCTCCAGTGAAGGTGACGACAACGAGAACTCCGTTAGTCTTGACGCCCTCACGCAAACCGGCAACCGCGCGTTGCGTGGCATAAGCGGGAGCGCAAGTCTCGACCTTTATAGGTGAAATGCTTATAATGCGATCGTCAAGGTGAACGGAGCCAACGAATTGCACCGTGTAGCGGCCACTGGGGTCTGGGAGGAGCTTGAAGGTAGCAAGATGTCCCAGGTTAGTACCCACATGGAGGAGGATGCTGGAATAATCTTCGTCCTCAAGCGTCATGACCTAGAACGTCTCTTAGTGAAAGACAACAAACAGAGGTAACTACACTTACGCTATACTCCATGCAGGTGGGGTACTCAAGCTTGGGACCACTTGCGTTGCTGCTTCTCCGGAAGCTACCGCGTTTGTCTTGTTTGATGAAGTCTTGCACATTTGCCTGGTAGATAATAGCAGGGCCCCTTAGGTCGATGATTGCGAGGCTGCCACCTTCGAAGCCAGCAGCAACAAACCCAACATCCGAGAGCTTCAATGCTGAGACTGCGCCATTCTGCTCGTCTAGAAGGGTGAATGGCATGAGGCCTTCCGCCAGCGCAGGGTCCCTTCGAGGAGTTATGTCAGTCAAAACATGCGGTTTGTTACCTTCCGCTGGTGGAGGCTCGCTTCCAACTTTGGGATTGGTGCCCCAACGGAAAACGGCAACCTCGCCACTTCTGAAGCCAGCAGCAAGCTCGCCAGTGGCACCAGACAGTGACAGGTGGGCAACCTCGACTCCTTCAATCCTACCCACAGCTCGAGCGCAGTCGACTTGGAGAACAGATTCGTTTTCAATTTCATCTCCGTGGCCTGCATCCCATAGTCTGATGCTACCGTCTGCATGAGCCGTTTGGATGATGTTACGATGCTCGAAATGCTTCAATGGTAGTTTGCCCGCAGCACCGCCCTTCAGTATTGCTGGGCCGCGGGAGCGTTTTTCAACCATTCCGAGCCATCTGGTTCTGTCAACAGACGCAAGGCTAACGCGGTTGACGAAGGGGTGAACAAAAGTCATGGAAACATGAAGTTGGTTGGTTGGGGATATGGGCAGTCCGCTAGGGAAGCTCAGAGTGACAATTTCTCCGGAAGACAACAGAGCAAGTATGGCAATAGGATCGTGTGCGCCAGCATAATGGGGCGACGTCCGGGGTATCAAACAAAAATCAACGACTTCAGCATTGGGAGGTGTTGGCAGAATTCTCTGGCGTTTGGGGTTCTCGAAATGGTCGGACAGCACTTGCCAGGATGAGGTGTTGTAGATTGGAGTCCGTCCTAACTCGAATAACGTAAGACCCTTTGTTGGCATAGCGGTGGAACCGCCGCCAGCGACAAGTAGCGCCGTGTCATCAGGGTCCGATCCATTGGCACACCAGGCTATCCGGAAAATGGGTTCCTTGAGAGGAGCTGTGTCCGAGGCTTCGTCAAGAGTCTTGCTGCCGGCTCCGGGTTTATTGATGTTCGCGTCATGAAGCGTCCGAGCCATGACGATTCGGCCGTCCTTGGGATCCCATACAACAAGACTGTTGTCTTCATGGCCGGTTAAGATAAAAGTGCCAGTTGGATGCCAGACAGCGTGTGTCAGTCTAGGTCTCCGCGCAATGTTGATCGACGACGCATCAGAGTCTCCACCAGGGGCACCAGGTGGTACCTCATAGCGGAAGAACTTCTGCGCTTGGTTCTGCTTAAATGAGTATGTGACGGCACCCTCATTGTAACCAATCAAAAGTTTCCCGATGTCTCGGGGGTGCAGAGACAGCGTTACGACTGGTGAGTAGCGAGCTCGAGAGTCGAAGTCTTTCCAGAAGTAGGGCAGTCTAAAAGGAGCAAGTGCCTCGCGGTCCATGTCGTATGCCAAGACATCGCCTATGAATAGGTATCAGTATCCGGCGCCACCCTAGGCGCTGAAAGCGACTGACCGTTCTGCATTCCCAGCAATGCGTAATCCAGTGTGGGGTCTGTGTGCAGCGCAGTTACAGTACCCGGCGGCGAGTGTGACGCCAGCAGTGTCTTGGTCTCCAAAGAGAATATGGAAAGGTCATTTTTGGAATCAAGGCAGACAAGCTTATTGGCGCAAAATTGCAGTGTCTTTACGGACGGGCTGTCCTTGGCTGGAAGCTTGAAGACGACGCTGATGCGACCTTCGCCGAAGACGTGGATCTGGCCATGGCCGAATTGTGTATTGTTCGTTCCAACCGCGATTAAGGACTGAACTGGATCGTATGCGATCTGGGAAATCTGAGAGTTGATGCCGTAACGGTTGATCTGCGCAGATGTTAGTTAGTGCAACTTCGAGCGTGGAGGGTGGGCAGCGGCGCGGTACATGGTCGAGCAGGAACAGGTCTTGGGTAATGCCTGCGGAGAGGTCGTTCTGAATGCCCGTCTGCTTCCCTCGTAGCAGATGCGCCATGGCGGACTGCTACTGTGACTACTACTACTACTACTACAGTTGTGGGCGGTGGTCGGTGGACTTGCTGCGCGCAGGTGGGTGCGGGCGGCGGTGCTGCTGGCCTTGCGTCGTGGGGCTTGGAGCGGGAGCCTTGTCGGCGGATTCCATGGACCCTGGATAAGGCGGCAGTGGCACGTCATCTGCATCGGCCGATGCCCAACTCGGAAAGCACCCGACCATCAAGACAATGGATTTTAACGTCCGTCACTGTCAACCGAGATTCACAGTGAAGCGAGATGGTGATACTTATACCGAGTAGAAGAAGACACCCAGCTAAGATATGTAGAGTCTGTATATACTCTAAGGACTTTTTATCTATACCTAGGATTCGGGCTAGGAACTGAGCAAGAAGTACTCTGTAGGGGCTGCTCGTATCGTCCCCTGTCATGCTATACGGTGGATTTTGGTTCGCGATAACAGACGTTAATTCCTCTATTGAATGACTATTTTTAGTTCGTGACCCGTCGAATGGTATCCGTGTTCCATGCACATCTCGCAACGTCAATCCCTGCATGCGAGCACAGCCCTACATGCTCAACTCAAGCTACCAGAGGCCTATCCAAACGAGCCTCCGCAATGTCCACCTAGTTCACCATAACATCCGGGTTGTGTGCCGGCAACTGTTTGCTGCCGCCAGCCTCGTCCATCTCCATGTCGTCGTCACCGTTGGCCTCGCCCTCGATCTCCTCTTCGTCTTCTTCGTCATCGCTGCCGCTGCTTTCGGCTTCAAGGTCCTCGCTGCCGGCATCGGAGGCATCATCCTTGGGGCCAGCAGTATCGTCGGCACCTTCCATCTCGGCATCCTCTCCCTCAGCCTTGACGCCCTCCTCCTCCACCTCCTCATCGTCTTCACCTGCACCGTATGCGTCCTCGTCGTCGTTGGCCAGGTCAGCATCGGGCTGGTCTGGTGGGAATTCGGCCGGTGCGCTCTCCTCAGAATCCCTACCCCAAAAGTCAGAATTTTATGTTTGCTGCGCAAGACGGAGGTGACATACCACTTGATGGCGAAGCGCGTGACTCTTGGCTTCTCGGCGAGAATGTTGCGGCGCACCTTGTCGATGACAGGCTTCGCGGGCGGCTCGTTGATCAAGGCCTCGTCGGTGTACTCGTTGTTGACGTAGTATCCAACCCGCACGAATTCTCTCCCATCATAGCTACACGTGAGAAGGATGACAGTGACGCCAAGAATCTCGTTGTTCGGAATGCGAGTGAGGTTGGGCGGTCCGGCCTCGAAAACAAACTTGTTCACTCCGACCGGGATGGGGCCAACTAGAAGGGAGTCGAGTTCTTGGTCATGCTCAGAGCTGGGGTTGATGTCAGTGCGGAAGCGACATTGCGCAAACGACAGAGTCTTACGAAGTAGCAGAGCCGACGTAGGTAAGCTTCCACTCAAGATCTGCTGCTAGTCAGCGCATGCCAGAGGTCGCGTGGAAGGCATACAGTCATACCAGACTTCAGTTGCTCAACGCACTCGAAGGTGATCTCAAACTCGTATGGTGCGGTGAAGGGCGCCGGGTTGTTGAGCACGCTGACGTTTAGCAAAGAGACGACAGACATGTTGACGGTACTGGAGCTGTGCCCGAACAGTAGTTGGCAAAGGGTAGGCAGACGCTCGTAGCTGAATTTATTGCGGTCGTGGGTATCGTCAAGCAGGAGCGTGGGTTGAGGCTGGAGAAAGACAAGAGTGTGATTGTGCTGGTGTGTTTACACGAAGCGGGCTGGCTTGGATGGAAATGCACTTAATTGAATGGCCCGGGCGGGAAATCGCGTAGTCGCGTCGCGTGTCAGTGCAACGCGTAGTGACCTCCACCCCTCCAACTACATGCCTATCTGCCTTTCACCCCGCCTCCATCCCCTGTCAGACAAGAAACGTTGCTGTCAACCAAAAGCAAGCCACGTTTTGTTCCGTATGCGGTCTCTTTGACGCATGCAACTTAGCGGGATGCGATCCCTACTGCAAGAGAGAAAGCCTTGCAGCAAACTGACTACCCAGCGCGATGGTTCCAGCTCAAAGGCGGTCCGAGCAACAAAACAAAAACAAAGGCATCGTATCGCATGCCGGGCAGTGTTGGTATTGATGTTGGTACGGACAAACATCCAAAGCACTCCACTAATTCGGGTAGCCGCCGTGATGATCGGGTAGCAGCCGTAGGGATCGACGTTGGCAAGTCGCACTACTGCTACCTACAACACACAGGGGGGTTTATACTGTTATTTATAGGACTTGCATTCCGGAGGTTTCTGGTTTCCGGGACTTCCGAGAATGCCCCTTTACCCCCTGTCTCACGAGAGGCATCGTAGAGTATGGCGGCTACTGAGCCGATCTAAGAGACAAGTCCGGGGCGGCGGCGTTCGTTTGGCGCAGCTAATTGGCGTATTCGCGTGCAAGCTACCATGAGCGGGAACGCTTTGCGGCCCTTTTTGGTGGCGTAGTTAAGTATTATTATTGCCCAGCGACGAGTTCATTAATGTCAGAGGAGCCGAGAGAGCCGTTTGAGGTGGGAGGGTGGTAGTGTGTAATGGAGCCTAAGCACAGCCGCACGGCGCAGCAGCCACGGCGCAGGCGTCTTTGAATAGAACGAAATTGCCCATCACTTTCCGCAAAAGGGGCTTTGGATGGGCATCAAAGCAGGTCGCCACGTGCTGAGAGTGAGACATATGCACATCGCTGAGCAGGCAGGTGGGTGACATCGCCTTTACCCGCTTGGGCCTTGCCCGCGTTCGGCGCGCCGGAGAGTCAGGTCTTGTCTTGCCCGCGCCGGGCGTTGCCGCAGCTGACGTTGCTTTAATAAAGTGACGTGCACAGGATTATTGCTTGCCTCTCCCGCCGCAGTGACGAGGCGCATTTGTTCAGATTAACTATCGCACCCGCCTGCATCGCGCACCCTGCTCGTGCCGCCCTTCCGTCGCGCGTCGCCGTACGCCCTTGATCGCCCAGCAAGCGAAGGTAGGCCAGAACCCCAGAAAGCGTCATCCTTCTGGCCTTTTATGCATCCTTAATGCCTTCTCCACGCCGGCCGAGGCGCCGCACGGGCGACCAGAGCGCTGATACAAGGAGGCGCCGGCTGACAGCCTGCTTAGGCGCGAAGTGAGAAAATAGCCACCACCGAACCCCAGTTCCCGTCCCCATCACCGGCTGAGCCTCAGCATCAGCGGCTTTGTCACCCCTTCTGGCCTCAGCCGCAGCAAGCCATGAGTTACCAACAATACCCCCAGCATAACTACGGCCTTGGAGCCACCTTTGTTCCTGGCGGCACCGACGACTACTACATGCCCACCCCCGAGCTCGTCGCGCCCGCTCCTCAGCGCGTCATGCAAGAGGACGTTGACCAGATCCAGAACCAAGTCGCCCACATGGAGCTCGAAGCCAACGCTCGCCAGGGCTCGGTGCCCCCTCACCTCATGAACGGCTCAAGCGGATACCCCCAGAGAATGTCCAGCATGGTCAACCTCTCCGCGCAGCCCCACGATTACAGCCGTTTCTCAGACGGCACCCACGCCGACATGCCCAACTTCTCGCCTTTTCCGAAGATCCCCAACCTGCCGAATGTCCCACCATCCGACGAGTCCAAGGAACATATACTAGAGTCGGCGCGCGTTGGCGTACTCAACTCCAATGACCCGGAGATGCAGCTCGCTTGGGCGCAAGACGCGCTCTCGTACTGCGACGCCTCCAGCATGCACTTGGACCGTATATCGATTGGCAAGACGAGCCGGCCCACAACACCGGCTGTCGAGCACCAAGTTCGACTGGACGCGATGAACATAGTCTCGTTTCTTGCGGATCAGCATCATCCAAAGGCCGAATTTATGAGGGGTATGTGGCTGGAGTTTGGCAAGTTTGGAATGAGGATAGACAAGAAGGAGGCTTTCAGGTGCTACTCGAGAGCTGCGGACAGACAATATTACCGCGCGGAGTATAGGATTGGCATGCTTTTCGAGCAGTCGAACGACCCCGTGAAGGCACTAGTTCACTACCAGAAAGGCGCGGAGGCAGGAGATTCGGCCTCTAATTATGTAAGTCATACCGGACAATCATGCTTGGGATGATCGCGCTGACCGTGATATAGCGACTTGGCATGATGACTCTGCTCGGACAGAATGGCCAACCGCAAGATTTTTCAAGAGGCATCTATCTCATCAAGCAAGCGGCTCAGACAGCAGATGAGAACGCCCCACAGGGAGCCTATGTTTTGGGCATGCTGCAGGCGAGAGAGCTGCCGCAGATCAATGTTCCGGAACAGTACCTTCCTTACAACGAGAAGGAAGCAAAGGCAAACATTGAAAAGGCCGCCTTCCTCGGATTCGCCAAAGCCCAGCTCAAGATGGGTGCCGCTTATGAGCTGTGCACTCTCGGATGTGACTTTGATCCCGCTCTCTCTTTGCATTACAACGCCCTCGCAGCACGTCAAGCTGAACCCGAAGCGGACATGGCTATCAGCAAATGGTTCCTTTGTGGTTACGAAGGAGTTTTCCAGAAGAACGAGGAACTTGCCTACGTTTATGCCGAACGTGCCGCCGAGGCTGGTCTTGCTACGGCAGAGTTCGCCATGGGCTACTTCAATGAAATCGGCATCCACGTCCCTGTCAACACAGAAAAGGCCATGGAGTGGTACGACAAGGCTGCTGCCGATGGCAACGATGATGCCATTGGTAGAATTGAAGGTATCAAGAGGTCAAACACTTTGTCGAAGAAGGATCACGAGAAAATCGCCGTCAACCGCATCAGATCCTTGCATGGATCCAAGAGAGGTCAGAGACCCGACAGATTGTCCAGAAACAACCATCAACCAGCAATGCCTTCGGTGTCAGAGGTGACTCCTATGTCGCCTGGTTACGGCCCAGGTGCTGTTACATCTCCCTCCTCTGGCCGTCCTCCACGGAGCTCATCGGCCGCTCCCTATCCTCTTGAGGATAAGCCTCTAGTTGGCGCACCTATGGAACGTCCAAGTTCGGCGGCGCCATACCCAATGGACAACGGGCCTCCTATGCCGTTCGGCGGTCCTCCCGAGGCTCGCGCGGCTTCAGCCTTCAATATCCTCCCGTCCAACGTCCCCACAAGTCCCTCCAAAAGGACGTCACAGGGCCGTCCTTATTCTATTGAGAGTATGGGCCCTGCCGGCCGCGGCCACCCAATGGCTGGTCGCGGCGCTCCTGGCTATCGTCAACCTGGAGGTCCTAGCGTGGAGCGCCCCGAACGTATCTCCGTGTCATCTAGCTCAGGAGTCCCTCTGGCTGGCTACGGTGTCGGTTCGCCTGATGGTCGCGGCAAGTTGCAGAAGCCGGGACAAGCCGCTATGGGATCTCCTGTACCGGACATTGGATTTACTGCACCTGTGTTACCACGCGCAGACCCGAAGCTGCCACAAGGTTATGAACGCACCAGCACGATGGCGTCCCCGCCTCCTGGCTCTGGCGTCATGAGCCCGCGGCCCGGCACCTCTAGTGGCAGACCTGGCACTGCGGGTACTGCTGCTTCCTCGGGAAGCAGGCCCGGGAGCTCTGGTAGACCCACCGGCCCGCAGCACGCGGCGACGGCACCGCCATCTAAGTTGCAGCAAGCGCAAGCCCCAAGCTCTGGCCCAAGCACCCCCGCACCACAGGTCAAACCAGCAGCGACCACATCCGCAGTAAAGGGTCCCAAGACATTCGAAGAGATGGGTGTCCCGCAAATCAAGGAGAATTCGGACTGTGTAAGTGTCGACTCTTGCAAAATTCATTTAGTAGAGACTAACCGACCTATAGGTTGTAATGTAGATGAACCTGAAAGAGTTTACGCTGTGGTTGAACAACTTCAGCTTCGACACTCAAAAGAATGCGTGAACAGTTGTGCGAGGCGAGAGTTTGGACTGGGGAGAGGTGGGAGTGAAAAGAGGAATGATATCACGGCCGTTTGTTAATCACTCGTGTATCTGTTCGCTGCTAATACCTCTGTCAAGAGTGTATTGCGGTCCTCAGTTCGCTTGAGATTGACCTACCAGGAACTAGGCGCTCCTCGGGTGGGATGGCCGACAGAGGTTCTTGTTTTGATGCATAGCGTTGCGATTTCTAGTACCTGGGTGATTAGGTTCCTTGGTCCTTCCGTCTGTCGGAATCCTTCGACTACTTTAGTTTCTTCTTTCTATTCTTCTTCGCTGTTCTTTTCTTCCCCCTTACCTTTTTTAAACTTCGAACTTTTTGAGGGGGTACTTTTTATGGAGGGGGTGCTGTTTGCTTTCTTCAATACTGTTTCTGGAGACGTTCATACGCCGGACTTTTGTACAGGAATTCACCCTGTTTGCTTAACCGTCTCTATAGGAGTATTGATTATGTTGTGTTTGTTATACATTCGTCCTCAGTGGCTCCGAAGAACATAGGGTTATGCAACCAGGATGGCTTGGTTATGCCCACCAAGCTGGCGTACCCAAATTACTTTGAATGACATTATTTTGAGAGGGGTTTGAAGGGAGGTATCTCTACGGAATATACAAAATATCGCGCGGTTTGGTACTGTACCTATCTACTTCGCGAACGGTTGATCGGGACTCCTCGGACCACACATGTGGGTGGTGACTTCCTCATCTGTCACTGCAAACTTGGCTTCCATATAACATGCGCCACGCCACAATCCTTCGTTTCCTGACCGCCACTCACAGTGAGCTCTCCAAACATGGCGCCCCGCAAAGAGAAGACTGAGAAAGTCAGCGGGAATGAGGGTGAGTGTACTCCAATCTCAGGCGCTCACCTTGCAAGGAAGCGCAACGCCAATTTCTAGCCTTCCACTGACTTGAACTCGTATTTAGCGGCTGATACCATTCTCACCTACCTACGTAAGTTAGGGTCAATTTTGTCTATCTTGTATTTGAGCTCACTAACGCATCTGTAGGCAAGCAAAAGTACGTCCAGTGTGCCGTTTCCCTCGCTGGCAATACAAGCTAACTGAACCTCTCGCAATTCAGCCGTCCCTACTCCGTATGCTCACATAGATCGCTCCAAATTGCTCACTGCTTACGCGCCTTCAGGCCACCGATGTCTCGGCCAACCTCCATAACCGCGTCTCGAAAGGTGAGTGAGACGTGCTCGGAGTTGTCCGAAGCCGCGCTGACTTTCGTCATCTAAGCCGCCGCTGCGAAGCTTCTAAAAGAACTCCACGAACGCAAAGAGATCGAAGGCCGTGCGTCTGGCAAGCAAATCGTGTACCATGCAATCCAGGTCCGTACTAATCCTTCCGTTACCATTCATGGCAAGTCACTCCGCTCGAGACTAACTCATCACAGAACTCAGCCGATTCCGCCGGCCCAGAAGAGCTCGCCGCCATGGATGCTTCAATCCAAGCACTCAAAGACGAGACCACTGCCGCAGCCGGAGAAGCCAAGTCCCTGCGGGCTAAGCTCACAACACTCAATGCTACCATGTCAACGGTTGACCTACGCAGCACTGTCATCGGCCTCGAAGCCGAAACGCAGGAACTCCGTGCGAGGCTGGATTCCTTGCGAGGTGGCAGCGTGCGTCCTGTCACAGGCGAAGAGAAGGCTGGCATCGACAAGGAGCTGGCGCGCTGGAAGAAGGCCGAGGCTGCGAGAGGAAAGATTGCGAAGGAACTATGGGCATACATTTTAGATGTGCTGCCTGAGGATGTGCAGGCTGCAGAGTTGAGAGAGAGCTTGGGACTTGATGGTTAAGCGTGGGACTTTTGCTCCATTTTCTCAGGACACCTTTAGTAATTGCTTTATGGCTTCGTCTCGCATTTGGGGATTAAGTAGTTATTATGGTTAAGTATGTAGTTCGACAGCGCCTCGGTAGGAGTAGTTACGTGGTAGGGCAGGCCGGCGATCGACACTGGTCGAAGCCGACACGACCGAAGCTGCGCGACTCATTCCAAACTTTTTTCTCCGCAACCAACTACTACGGCACAACCACAGCCATGGCCAAACCCAAGCGCTCCAAGACGCTCGCTGAGCAGCTGGCTGACATCGACGGCCCTGCGCCCGCAGGTTTGTGAATTCTCTCTTTTGCTCGTGCGCGATACAAATTTGCTAACGGCGCGCTCTCTGCAGACTTCGACCCCGAGGAGCCCGACAACTACGCGAGCGAGAGCGAGGATTCTGACAGCGAACCTGAGGCTGCCGACGGGAGAGAGCACTATGTCGACGTTGGCAAGAGCAAGCTGCGCAAGCCTGCTGCCGCCCCGCTAGGCCCCAAGTACAAGGGAGCGCGCGTCAGTCGCGATGCTGTTGAGGATGAGGACAGCGACGACCCGTTCAGCAAGGGCTTCGACGAGGAAAGCAGCGAGGAAGAGGAGGATGCAGCGCATGACGAGGACGAGGACGATGGGATGGGCTCCGAGGGCGAGGAAGAGGGTACCGACGCCACGGACCTGAGCGCCGAAGACGAAGACGACGAGGATGATGAGGACGACGACGACGACGACGACGACGACGACGAAGACGAAGATATGGAGGATGCCAAACCGGCCATTGATCGCGCCGAGCTGCGCAAGCTCATGAACGAGGAGCAGAAGACAGTCGCGGCCACAATCTCAGAGGCGGCCAAAGCAGACGCCGAAAAGGGTCGCGCGGTCAAGGCACAGCGCAAGACGTTCGACTCGCTGCTCAACACGAGGATCCGGCTTCAAAAGGCGCTCATCGCGACCAACTCGATGGCGGCGCCGCAAGCCAAGCTGCCCGCCGACGCCAGCGAGGCCGAGGACCCCATCCGCGCGGCCGAGGAAGCCGCGTGCAACCTGTGGAACTCGCTGAACGACCTGCGCGAGAGCCTGCACACGGCGCGCACGGGGACGAAGCGCAAGCGCGGCGAGATCAGCACGTCGACGGCGACGGAGGACGCGTGGAGCCAGATGCAGAGCTACGAGGCGGCGACGGTGCCGCACCGGCAGGCGGTGCTGGAGAAGTGGTCGAGCAAGGCGCGCGGCGTGTCGGCGCTGCCCGCCCGCAGCAAGCTCAACAACGCCGCCGCGGCGCAGCAGCAGACCATTATCGACGTGCTGTCGGCGCAGCTGGCCGACTCGGTGCGCCTGGTCAAGCGCACGCAGACGCCGCGCTCGTGCGCCCCTTTGCAGGCGGCTGCCGCCACGCACGCCACCGACTCGCCCGCCGTCTTCGACGACGCGGACTTCTACGGCTTGCTGCTCAAGGAGCTGCTGGAGCAGCGGAGCCAGGACGCCTCGTCGGGCGCCGCCGGCCTCGCCTTCAACGTGCCCCACTGGCAGGCGGCGCGCGACGCCAAGACGAAGCGCCACGTCGACACGCGCGCGTCCAAGGGCCGCAAGCTGCGCTATACGGTGCACGAGAAGCTGCAGAACTTCATGGCGCCCGAGGAGCGCGGCGCGTGGGGCGAGCGCCAGGCCGACGAGCTGTTTGGCAGCTTGTTTGGGCGCCGCATGGCGCTGGCCGAGGACGAGGCCGATGGCGTGGCTAGCGGCGCTGAGGACGACGACGACGAGGACCTCGGCGAGCAGGGCTTGATGCTGTTTAGGAATTGAGGAGGGAAGGGGTTTGGATATTTTTGATAAAAGCTGGGGCAGCTCTGTTGTACAGGCACATATAGATCTTACGCAAATTTAGGCGATTCAACTTTATTTGCTTGATTTGATACGTTGTGGTATATTCACATTCCAATATTTGATAAAATGCCTATATGAATATAAAAACAGTTGTCTCCCTACATACTGTCAGTGCAATGGACCGCGTTTCCTAGCACGCGCGGATTGAATGGGCAGGCAGAGACAAAATTTGATTGAATAGATTTGACAAAAGCCGAGCGATTCTGCACATTCGTTTTCGGATCTGCTACACCATGTTGTGATTTGGGTGGTGTAACGTCTATTTTTGGTATCCCCCCTCGTCTCAACTCGTAGAATAGAGTACATCCCCGACCAGCATCATGATTTTTTTTTATCTTGCGCCCCTCTACAAATTTCCTCTTTGCCCTATCAGACCAAGACGAAGCCTCGGAACTGCCCAACCCAAACTGAAACTCGCCTCGGCGACACCGATAATAATAATCGCCTTAGTTCTCGACAATGCCCTCGTCGGAGCCCGACTCGTCCTCGTCGCCGCTGACCTCCAGGTTCTCCTGCGCCCGCTTGTCCATGAGAGCCTGCAGCTCAGCGTCATCGGACTCGGTGACGGCCTTGGGCGCCATCTTGATCTTACAGTCGCCGCCGTTCTTCTGGATGTTGGCCGTGATGTCCTTGATGGCCTCCTCGAGGACAGAGATGCCGAGGTTCTTGTCGAGGCACTGGCTGGTGAGGACGTAGAGGGGAGGAGAGACCAGCTTGACCTTGATCTGGGTGTCGGTGGTGTTCTTGCTCTCGGCGGTGCGCAGGGCCTCCTTGACGGCGTCGATGCCATCGTAGCCAAAGCACGTCACCTCGACGTCGGCACGCACCTTGGTGGGCTGCGGCGTCAGGCGCTTGGCAATGTACGTCGTGAGCTCCTTCTCGACGCTCTGCGACGGGAAGGCCACCTCGGTCCACACGTCCGGGTTGGTGATCGACAGCTTGAAGGCGTCGACGGCGTGGCCGTACTTCCGGTGCAGCGGCCACACAATCGTCTCGTACAGCTTCTCAATCGGCATCTGCGCGTTCGTCGCTACGTGGCGCATGATCGAGTGCACCATCTTGGACTTGTTGTAGCGCTCCTCGCACTTGACAATGTCCTCGGGCGAGACACGGCGCTTCGACAAATCAATGTAACCTGCGTGAGATTTTGACGTCAGCATGCTGCTGCTGCTGCTGCGCATCGGCGTGCGCTGCGCGCGCCGCGCTTCGCGTGTTCGCCCACATACCCTTTTCCTTGTCGACACGCAGGACGACGACGACCTCGTTCCTCCCGACCCTGATGAGCTTCTGAATCGAACGGATACGCCTCCTAGACAGTTCGGAGAGCAGAATCATGCCGTCGATGTTGTCGTACTCGAGCAGCTTGACGTAGGCGCCCATTTCCGCAATCTGTGCACCAGGGAGCAACAAGTCAGCGCGCGAGAAAGAAGGGCTACCACCGCACCAATCCGTACCTGTTTGACGTTGACCATGACAAACTCGTCGACCTCGGGGTACTTCTGCTCGTAGAAACGGCAGTTCTGGTAGTTGGCGCTGTCCGCGTTGACCTCCTCCATTGTGACGATTGTGCGGTGGTACGCGACCCGGTCGGTGTGTGTGTGTGGTGTGGGTTCTGGATGAAGTGACGGCGTTCGCAAAGGCTCCCTGGATCCCTGCTCTTGCTCGATTCGGTGCGCGCGGACGGCCGGGGGTTCGTGGAGTGACGCGAAGTCGAAGTCTCGTGTCGAGGATGAGTTGCGGTGTCGTTGCAGGTGAGTCAGTGCGGTTGTGTTGGACGAGCTGCGTAGAAGTTTTGGCGGGGCGGTAGACGCCAAGAGTTTGGGCTGGAATGCCTGGTTGCGACCCGGCGCGCCTCGCTTCTCATTCTTCACTCACCATTCCATCACCACTATGATTTTCTTCATCGGCAATTGATCTTCAAACCACTGATTCACGTCAAATGCCGGGTCCCTTGCATCCGTGATTGCTAGGGCTGAAGTCTAGGCCATTCCCCCACCTAACCTGAGACTTTGCCGACTATCCAGGCTATCTGAACAGCCGATAAACGGGAAAGTTTGTTTCTCTGGGGTGCCGGCTATTTGGAATATTCGGGATTCCCACGAGTTGAGTTTATGCTATTTTAGTTTACCTTTTCCTGTCATTTTGGGGTACAGTCCGACCTCTTTTTAGCGTTTAAGGGCTATACACTTTCGCTCTCTATACCGGTAAAGATATGCAAACGGCCACCCAAACACTAGCTAAATATACCGATAAACAACTTTTTAGTGGCCGGGAGTTGGTGACTAGCTTCAACTTTATATGCAACCTTGACTGTATACATACTATATGGCTATTTTTGTATCATTTTCTTGCCTGTGCAGACAATTGACTGATCGCAGCGTAATTGTATGAGCAACCATAGACATAGCTGATCTACTTTATTTAGTGATGGCCGCAGCAAAAATAGTAGAATGCCCATTAAATATAATTGTTACATGGTCCAAATTCGAATCAAGCTTAACGAATAGCTGTATGGCGTAGATATACTTCAACTATTTTCATTACGACACAGCCGCTTCTTTGGGTACGTGATTTGCAATTTGTCTGCAGTTTATGGTTCTCCAGCACATTTCACGGTATTTTTGAACATCCAGCCATATAGGCAATACCAAAAGAATGTCTTCGAAACGAGCCTTGAAGGATCGATCCTACATAGCTTCCGAGACCTACGTCCCACTTCCCTATCCCACACAATCACACAGACACACCGTTGTCTTCTCCATACCGCCCCTCCTTACTTGCTGTCGTCATCCATGTCATTGTCCATGTCGTTGTCCACGTCGTCACTGTCATCACCACCATACTCATCACCATCATCCTCCTCTTCCTCATCATCCTCCTCAACAACGTCAACGACATTCGGCAGCCCACCATACTCAGTTGGCGTACTCTCGCGAGCCGCAGTGATGAGCGTCGACGGCACATCACTATTATACGTGGAGGTCCTGTCAAGCATCAGGATCAGCACCAACTTGTAAGGCAAGTATTGTAGAGAGGTAGTGGGAGTAGTCGTATCATGGTGAAAAAAGGAGGGGAAGGAAGTAAGGAGGAAGAGGAGGACGAGGGGGGTGAAGAAGACAAGGTGAAAACCACTTACGAGACATCGTTCACAACCGGCACACCCACAACAACCGTAGTCGATGGAGCCGCCGGCCTCATCAACAGCGGAGACGACACAGGAAGAATCGACATCTCCGGCACCACCATCGTCGTCCTCGTCGACACAACCTCCACAGTCCTCACGACGGACCCCACCGTCGTTAGAACCGTCGTCGTCGACAGCGTCGTCATCGGCACCGCAGGCATGGGCTGCACATTCACGGACGAGGTCATCGTCGTCGTCGTCGTCGGCTCCACCGGGACCGTCACGTCTAGCATCATCGTCGTCGTCTCAAAGGGCACCACGTCCGGCACGCCCGTCCTGCCGTATGGCTCCTCTGGCACGTCTGTGCTGGGGAATAACGGCAGCGTCAGGATCGACGTCTCTGGTGGTGACGGCGACACGCTTGCCGCATTTACGTCCGGCACGCCCGTCTCGCCGTAAGGCTCCTCCGGCACGTTAGACGCGACAGGCAACATGGGCGGGACCGGCATGTCGGGGCACAGGGTCGTGGTCACTGTTACGGTGAAGACGTCCGCAGGCGGCGCCGGCGGCGCAGGCAAAGTGACCATGGAGGTCGTGACGAGCGTGTCGGTGACCACTACCGAGGGGCCCATGACAGTGGTTGGGACGTTGACGGTTGAGATGCTAACGGCGGCCGGTATGTCGACGCTGACCGTCCTGACGCTGTCGACTGTGACGGCGGGGAACGTGCTGGCGGGCATGGGGACCGTGACGGAGACAGTGATGGTGTCGGCTTGGAGGGAGGTGCAGAACACGGCGGGGCTGGTTTGCGGGATGCCCATCACAGGGGTTACGTCGGGAAATGTCATTGTGTCTGAGAATGTGTTTGGCTCTGGGCCGCCGTAAGGGTCATTGTTGGCACCTGGGCGAGGAGAGAGTGTTAGTCTGGTATGTTGATGAAGGTGTAGAGGAGGAGAGGGGATGGAATTGAGTGGGTGGGTAGGGAGTGAATTTGGGGCTAGTAATGGTTTGGGAGGTAGGGGAAGGTCGGAAGGGAAGGAGATTGTGATTGGTGGATATGTGGTTGGAAAGGGTTCAAGCAAGGCATGTGGGAGTTTGAAAACGCGTATTTGCCCAAGCAATTAACTGCTTTATGCTCAGCTTGACTCACCTGCCCTAGGGATGGGCTTAGCCGTGGCGGCAGCCAGACAAAAAGCCAGCGGAACAACTCGAAGAAGCATCATGGCATGAACTGGGATCGATTTCCTCAGAGGCAGTATCAACGAGTGCAGCTTGGAGAGTGCGAAACGAGAGTGGTCGAGTTCACAAGGAACAAGAAGGCGATGCTGGTAAAAGGCGGCTGCCCACGACTCATTTTATATCCCACCGTGAGCTCCTGAATGACAATTTCCTGCTATACTGAGAGCTGCTATACCAGTCGCACCATGGATGGCAATGCAGGAAACCAGATGGAGGTACGAAAGCCGTTGCAAGAGAGAGGGACAAAAGAGAGGCCACTGTCGCACTTACATCGTCACTGTTGCGTGGGGCGGATAGATGAAAGAGGCTCGGTTCACGTCCATCTCCATTTCCCTTAGTGACGTGCCTGCTGGCGGTCTTCTACAGGAAGCCCAGGACAAACTTCTTGTGTGGTTGAGCCAGAGATAAGAGGCCTCGGGCATCTCGTTACTAGACATCTTCGCAACTATGGAAGATTCCAAGGCAGACTCCGATAAGGTCTTCGGCTGCCTGTGTACAACTTCATCAATTCCTGGAGACCGTTGGGAAATTCGGCCATTATTCAGAGCTTATTTGGTGGTACCATTCCCTTGCGCGACTGGTTTCTCGCCATGTGTTGACCGTTGGACGCATCCTTCCGCTTCTCCCGATGTCTCACCAACGGCGCGCGGGCCAGGCCGCAGCGGAATCTTCAGGTGGAGAACAACTGGTACTGACGGCTACGTACATTGCTTCTGTAGAGAGTGGGCTGAGGAACTGATCTGCGGGGGAGACAATACTCTTTTCTCAGCACGCCGTGGAGCGATGAGTAGGCACTGATGGTGGTTGGCATGGTGACAACCGTTCCAGTTCAGGTACCCGGACACCGTGTGACACTAGAGCAAAAACGGGGCCTAAAGAAGACAGCCTTGAACGGTACGACGAATCAGTTGACAGACGCCTCAGCTGTATGACTTGAAAACGCTCTCAATGAGGGGGAAGACCCCGGGCGGTGCGGAGAATCATTGAACAACAACCTCGATGGGGCAGCAAAGGACGGGTAGGCGCGCGCACGGGATGCCGTGCTCCATGGAATGACGAGCCAAGCTGAATAATGAACCGCGCTCATGAAAGACGCGAAGGCCGAGAGTTAGCGCAGCGTAGGAGTCAAGCTTCTTTTCGCGTGCGCCGCCGTGACGACGAGGAGGCTTTTGAGGCGGCGGTGGCGTCCAGTCCACGCGGGCAGTCGAGATGCCTCGGCTGCAGCCAGTCATCGGCGCGCACCCGCATTCCCCGCAAGCAGAGGCCTGGCGCCACTCTGTCCCAATCAGCGCGCGCCGCAACACTACCTGAGGTCCTGTGTCGCCTGGTGGCGTTACGTCTAGCCTTCTTGTCAGACAACGGGAACGAGCCGCAGCGGCACACGTACGAGTAGGGTAGAGTCGGACAGAGAGGAGATGAGGAGAAGAAAAGAAGAGAGTGGCAAGCGGCAGCGTTGTCGCACGGTTGATGAAGGGTGGGTAAGTTTAGGTGACTGCCAATTCGCGCCGTCACAGTTGCGCGTCAATTTCGAGAGCTCAGGCGGGCCTCGAACAGCATCGGGACGCTTCAACAGCCACGCGCGATGTTTGACGGTCCGGGTGCGGAGAGATCGATCGAAGGGGAGGCGCCGGCGCCGCGATCGGTATGCCGAATAGGGCCGCCATGGCTGATCGCGCGAATTAGCATCCACGCCTCGGGAACGTCCCAGTGCACCGGGTCTTTGTCCCTTTGCCCGATTTGATCTTTTCTATTTGTTTCCGACCTTGAACGCTACCAATGTACACCATCGCTAAACTCGCTTGGATGAACATTGACTTTTGCCTTCGCTCGGCCCCCCTCTTCCCTGCCATTACCCTGCGAGCCCCAAGTCGATCTAACCTTCCTCCAACTGCCGATTCAACTAAAACTAGCCAACCCACATAAAAAGAAACGTGCCCATAGCCACACGCCGAGAATGTCATCCAGGCGCCCAATCCGTTCGTCCTATAGAAAAAGAACCCATTGTGGCGCGCTTGTCAGGTCATCCTGCCCAACCCTCATCTTAGCCACACACTTCCAGAACTCCCATTGCCCACCGCAGACGACGGACCATGCAAAAAACATGCGATAACGCCGGATATAATACTCCAAGTGACCGAGTCGTTAACAATAAAGAAAACCGATTAATGAATGTGACAGCTCCACGCTCGGCAAGCGGAGTGTCAGGCGACAAGGGCGGAATAATAGTTGCCCATCTTTTATCATTGAGAATTCGTCAGCTGCTCGTCCAACATGGTGCCGTCGATAAACTTGGCCCACTCGACACCAGGAGTGATAAGCCCAGAGCTGCCCTGGGCGCTGTTTTGCCTGCTCAAGCCAGGATTTGCGACCTCGTAATTAGGCCAGTCCATAGGTTGAAACATGGCGGGGTTGTGAGGAATGCCATCAGACTCGGTAGAGATCTGGCTGTTGAAGTCAAGATGCTGAGGGTCGACAGCCGGAATGGGTGGGTTGCCTAGCGACAGTGTTTGATGCATACCCTGAGTCGACGGATTAGAAAGACTCGAGAGACGCTTCCCATTAAGGTTTGGGTTATAGCTGTAGACGGGTGCCTGCGGGAACATTTCGTCGTTGCCCAAGAACAGGGCATTGTTCGGATCGTTTGAGCCCATGAATGGCCCGAGCATTTGTTGTGTCTCTTGTGGTAATTCCATGGAAAATGGTCCAAACATATCGTAGGAGTAGTTGAAGGTGTAGTCGTTTTGTGCAGTTTCGGGCGACGAAGTAGCTGCTCCATACATCGGTTGAACATCAACAGCAGGCGGGGATGGCTGTGCAGAGTCTTTGGGTACATCAGCCTGGCAAGAATCAGATCGCGTGGCCATGGGCGAAGCCGACGGAGATCGAATTGTCTGAGCTGGCAGCGACATGCGGCGATCCTCCATTCCCATAGGACGGTTCGGGACCGGGTTTTGATGGTAATTGTATTCTTGTGGTGCTGCAAATGACTGCGACCTTTGATGGACCTTGGCGCCATGTGACTGGGGAAGGCGGTATGGCGTGGTGCGGTATGAGGAAGGCGACCGATGGATCATCTGAGGAGGCAGCATCTGTGGCTGTGGGTATGACGGGTGAGGCATCATTGTCATTTGTGGCGCGAACCCGGGCGCGTTAGGGTAGGGCTGATTAAAGGAATTCATCATAGAGCCAAGAGTCTCCCTACCAGCATGGTGGGTAGTGAGGTATGCCTGCAACTTCCGGTTGAAGTCCATGCTGTGAGTGTGAAGGTGCGCAGTGAGACGTCGGTACTGGGCGGGAAGGTCGTCGTCTTCTTCTTCGTACATCTCTTCATTGACAACATCCTGTTCAGTGACTCGCAGAGCGCGGCCAGTGCGCTTCTTGTGAATCTCTGAAGCTCGTCGAGCAGACTCAATGCGGGCCTCGAGACTACGGTCGCTTCGCCTCGACGCGGCGATATAGGCTCTGATTGGCTGTCAGCGGCAATTGCACAACGTCGCCGAGACAGGACGGGAACCGACCTCTCTTGGTTCTCCTCGTGGGTACGCTCGGTCTTGACGGGCTGCTTGGCGGTGGCCAAGGTTCGAATTGGAGGCATAGTTGCGAGGCCAACGTGAGTGTTTCAATGAATAGGTAGAAATGTGGACGGCGTGCAAATGGGAATTATGAATGCTGAGCCTGAGAGGAACGACTGATATCGAACCAAAAGCTCCCAGTGGTGAAGGGTGGTGGTAGGTAAGTGGTGGTGGTGGATTTGTTGTTGTGTGGCGAGGCGAGGCGAGGAGAGCGAGCGGGGGACTCGTTGGATGGGGATGGATGGATGGGGTGGAAGAAGCAAGCAGCTGGCCGACGCCCCCTTAATAAGGAAAGTAGTGGAAAGGCAACCGGGAAGGTGGGAAGCAGTGGGAATCGGAGTTAAGAAAGAAGCAGAACTGGCGGCGGTGCGGGCTCCGCGCACTTGACCCATTGGTGCACCGTGTCATCAGACCGCGCGGGAAACGCTAGAATCTTTGTGGCACGGGATGTGCGATTGGCGAGCGGGCGCGATGCGTCATGCCTGGCCCATCCGCGGCTCCCCCAGCTGCGACAAAAAAGCCATGGTGGAGCCTGCGCAATTTTGTGCCAGCCGATCCAAAAGCTCGCGTATCTGTTCGCGGCCAACCCTATCTCTCAGCGATCGAGATCTGGCCCGCTCCAAGCCCCCTCTACCACAAAGGCACAAAAATGTCCTTTTTCCTTGCCGGCCTCCCCCGCATGCCAAGCACCGGGCCACGTTGCATGACAATTACCCTCCGCCATGCTAAAATCCTCGAAAAAAAAAAAAAAAAAAAAACGCCCTCTGACGTCCCTTGTTGTTGTAGCTGCCTACTGCAGCCTGCCGCCCTGGCAGTTCGTCTCTACCTTACACCTGTCGAGGAACATGACTAACCGGAACCACCAACTCGCCGCACTAGCACTCTGCACGCTCCAACACCTACCCTTGCAACTGCCTAATCTTAACATCAGAATGAAGTATACCGCCCGTCAATCCCATCCTCTCTCCCCCCTCATTGCGGGGGGCAAAAAACTGCTTACCTTAGACCCTGATGTGCTCAACGACGAAACCCCCTGACTCACTCATGCTGTAGGTGCTCACGAAATTTTTCCGTTGAGAGGGTGGCGCCTGCCCATGTCCTTCTTACTACCGCAATCATGTGATCGACCTCGAATCCCAAGACGGTACCAAGTAAGTGAAAAGCTCTCTTTCTCCATGCATGTCCTTCTTCCAATCCTTGTTGCGAACTTGCGAACCCCCGCATCTGCTTCTACCAAACCACTTTTCAAGGCTGCGAGACGCAAATGCACTCTGCAATTCCTTCCGTTCGCCAGTAAAAGTGGGGATGAAACACAGGTCCCCTCTAGGCCCACCTTCTCGCATGGGGATGAGTGAGTGGGATCATTATCTTCGGTTCTCCAGCATAACACAACCTCCTCCATTGCAACCTTTTCATCCCCAACAACATGCACGATCAGAGGGTGTATTCGTCGGGATTCACTGTCTCAGAGCTGTAAGAGCATGCTTTACGTCGCCTCGCTCATCGTCTGCGTAACTTCTGTCCTTATCGACTGGCCAATCAACAGCTGGATTAAGGCGAGGACCGGAGCCTTTCGAGCATTGTGTACATCAAGGGCTGACCCACCAATGGTAGGGTCAAACTACCTGTTGTCTTTGCACGTGCTGCTTGCAGATCCAAAACTGGCCATGGGGAAGGAAAGACAAAAGCATCTCGTCCTCGCGAACTACGCTGTGTAGCAAGCCGGAATGTGCTGCAGGGACACAGCTGTCAACTAATCCTACAAACCAAGGCTATGCAACCAATCTCATGTCAGGATCGGATGCTCCGGGCAAACAGGCGGCATGTATCTCCGCACGAGAAAACGGCAAGATCTCTCCAAACTCCAATTGACAGTGTAAGGACTCGAAAGCCACTTTCTGTCGTTCTCAGCTACGATTGGAACACCAAGTATGAAGTATGCTCACACCAACAGTTTCGTGCCCCACGACGATTGTATCAGCTTACTGCTCCTCAAGAACTAGCACGCCAGACCAGGTCCAATTTCGCTCATGCAACTGCGCAGCGGGGCATGCGAGTACCCGCATGCGCATCACGGCACATGCATGCCTTGGAGCCAGAGACGGAGCGCTTTGCTTGACAAGCCCACTTTTTTTGAGTCCCGAGAGTAAGACAGCGACCGTTGACAGCTCTGCGCCCCCCTCCTTCGCGCATGGCCCAGACACCTGCAACGGACGCAGCTTACTTTTACCCTTGCTCCTGCGGGCTTTCCGACGGCCGGCTGGCCAATGTTGGGGCAGTGATCTCCCTGCCCTGCAGCGGGTGACTCGCAGGCCTGCAGCCCATCGGAGCTCGGGGCCGTGAGACGCGCAGAAGCTAGCAAGCAAGCAGGTCTTGGAATTTTTCTTCACGACCGCGACGCGGATGAGGCCGGGCCTCCCGGTGGTGCAAACAGGTGGTGCCTGCCAACCGCCGTCGACAGCGGGAGCGCGCGTACGTCTGGGTCTCGCCGTACACTGGAGATGCGAGTTCCCGGGCACAGAAAACAAAAGATAAGCTGCTTATCGCGACAAGATGGGTGTCGCACCGCGCGAACTTTCCCCTCTTTCTCATCCTCGTCTTCGTTGAAGCCTTTGCCCTCGTCCTGAACACATCCCGGCCGACGTCGCCGGTGGCAGCGGAGGTGGCTTATCGAATCTTCATGCCGCGCGCGCCGCCCTGCAGCATCGCGCTTCCCTTACTCTCGTCAGCCGCCACCACGCGCTGTGCGCGTCCCCTCCGCCGCTGTGACGAGGAGCCGATCGACTGCGCGTTCCGGCTACTCATCGCCCTTATTACCCTCGCACCCCAGCAGATTCCTCGGACGAGGCTCGAGACACGCTGCCGGTGACGCGTCGCGCCGCCCAAAGACCCGATGCCATTGCAGTCGCAACTGCGGTTACGGTGACAGTGTTGGTGGCGGAATACTGTGAAGCTGGGAAGGGTGGGGCAGCGCACGGCCAAGTCAGGGCTCAATGCCCTATGCTTAATGCCCAATGTCTCTCCTTCGGAGCCTGTTCCGCGCCGGGACGGATGCGACAGTGAGGCGGCTTGCCCAAACCCGCGGGGAGCAGGGGGCATTGGCCGTTTGCTGGTGCGCTGTAGGGTAGGTTCGCGGAAAAGGGTGGGGAATTGAGTTTTGCTTCTGCCCACCTTTCTTTCCTTTTCCCTCTGGCCCCTCGATCCCGTCCGTAGAATTTCCTTTTTCCGGGTTATTTTTGAACATTTTCTTTTTTATTAAAGCTCCACGCGGCTATAGGCAGGTTAGGTACAGACGGGAGCGAGTTGTGTGTGGAGGCGAGGCGCGCAGACAAGCAGGTGATCGACGACGATCGTCTCAGCCCGCTCACCAGCAGCACGCCATCTAGTCCGCCCGCCCGCCAGCCAGCCAGCCAAGCCAAGCGCGCAGAACAACCAGGCCGCCGAGGCAGAAGGGGGTCCCGCCCGGGAGGCACTGCTCACGTACCCTGTGCCCTCTTGCGCCCGCAAGCCGCCTGGACCAGGGCGACGCGCAAACAAAACACGCACGCACGCCCAAGACACCCATCCACTACCACCCAGGTACGCCGCCTAATCGCCGCCTTCCTCCGGACCCGCCTGCTACATACATGGCTGGCTGGCTGGCTACCTATGTACGAGTACGAGTACCTTGTTGCTAGCTCCGCGGGGCCGTGCCTGCCGCGCCCTAGCGGCGTGCTCCCCCTCCCCCATTCGCTTTCCGCTCCCGGCTCCCCGATTCGGCGGGCTTGTCTCGATGCGCGGGGGCGAGCCGTGGTTCTGCCGCGGGGCGCGGGAGCGGGCAGCTTGGGTCTGGGCGTGGCGCGAATGCGGGCGACTGGCCTGGCTGTTGGTGATTGATGTGGTCTTGTGTGGGCTGATTTGTTGGGGGGTGTTTGCGGTGGGTGAGTGAGTGGGTGAGTGAGAGGGTAGGGGATGGGGTGATGATCTAACATGATGCAGGTGAGCGGTGGGATTGCTGGGTGTCTATACATTGGAGAAGAAGATAATCTTGGTTTATGGTTTGCGCTTCTGTTGGTCAGAGCGTGTTGTAGAAAGTAGATATGTATGCGCGAGCTGTTATATCAGCCTCTGGACACCGTGATTCTTTTTTCGCCTCTCCCCCGCGTCTTCCATTCTATGCCGAACCAAACAACCAACGAACTGAGCACAGTTACTGAATCATACGCATCGTCAACTCGACACTGCAGGAAACGCATCAGTTAGCCAAGCTCCAACTCCTACACTCTGCGAGCGGAAAAAGGAACGCAAACAAAACAAACCAGGCGGCGGAGCAGACTTACACAGCAAACGTGCCGGCGCTAACGGGCATAGCCCTAAACAGCGTGGGGCCCAAGCCCTTCCAAAAGCCCATCATGCCCTCCTTCGCCCACGTCAACCTAAAGCAGTCGGACATGGTGCGATAGCGCATGTCCTTGCCAAAGCCATCACTCTGCATCTTGCTCTTGACAACGTCAAACGGGTAGCTAGCGACCCAGAGGGCCTCGCCAGCCAAGCCGCCATACAGCGCGACTTTTGGGGTGGAGACGTCCTTGCGGTCGATGCGGTTGCGCGCCGCGTCGGCGTTCATCAGCCACTCGAAGGTCAGGAACCAGACGCCGTAGGCCTGGGCCTCGCGGGCCAGCGTCACCAGCTCGCCGCGGTACAGGCCGCGCAGCACGCCGTTGTGCGCCGACAGCTTGCGCACGCAGTCCAGCGGGCCCGTGTACAGCTTGCCTGCGCCGTGCGGCTGCGTTTGCAGCCGTATGCGCACGTGCTCGATCGGCCCGGACAGGAACGAGTTCGCGAGCCCGGCGAAGGCCCCCGCTGCGTAGTATTGCCCGTACGAGAGCCGACCGCTCGTCGCCTGTGGGTTGGCGGCGAGGTTGCGCGCTTCGAAGGCGCGGCGCGCGTAGTGGAAGGCGCCGAATTGGATGGAGACCTGGATGGGGGCGGTTAGGTGTGGATGTGGGGTGGGAGAGGGTAGGTGGTGCTGGTGGTGATATGCTTACGCAGGCGCCGATACCGATCAGCGGAGTTAGGGTGCCTTTGTAGAAGGCGAGGGGGCCTTCATTCTTCCAAATCTTGGTCGCGCAGTCTGCGGCACCGGTGTATTGCTGCGAGGTTTGCAGGCGGACTTTGATGATATCTGTGGCAAGTATCAGTGTCCATTAATGCCTTAGGTGTCTAAGACGGATGACGTACCAAACGGCTGACCTATAGGACCATGTTAGCAGACCTGTTCTGGTAATGAAAGAGAGAAAGAGATCAAGGCAATTGATGCGATTGAGTGATTGGATGAGGTTGAGAGGGCATGTTTTGCGAGAAATCGGCTTGAATTGGAATGCGCCGAGCTGGGGAATTATAGCTGGAAGACGAAGAACGAGAGTTGCGACGGAAATTTCAGGAAAGAGAGATACACGAAGCGCTTACCCAGTAGCACCTGGGCTGTCCCTCCCACGGCGCCAGCAAACAAGTCCTTGAGCGTCCTGGTGAGGCCGCCCTCCTCTTCCAGCTCCCTTTCAATGCCCATTGTCGCAAGCTAAGACTATACACAGATAAGCAGCGCGTCGCGCAGATAGGTATGACGAGTCGACGGCGCAATCTGGCTGGGCAACAGCAACGGTGGGCAATTGGCAAGGCTTTGGACCTGGGAATCGAATCGCGGCCTCTCGGATCAGAAAAAAAGGTGCCAGATGTAAGGTCCCCGAGTGAGATCGGCGACCGCTTGTCGTCGGCTTTTGCGATTGCGATTACGTGCTCTCGAGACAATCAGCCGCGCGAGTCAGGTTCCGCCCGATGCTTACCCGGCTGATGATGTGGGGTTGCCGGCCTCTCTCATCTCTGCCTGACATGTATTTGATATGCATGCAGATACATGGTTCGTCTCAGCTGTGCATGTAAATCCATGCTTTGGTGCATCTCTACAATCTTTCTTCGGTGTGTCCTCCCATATAGGCCTTCTCACTAGACCTCTAGGCTCTACTTTATAGAAACGAGAACGGATGAAGACGTATTTAATGCACTATTGCACCTACAAGGGACATTGAGCCCTCTGTCGGAGAATTTCCCGAGTTGGTGGATCTCAGGGGTTTACCGTATTCACTGTCTTTTTCCTAATATGGCTTCGTCCGGATCTACGCGGCGCCAGATGCACTACAATTGGACGTGGGTAGAGTACTGTAGAAAGGTGGACAGCCGAGATAGCTTTCCTTCCGATGCTGGCGTCACGGGCGGCTCGCCTTTGGGATTTCAAGCGCAACGCCCTCTGTCCGAGCGCCCTCGACCTGCTTCGGAGAATCCTCCGGTTCAGACGACAAGTGGGTCTCGAAGAAAGTGGCTCGCAGCGGGGTATGATCATTGCGGAGAGCAAGTCGGTTCTTTTAAGACCCACTTGACGGCTATTCCTCAGAAAAAGTCTCGGGTGTAATGGTCACTTTGCACTCGGCTGCTTCTGGCTCTCTTTACCGGCTCGACCCAATGCACCAACAATGACTTGGGCGCATCACAAACTACTACCAATTGACAATCAAGGGTTGACGTCAATGATTTCAATCGTTGAAACATAGTCGAGGGAGCATTCTCGCGGCAGCGCGTATTTCTCCACCAAGTCTGGTCCCAACACTGGCTTGTTCAGCAGCTGCATGTTTAAAGTCGAGCAGCTGTCGATCCGTCTCGCCCACAATCTTCTTTCTACACTTGTCCAACCCACCGACCTTTTTATGAGACTGCCGGGATATCGCCACCTGTCAAACAGGTGACACCCTTCGGCGTGCTGTCCGGCCTCTTATGACAGCGCGCAGGTGTCAATCACGCGTGTCCACGAGAGTATAAGACCACCTCTTCCCGAAATCTCGCGAACAACCGCCATCTGATTGAGCGAGATGATATGGAAGTCTTTGCGGATGCCGCATATTCGCCGGGTTCTTGATAGAAGTCGAGTGGCCGGGATGAGCCCGGAAAGCGAGGAGCTCGAGGGAGACGTCGGACGGGCGCCTGCATTGGCGGGCGGCTTTGGGGTCAGTAGAGGATCAGTGGGCAAGTGTCGTAAGATCGGGCCGTGGTCATCGGGGGAAAGGAGCTCTTGACAGTCGAGCGTCGTCTTGTCGTCGCGAAGAGAGTCGGTCCTCGAAACTGAGCCGGCTAAACCTCACTGGTGCTAGCGGCGCTGAGAGGCCTAAACCGTCGGACTCCCCGGGCTGCTCGATGAGATAACTTTGCAACTCCCCACTCCACCAGCCCCCGATACCCTCGCTCTGCGCGGAACCGCATGCGTCCCGGCTCTCCTCTGCCCTCCCGCACCATCTCCCACGTGGCCGCCCGGGCCTGAGCGTCCCTTGATGCGGCGGTGCACCTCGTGGGCCCTACACGACCGCGGATGATCTCCATCGATCCTCCATCCCAGCCCATTTCACCATGAATGGCTACTATCCCCTCGACCAGGGCGCCGCAGGCGACGGCATGATGGGCATCATGGGGCAGGATGCCTCCGCCTCCAGCATGATTGGCGCCCAGTCGCTCGACGACATTGTCCACCAGAATGCCAAGGCCATGCGCCGCCAGAGCGTGCCCATGCACTACGGCACAAGCCGCGACATGGACGGTGACATGCGGCGCGTGTCCATGATGGAGTTCAGTGGCGCATCCCCGGGCCAGCTCGACCAGTTTCAGTTCGACCCCACGACGGCCGCGCCCTCGGTGGATAGCATGATGAGGATGGGAGACGCGTATGACCAGCGGGCACCGTCTTTTTCCGGCAGGCGACGCCCTTCCACCGGTGACCTGAACATAGACACTCGATATGCGAACCAGGCCCAGTCGTATGCGCCCATGACGCATCCCCATTCGGCTTTCGCCTCTCCTCTGGACATGGCGAACGCGTATGTTACGTCTGGTATGCCCATGCCAATGGCTATGGCTGACCCGTCACTGAACGGTCTTTTGCCACCAGAGGCCGCACCTATGAACATGTTCTCTGGGGCTCAGTTCACGTCGCCTCTGATGGGCTCACCTGTCACGGCCGACTTCAACGATACGCTTCATATTGGGCCCTTGCAAGATCCCGGGAGCGGTCAAGGAAGCATGGATATCAACGTGGGGTCAGACACTGCGAGCCAAAGCGTTACCACCCCAACAGATATGCTCGCATCCAGAGGCGGCAGCCGAGAGCAAAGTGTACATTCCAACAGACAGCAGAGTTCTAGCATGTCTCAGGCACCTCTTCAACAAAGCACCACTCCGACGTCGAATGCGCCATCGCAGAGCAAAAATGTTTCATTTGGGCCTGAACCGCCGCAACGCAATATGGGTACAACTCGCGGGCCCAACGGCCAGACTTTCCCCTGGAAGACTCCAGAAGGTGGTTTCCCATCCACAATGACCAACCGACCTCACATGGAAGGGCAGTTCAAAAACGTATACTCGTCGACCGGCTTCGACATGCTTGGCGTCCTCATGCGGGTTGCCACCAGACCCAATCCCGAAATCAATATCGGTTCCGTAGACCTTTCATGTGCCTTTGTCGTATGCGATGCCGAGAAGGACGATAACCCTATCGTCTATTGCTCCGAAAACTTTGAGCGCCTCACGGGTTACACAAAGCACATGATCCTTGGCAGGAACTGTCGTTTCCTTCAGTCTCCTGATGGGAAGGTCGAATCAGGCATCAAAAGAAAGTATGTTGATGACGAATCTGTCCTTTACTTGAAGAACCAGATCAATGCCCAGAGAGAAGCTCAAATTAGCTTGATCAACTACCGAAGAGGCGGCCAACCGTTCATGAATCTTCTCACGATGATTCCAATCACGTGGGATGATACCGAGGTTGTCAAGTTTATAGTAGGATTTCAGGTTGATCTTGTCGAGCAGCCAAACTCAGTAACCAACAAAAATCCAGGTAGGTCGTTTCACATGATTAGTTGTACCCTGGCTGACTTCTTTTAGATGGTTCCTACAGCATCAATTACCAGCGCTCCATGGGCATGCCAAAATATGTCTTTCAGACGCCCGAAAACACTCACAGTATGGATATGGGTCAAACAATATCTCACAACGATGTGTCCAACTTGCTGGAAACGTTCGTCAGCGGCGAAAGCGACGCAACGAAGCGAATGTGGGATAAGGCTCTGCTGGAAAACACCGACGACGTCATTCATGTTTTGTCCCTGAAAGGCTTGTTCCTGTACTCATCCCCGTCAGCGGCAAAGGTTCTGGAGTACGAGGCTTCCGAGCTTGTTGGCACAGCGTTGTCCTCTGTCTGCCATCCATCCGACATCGTCCCTGTCACTCGAGAATTGAAGGATACCTCCACAGGCTCCACCGTCAACATCGTGTTCCGGATCAGGCGCAAGCACAGCGGATACATGTGGTTTGAGGGCCACGGATCTTTGCATACCGAGCAAGGAAAGGGCAGAAAATGCATCATTCTTGTAGGCAGGGAAAGACCTGTGTACGCGCTGAGCAAAAAGGCCATCGATGAGCAGGGCGGAATTGGCGAGAATGAATTGTGGTCGAAAATGTCGACTTCTGGCATGTTCTTATACGTTTCGTCACATGTCAGGTCCCTCCTTGATCGACAACCCGAAGATTTGGTCGGAACGAGCATTCAACAACTTATGCGGTTGGACTCGCGTTCAGAATTCTTCCGCATCCTCGAGATTGCACGCACGGGCCGGGCCGCATCCGTCAAGCATGAGATGATCAACAAGCGTGGACAAGTGCTCCAGGCATTTACAACCCTTTACCCGGGAGATGCAGTTCCGGATTTAAAACCAACATTCTTGATCGCACAGACTAGATTGGTCAAGTTCGCACGGGGCAGCACCTCCAGCAATGTACGGCCAACCCTTCAGAAGCATGACCGCGACTCTGGGAGCTCGATTCAATCTTTAGGATCCACAAACACTGGTGCCAACACGGTTGTTAGCGCTAGCACCAATCTAACAAGTGGCATGCTGGAGGCGGGTTTGCATCCTTCCCAATACATATCGACGGAGAATGCCGCTGTTACACATGCTGGGCAACAGGGACTCCGGCTTGGCCATCAGGATGCTAGCTTGGCGGCTGAAGATAACATTTTCGACGAGTTGAAGACGACGAGAAGCACGAGCTGGCAATATGAGCTCCGGCAAATGGAGAAGCGTAACAGGCTGCTGGCCGAGGAAGTGCAAAGTTTGCTGGCGGCTAAAAAGAAGAGGAAGCGAAGGAAGGGAGCCGGTCAGTTGCAAAAGGATTGCGCCAACTGTCATACACGGGTGACGCCAGAATGGCGAAGAGGACCCAGTGGAAACAGGGATCTTTGCAACAGTTGTGGGCTACGTTGGGCCAAGCAAGTGAGTCACCTGAATCTATTTGGAGTAGTCCAAAGTATCATGAGCTTGTTTCTGACCGACTGATTTTCGCAGAATGGGCGTGTTTCCCCACGAACAACATCTCAACATTCCGTCCACTCGGCGGGGAGCGACAAAGCCAGCAAGGCGGGATCTCCACTCACTCAGTCAATGCTTCCTCACCATACCGACGCCGGCGGTGAGACGAGTATTCCGTCGACGGTAGAAAACCAGCCAGCAACACCCGGAGGCCAGGGTACCAGGGCCATACGGTCAGAGGTCGCAGCTTCACAGGGTGTCGACATGCGATCTCGGAACGACGAAGGCAGGAAGTAGGAATTTCTGCAAAGCTGACCTTGATGGTCTTCAGTCTCCTTGCGCCGAGAGAGACGGCACTTTTACCGGGCGATGGATCTTTCGGCCACGTCCGAGTTCGGGATACTATGCTCCTCTCCTTAGCACGGTCGGTCGTTCGGCTCAAGTTTGAGCCATTGTCTATTGAGGCCTGGCATGGCCTCCGTGATACCCATGCTGCACTGCCTTAGAAGGGAGGACATTACTGCTGTTTGCGCGCGAAGTCTACTTCTTACTTGACGCTTAGTACATACATAACTTTTTGGGAGAGCGGGGCGAGGCGTTTGGAGGGCCGCCCACATGATAGGGAGGGGCAATTATGGGGTGACGAGACGATTACGAACAGCATACATGGCTTGGTGTTTGATTATGGACGGACATGGCAACGGGTATAAGCTTCTTTCTTGTACATTGTTTATATATATACACGACGCAATCGACAGGTCTCGGCTGGAAGCGAGGGGAAGCGAGGCGAGGCGGACGTCGTGGCGAGAGCCCTATGGCCGGGTTGGGCAAAGGGCCGGGGGCGGGAGCGCGCGACAGAGGCTGCCCAGTGCCCGGACGGCTCACTTCACTGCAGTCAGCCTGCTCGCCCGCCCGCGGCCATGCCACTGAGGCCAGGCGCGGCGCGAGAGACGCTCGCGATCCCTCTCGATCATGTCCTCCACCACTCCTGCTCGCCCCTTTTGTTCCTGCCCCGTCTGACGCCCCGTGTCCGCCGCACGCAGACGCACTGCTGAACCCTGTGGATCGCTGTCCCCATTTCCGCGAGAGTACGCTGTTTCACCACACGCACGCCTGCAGCTCCACCCTACCGTGCCAGAGTAGTTAAGCCCTGCAGTGACCTCGCTTTGGCGACAAGTCCACTCCCCCCAATCCATCTCCCCCGCTCGCCCGCCCGCCCGCCCGCCGACAAACACCACTGTCACCCGCCATGGGGCCGCCGAGACGCCGGCTGCAATGGGAAGACGAGGATGCGTCGACGCTCGGCCATGGCAGCAGCGATGACGAATACGACGAGCAGCCCGCGCTGGACCGCGCGCCCGTCCACCCCATAGCATGCATGCAGGCCGCCTTTGAGGAGTCCATCATGGAGTCGCTGGAGCCCGTGTCCGAGTCCGAGGAAAAGAGGAAACACCAGCAGGACAAAGGGGGCGGCGGCGGCGGAAGTGCAAAGGCGCGCCGGCAGCGCATGCTCGACGAGGACGAATACAACGGCTCCTACACGGCGCAATGGAGGATGAAGCCGAGCGCCAAATACCACCCGCTCTGGAAGCTGGTGGCCCAGATCAGCTTCGGCGTGCACCTACTCAACCAGCAGCTGGCCAAGAGCGACGAGGAGGTCAGCAACATCCTGAAGATGCACGTGCAGGAGGTCGATGTCTTTCTGGAGAATACAACCGAGGACTTTGATCTCGCCCTTGCCGACATCCAGGAGCGCATCAATTATCTCAAGCTTCCATTGGAGCACGTCAACATTTTTGACATTATGCTCGACGACAGGCAGTTCCGCACGAGCATTGTGGAGGGTAACGAGAAGATTGAGAAAATAGTGGAGAGGACAGCAAGAGCGATGAACGACGCGCTTTTGGACGTTGAAAAGGGCATGGAGGCGACGGAGGAGCTGTCGAGATATCTGCAGCGGATTGGCGGCGAATGGACAGATGGGGACGACGAGCTGTGCGGTATTTACGATGCCATGTGCGGAAATTCGGAGGGTTGGTTGGAATGTCTTCAGACACTGCAAACGAAGGGCAATGATCTCGGTATCGCTCTGGTGCAGCTCGGTAGCATTCTCAATGAGATGACGAAGCGCGCTGGAGTGGCGAGCAGGAGGAGCATCGTAAGTGACCCTTTTGTAGTCCGGAGAGGCGGTCATTGCTTTGGCGCCTCCCTGTGGAGACGCCGTGTATCACGAGGGATAACGATGCTGATCTTATTGTTACATAGATCGCGCACCGGGCACCGGAGGCGGACCAACGGCCCGGATCAGGATCAGCCTCTAGATCAGCGTCGAGGTCAGGCTCGAGAGCGCGCGTCAACAGTCCTCCGTCGTCGTCGCGTTTGTCGCCGGGCCAACAACGGCCGGACAGACCAACGAGCAGGGCCAGGCAAGATAAACCACTGCCTCGAGACCCAGATCCAACCGTCCCCGGCATGGCCAACCTGCACAGATCACCGTCGAGGCCGCCACAAAAGGCGCACATGGTACCGATGGAACAACGCTTCGAAAACACGCGCAGACCGCCACCTCCGCCCCCTCGACAGCCCTCGTCCGTGACGGATGCGCCCGAGATACCAGCACGGGACATGAGACGTTTGCAAACACCTGAAGCGCGCTATGATGGTCCAAGATCGGGCACGAGCACGCCCATCTCCAAGTCCCCCAACCTGACTGTTTCTCACTCGCCAGCCATGTACAAGGCTTCCTCGCCCACTGCTCCCGCGAAGAGTCCCAGCATTCTTCGCAAGCGTCTTACCGTCCGAGGAACACGGGACAAGGATTCCTCTCCTATGGTTGATTCGGCTTATTCTTCGGGCTCATCTGGGTCATCGAATTCGTTTGAACGCGAACGGAAGCCTTTGAGATCTCCGGCATTGACCGTCAGATCTCCAATGCTGAGCCCTCCGTCTCCGATGCTGAGCCCCAGCTCTCTCCCACCACAAATGGAGCAGACGCACCCGAGCTGCAGGTCCTCTTTTCTGGCCGCTACGTCTCCTATGCAGAGTCCCATGCAAAGCCCTAATTCTCTCTCACCCGCTCCAAAGCTCGGTCTGTTCCCGCAGATGCGGGAGACACCGCCGATGACGCCGCAGGCTCTCTCTATTCGGTCTGGCATCACGGGCGGAGGTTTAACATTAAGTACTACATTGGAGAGTAGGCCCAGTACGGCGATGACGGTGGCGACAACGGCACCTAAACGCACTAATATATTGAGCAACGGAAGTGGGCGCGCAACCCCAGACGTGGCAAAGAAGAGGGGCAGCCTCATCGGGTTCAGGAAACTGTTCAGAAAGAAGACGTCCGCAAAACTTGGCCCGACAGCCGAGAATGAGGCGGAATGAAGGGACTCTGGCTGACTTTTTGCCTCTAGAGATCCTTGTTCGGCAGGATCAAGTCCAACTTTAACACAGAATCGGGCTCAATGCGTCCGCCAGGACAAGGGCCATTCTTAGAACAACACCAGTGAGCGAGAAGTACAAGAGAGACTCATGTCAGCAAAGTTGATTTTCCTGTTTATACGCGCTTGGATACCCCCTTCTCGCCCCCGCCGCCTTTGCGCGGCCTTTATATCTGAAGTTTTAATTCGGCGTTTGCTGAGAGGCGTATTTCTTGCATTTTCCACGACGCATCCACGAGCATTCTCAATGACATGATTGTCCGCAGTTTGTTACTTGGTCATTTGAGCATTCATCGTTTGGGGTAGATTGCATGGCGTCAAGACACAGCCAGTCCGAGGCTTGTATTACCGCATCGGCACAAGGCTACCGTTGTAACACCAGCCATTGTTCGACGAAAGGATGCGCTTGTCGGTATTAAACCCTAGTCCGAAACAAAAATCCATCTTTCTGTTCTCCGAGGCTGCTTTTTTCTCTTCGGTGATGCACGGTCGTGTCTCTGAAGACACCGTTGTTCTTTCCTCGTTCTCTCTCTTTGCGTCTCCCACCGCAACTTCCACATCAGCCCACGCGAGCTCGTTGCTTTTCTCCCCTTCTCCGCCTTCCCGTTACGATGTTCCATAACTGTCGCTTTCGCGTCACTTTCTCTCTCTCCCTCTCCCTCTCTTCCCTCCTCACGCCCCCCCTCGCTACTCGATTCGCTCATTCTCCCGCCCGACACCAGGGCGTCTTTTTGGATATCAAGCCAGGCTGGCAGCATCATGCCTCTCTCCGAGTTGGAGCCAAATCTTAGCGGGCGTGCGAGCAGGGCATCGTACACGTCCGTCAGCTCCCGAGGAACCCGAGGCACACGAAAGGCCCACCTCACACAGTCGGACTTGCTTTCCACCGGTGTCGTGTCTATGCTTCGCACCTCAACGGAACTAGGAGACATTGGCAGTTTGGCCGCGGGCAGCTCTTCGAGAATTCCTCGACCAACTCAGCAACGACGAAGCAGTGGCAACACTTCGCGACTCTCGACCAGCTCGACTCAGACTCAGGCACCCAAACGACCATCCAACCATAACTCCCGTCCATCGACATCTTCCGCGCCTCGGAGATCTATCAACAGCAGTCTCAATGTCCCTCAGTTCGTACCGGACACATTATCTCCGACTGTGATGGACCTGCCGGGCTCATCCCCTCTTATCCCTCATGCACGGAACGGCTCCAAGGACAATCGTTCTTACTCACTAACCACGAATGTATATGGGCCACCGTCGAGGTTGACAGGGCCTCGTTCCATGACGAGTCTCCGCCATATGGAGCCTGTCCCGCGTGCTCGCTCCCCATACAAATATCCTACTCGCCTCAAACGCCCAGGATTCCGTTCGCCTTCTCCAGCCTTGAGCGACATCACTGGTATGCAGCACAGGAGAATGTATCAGGCTGGGAGTCACGTACGAAGAATGAGATTACAACCTCCCTCTATGTCACCCCATGACATTGGCCCGTTTCCCTATGACCCACACTTCGATAGATCTATTCCGGCTGTCATGCCCTTAGATCTTGATGTTCCCTTACCACCTCGTCATCCATTAATGATTCGGAATGGATCGGCACCCCTGCTCAGACCTGCAAGATCTTTGAGATCCGCAAAGTCGGTGAGGAGCAACCGGACAGTTGAGTCTGATGGCCTGTCTTCTGGTCCTCCGTCAATGGTACCTCCAACTCCACAAGGGTATTCTCCAATTGAAGTCATGATTCATCCCGCCGGAAATGCCTCCCATGATTCGCTGGCTGTCCGGGCGCCATCAATTGCTCCTTCCACCAAAAGTTCGGAGCCGCTGTATTACGACTACAGTGAGCATTTTGAGGACCTAAAGTATAAAGAGTCCATGACCCCACCTCCTCCATCTACTGCTTTAGTTTCTCCCCTAGGTTTCGTCGAACGTATCAAAAACATCTTGAGCGAACAGGCTACAGCCAGATTAGGCCCAGGTCCTGCTCAATCAGAAGATGACTATTTTGAGGACATTGCAGCGCTTGTCGAGTTGCCTGCTACTCCGCCACCACCCGATACGTCTGATTCATCATCACCCCTCGTAAAAGCCGTTCCGGACATGCCTGATCCAATCGAACTTCCAGCATCTCCAGTCCCAAGGCGTATCACGAGAGAAATGATACTAGCTATCATCCAACCATCCTCGGCAAAGGAACCTACATCTAGTGTCGAGGTCAAGGTTAACATTGAATGTATTCCGGAGTCTGCCTCCAGTCATTCTTCAAGTGATTCATTTACAGGGTCAATGTCCACGGCTCAAGAACATCCACCAACACCGCCTCCAAAAGATGACAACAGCCAACGTGAGAGCTCAGTGGGTGGATTGAACTCAAGAGGTTCAATCGCAGCAGCAACTCAAAGCGACACAACTCCGAGATGCTCTTCACCTCAACATCATGATTCGGTTAAATCTATAGCAACGTCCACTCTTGAGCAACACTTGGAGCCTCGGGTACCAGTTCCAATTGCATCTCTTCAAGTTCCTGCTAGCCCTGAGAATCTAGAAAAGCCTCTCCCACCAACTCCGTCTACGGGAATTAGCTCGTTCAATTTCTCATCAGTCCGGGCAAAATCGATGATGTTGACTTCACCAAGCGCTCTTGATGAAGCAAAGGCCAGAAAGTCGGCACCTTCCCTGAGATCATCAAATGCGCAGGTCGAGAGGCATGACCAGTCTGATGTCTCGGTCGCGCTCAGCATGCCTCCGCCTACTTCGTCTGTCAAAGTATCCTTTCTTAATGAGGTACAAACTCCACGTCCTGATCGGTCACCAGAAAAGTCAGCGAATGCCTTCATGGAGAGTCCAGTGCCTAGCTCAATCACCTTTGCGACAGAAGCATCTACCCCTGGAAGTGCTACTGTTCAGTCAACCACAACCGTATCGGTACCTGCAAAGTCTTTCGGTTCTCGTGAGGTGAAGGATGCAAAGGAGACAAGGGATAGCAACAACACAACAACTCATCTTGTTTGGCCCATTAAAAGGCAGTCTTTTCCTTGCTTTGACACGAGAGACGAGGAAGATCCGTCAAGAAACTCCACATACAAGGATAACAGCATCGTCAACGACCTGAGATTATCAAACGCGCCACGGTACCCAAGTCAGCTATCCGATGTCAAAGAGGACCCTCTGGAAGAGAGTGCCCAAGACCTTCGAGCTTCTACCAATTTCAAATTCCCTCTCCCTCGTGGAATGGGCAGGGGAGTGTCTTTGGAGGAAATATATTACAGGGATTCGACTACAACAGGAACGGGAACGACTACAGCGAGGAATTCTGCAGCTACTCATAAGTCAAATCTTGCTGACACTCGTCTCATCCCGTCTATGAACTTCAGCCGCATGGATCTTTTTACGAAGCTCAATGAAGCTCTAGAAGATAGAGCCAATGAAGTTGTGGACGGGCGGGGTGCCTTGTCAATGGATGGCGCTCCGGCTGAACTCCATCAACGGCGGTCGCTTGATTTGGGAAGACCTCAATCTTACGGGCCGATGCGGGAAAAGTACAGAAGCTTCTTTGCTAGCCTGGATGAGCTCGGAAAGGACAGTGGGCCTGCACCAGAGTTGTATCCGAAGACACCGGAGATTGTGCAGCCTGGACCAGAGGAAAAGAAAAGTGAGGAAATGACAAACACTTCCATTGACCGGCGGCCTTACTCTCCTGAAGACCTGCTTACGGAAGTCGAGCGACTTTCTATACCGTCTGTCTCAGGGCTCACCCAGCGCCTCTCTGAGCTCATTCCTGAACTGAGAAGTCACGGCAGCAGAGAATATGTTGATGACATCGAAACGATGATTCAAGACGAAGAGCTGAAAGAAGATGTCGAAGAAATTCGCCATGTGGGAGATAGACCAGGTCTTCTGAACAACATGAAGTCCTCTGCGCGACTACGAGCTCTTCCAGGGAAGAACGTACTGGTGGTCATTGAAGATGACGTCTATGAAGAGCTGACGCAGGGAGAAAAATGCGCCGGTAGTCAAGGATCAGGGTCTCAAAGTCATATGCCTCAAAAGCAAAGCAATGCTTCGTCAAAAGGGCATCGGCTCGATAGGAAGGATTCCGTGGCCGAGTTTTTTGAAGACGGTTTAACGCCAGCGGGGCTAGAAGTACCTGCACCAGCTCATGTACGTGCGACCAGCGCCAAGGACGTAGATAGACATGATCAAAAAACACCGCAGAGGAGCCCTATGAGTTTCAAGCCCTGGAATCTCGGCATGAAGTTCCCTTGGAATGAAAGCACATCTGGTATTGACATAACCTTTCCGGCCAAAATCCACACCCGGGATGCTCCAAGCTCTCGTCAGTCAAAACTGAGGGATCGTCTCTCTCTATCCTCAGAATACTTGACTGACGTTACGAACAACGGTATTGGAGAGCATACCTGCTCGACTGATGCTGCCGACTCTCCAGATACTTTCAAGCACACCGCGAAGGGCAGCAGACCGAGCGTTCTCGGTTCCATCTCCCGCAGAGTCGGGCGATCTCTCGGCCTGGATAATAGCGGGACGTGGAATGGCTTCGATAGCACCGTTACAGAAGATCAGGCTCATGATCCGGGCGACCGTTATCCAACGACGAGTCTGAGCCCACCAGCTCATTTCAATCTTGACGAAGTTCGTAGCTTCTTCTCTGATGACAGCTCTCACCGTCGTACTGGCAGCAACTTCCGCAGGCGTCTAACGCATTTGAGACTGAAAGTTGCCGCGGCGCCTCGCGCACAGACAGCCATGGACATGCGTGGTGCAAATCCGGAAAACAACGGATCGATAACAGACTCGAGGATCGGAATGGGCGGCAGCGTCCATACATATGAAGGCACGACAGGCATGCCACGGTCGGAATACAGGACTAAGAAGTTCTTCGACAAGATCAAGGAAGTTTGGTTCCGCACTGGCGAACTGCTGAGGAATATGAGCGGGAAACGAAGAGCTGAGAAGCAAGAGACGCGTGAGTGGCTGCAAGACAGCGACCTCAACCTCGGAACTTACACGGGTGCTTGATTACCCATGAAGGCAAGCCGATCGACCGCCTGATGTGGCCGCCGCATCTTGACATGGTATCCTACATGCTTCCACCAGCCATTATACTAGGAGTACAGAGTGGACAGCAACAAACAACACTTACCATGTGGCATCATCCAACCCGCAACAGGAGTAGTAGTGTTTTGAGTCAGGGATTTTCGCAGCAGACGTTTTTTAAGCTTTTCTAGTTAGAATCAACTGACCAGTCCTTTGGTTCTTGGCTACGGCACGATCGACCAGGGCTACGCTGGACTGCTTACTTCTGGGGAAGGACGGGCCAATCTCGACTTACAGGCGGCAACTTTAACTCTTCAAGAACATTTTGGGGCGTGGGCGCAACAACGTCAGGGCGAGCACATGGGCTGATGGCGTCATGAACAATGGCGGGACGACAGCGCCGACGATCAGCCGGGCGGCTGTGGCCGTAAGTTTGACGTTTTCTGTCATCCTTCCCCTCGGATCCATCGCGCGAAAGTGTGTTTCGTGCCGGCGTGGACGTTGCCGCCCCCACAGCGCCGACGGGCCGTGGCGAAAGGATTCGGGATGGTATGGGGCGGCTAGGAATGCAAATTTTAGAGGCAGATATGCAATTAATGGGGTGGGTTAGAGCAGACTAGCGAGATGTAGATCAATGGATTAAGGTTATATTTAATGCCGGGCGTCCCGCATCCTGGATCCTGGCTAGCTGGCTCGGGGGTCGCGTGGTGTGTGGGTGTGTGGGGACGACGACGCTTGACGCTGGGCGGGGACGGGATGTTCTTTTTCTCGCTGTCAGACCGGCTGGCTCGGCTTGGTTTCAATTTGACCACTGGTTAGTTGTGACTCCGGTTGTTTTTTGCCTAGGTAGGTACTACTACTGCCTCGCCCGCCCGGCTGCGCCGGAGCTGCCTCCTCTGACGCACTCACGCGTGCGGAGGTTGCGGAGCTAGGTACCTACGAGTAGGCGGAGCGGCGAGGCGCGGAGGTGTGGGTTAGTGATGGGTGGATGATGGAGGGATGAGATGGGTAGGTAGGTAGGTAGGTACATAAAGCCGTCTATGGTTACCTGCAGACGCACCCACACAGAGAGACCTAGGGAGAAGGAGAGAGCCTATCTATACACACAGACACAAACACAGGCAGCAACAATGTCACCCATCCACGTCCCGCACCCCCACCCGCACCCCCACCAACACATGCACATGCACGTCCCCGCCGCGCCAGCCACAACCCTCGACGATGCCCACGACGCCGTGCAGCGCTTCCTGGCGCAGCATCAACGGGGACACCACTGGCACAACAGCGCCATGGGAGATGATGCGCCGCCGGGCTTGCTGCGCGTGCCTGGGAGGGGCGGGCGGATGGGGAAGGAGTATTTGCCTCCTCCTCCTCCTCCTCCTCCTCCTCCTACTACCACTACTACTACTACTACGACGGGGACGGCGGATGTGCATCGCCATCGGCGGCGGCAGGGCGAAGCGAGCGCGGACGCGGACGCGACTGCGGGCGCCAGGAAGAAGGAGGAGATGGAGGAGAAGGAGAAAGCCATAGCCCCACCACCACCAACAGCACCAGCACAGCCGCCTCCCCTCCGCCGCGCCTCCTCCAGAAGCATCTCCTCCTCCTCCTCCTCCTCCTCCTCCTCAGCCTCCTTCACCACAGCCGCGCTCCCACCACTTCCACCGCCGCCGCCCCCGCCCTCGCAGCAAACAACATCAACGTCAACCACAGCAGGATCAACAGCAACGGGAAGCACGCCTCCACCCACGCAGCTCCAGCTCCCAGAGCCCGCGCTCCTAGCCCCAGCGCACCCGCCTGCGCCATGGCGCGCGCAGATAAAGACGCAGACGCAGACATACACACACACGCAGCCACACCCGCAAGCGCAAACGCAGACGCACGCCGACTGGGTGCGCCGCGGTGGGTACCTCTGCTCCGGGACGGCGACGGCGGGGGCAGGGGCGCGGCAGCCGTGCAGCTGCTTGGTGGCGGATGCGGATCCCGGGGGCGAGGGGGACCATGTGCGGGGGTGTGGGGTGTGTGGGCGTGGGGTTGGTGTTGGTGTGGGTGTTGGGTTTGGGAGGGGGGATGGGGAGAGGTGGTGGTGAGGGCTTTTTTTTTTTTTTTTCAGAGTACTAGGTAGTGGTGTATGGATGGATGGGTCGATGAATGTATGAATATGATTGTTGGTATCTTACGTGGATTGTCTTCTCGTTTGTCTTCCCTTCGTGTATGTGTGCGCCTCTAGAGTACTCGTAACTGATCCAATGGCCGCTCGTCGTCGCTCCACGCCAGCCATCCAAGCAGCCGCTCAACGCAAAAGCTGACGCAGCAGGGCGAGACAAGCTCTCCTCCCAAGCAAACATGGCACAGTGTTGGTTGGCGTCATCGCAACAGCAGGTCCAGAACCGTGCAGGCACCCGCAACGACGACGCCGGCTGCCGAAACCCGCTTCCCCTGTCCTTCCCTCTCCCTCCCTCCCTCCCTCCTTTTCTCTCCGGGTTTCTCCGCAAAAAGCAAACACCCACCCTACCTCAAAAAACGGCGCCGCCAATGATAAAGACGCGCTCCTCCTCGCGGCGCACCCACTGGATGACCTTGTTGGCGGCCTGGGCCAGCGCGGCGCGCGACGTCGTGCCGGGCGCAATGGCGTAGAGCTCGAAGAGCGGCGTGGTCCACGCGAGGCTAATGTGGTGCGTGCTGGTGCCGTGGTGGATCTTGAGATGGGCGGGGCGGGTGTGCAGGTGCGCGTGTAGCGAGGCATAGAGCGAGATGAGGCTGCAATGCACGTGTCAGCATAAAATAATAATAACACAGCCGTCGTCGTGGGTGTAGCGGCGGCCGTCTTCTGCTTCTGCTTACAGGCGACGGTCCAGCGCCGTCTTGAAGTGCGGCTCGTACGAGGGCATGGTGAACTGCACGTTGCCGCGCGATTTGTAGATGAAATGCCGCAGCACTGTGCCGGGTGCTATGTCGGTGCAGGCCAGCCGGCCCCTTTTCACCGCCGTCTTAATGTGCGCCATGCTGCCGTTCTTCTCCAGTTGCTGCAACGCTGTGAGTAGAATGAATGGCCCGCTGCCGTGCGCGCAAACATACCTCGATCAGATCGTCGCGCATCTGCCGCAGCTCGTAGAAGCCCTCCTTGTTTGCGCTGATGAGCAGAATCGCAATCTCGTCGTCCTCGCCCGACGATGTCGACGGCCTCTCGTCGCGGCTTGCGTCTTGGTCGTTCACGCTTAGGAAGCTCACGTACATGTACAGGTAGCCCGTGTTGTTGAAGCCGGGTAGGCACAGCGGAATCCAGTTCTCACCGCCGCCAGCCTTGACGCTGCCCGCTTCAAACAGCATGTTGAAGATGAGCTGCAGGTCGCCCGGGTGTAACGAGTGCTTCTTCGGACGCACCACGCTGACGAGGCGCCCGCCGGCGACAATGAGCCCGTACAACAGGTTCGGCGCACGGGTCTTGAGGAAGATATTATTAATCGCCTGCCGCTGCGTCTTCCGTAATCTCAAGCACTCGAGCGCCGACAAGAGCGTCGACGGAGAGCCTCGGGTGAAACCATCGGCCAGCGCGGAGAGGAGCGTTTCCGTGCCTTGCAACGGCCTACGCAGGTCCGTCGACGCTCTTGCACGGAACATGCGCTCCAAGCTCGGGAGCGTCAAGGTGGAAAGGATCTGCATGTACAGCGACTCTAGCTGCGTGCGCAACTGGCCGTCGCTTTCACCCAGCTTGCTGATGGCGACCAGGTTCAATGGACCCTTTGTGAGGATAACAAAGCGGGCCCGGCCCGCCGTGAAGCCCCTTATGGCGTCATGGGCGTCTTGGTAGAAGTTTATGATGGTCTGCACGACGCCGATGGTGTTGGCGATGAGCTGGTCGTCGCCGTGGCGGCTGTAGATGGGCTTGCCGGCTGACGAGAGGATCAGGTAGTGCTTCAACTTGGATCTCCATTGATTCATCAGAGCTTCTACATGGCAGCAGCAACATCAGCGAGCGTGTCCGAGGGCCCGAGGAGCGCGGGCTGACCTTCGTTGGAGCCGTCTGTCCTGAACTCTTCGAGCTCGTCGAATTCGCTGTCGAAGGCGAGCTCGAAGGCGGCGTCGCGGGGAAAGAGGGATTCGTGGGGGTCGTGGCTCATGGTCTTCCACAGGTGGGTGTCGTCGCCCAGCATGCTCTCGACATCGGTCTGCGGCTCGAGGGCGGGCAGGAAGCTGCGCACGCTGGCCGTGTCGCCGGCGTCGCTGGTCGAGGAGGCATTGTCTTGGGCAAAGGACTGGACGGTCGGGATGGACAGGGCCGTCGTGGGTCTGGCGGTTAGTTGCAGGGCGCGATTCTGGGGGCGCGGCGGCAGCGGCGGCGGGGTGGGCTCGCGCGAAGTGTTCAGTGGCGACGGGGGCGCGACCATGGCCTCGTCGTCATTGTCGTCGAGGTGTTGGCGAGCCGGCGGGCTGGAACTCGCGCGGCCAAGAAAAGACGGCCGGGGGGTCCATTGCATTGTGCTTGTGCTTGTGTGCTGTGCTTCTTTTGCGAGGGTGGAACTGTCGCGTCTAGCTGCCGCCCGATCTCTCTCTCTCTCTCTCTCTCTAGGTCTACTCTACTCTACAACCCTCATTCCTCCGGCTCCGGCTCCTCCTCCTCTTCTTCTTTTTTCCCCCTCTCTCTTCCCCCTCCCCCTCCTCCTCCTTCTCCTCCCCCGCGCCGCGCCCTGTCTTCTCCTCGTCCGCCCGCCCGCTGGTCGTCCACCCCCCACGCGCGCGCGCCCAGTCGCCGCCGCCGCCCCTTTCGCCCCGCCTGAACGACGGCGGCCTCGTATCAGGCAGCGCAAAAATCGAACAAACCCAGCAACACCCCCGACCCGCGATTTTTCGGCCTGCGCGCCCGCGCGCACCACCTCCCCGTTGCGTGCTTGAAAGCCCGCTCGACGCGCTTGCCGCCCGACCACCGCTCCGCCCTTGGCACATGCGCGCCGCTTGCGCACACGTCCGGCTTCACGGCCAGGCTTAGTCGCCCAGCGCAGTCGCCTGCGCGAGTCGCAAATTGATCGGCACCCTCGATGTTGGGCGTTTCATTTGCAAAAGGCGCTTCGTCCCCCTTAGGAGCAGCATACGAGCGACGGCCATTTCTCATGACCGGTTCATGGAGATAATACCACGTAATCACGACGTTACACTCGCTGCCGCTGTGCCCAACCAAATCTTATTTTTTTTCACCCTCCAGTCTCAGCCTGAGCCGGCGCGTGTCAGAAGCTGGCGGAGCTGCAGTTGCCTGTCAGACAAAACCTCTGCGCCACATCATAATCGCCCACCATGCAGAGACAATACATACCTCCTCCGCCGCCGCCCCAGCAGGTCCCCACGCCCGCCCACGGCGGCATGACCATCCCCCCTCCGCCACCGCGCTCTACCGCACCTTCCCAATCCCACACCATGATGCTGCCGGGTCCGCCCCCTGCCCCACCGACCTACTGGAACAGACAGGCAAATACTTATGCGAATGCGCCAAACAGTGCTGCCCCGCACGCTCCTTACAACCCTAACGCATATCGTACCTATCAGCAGTCGTCGCAGCCGCCAATGAACTACATGGGCACCCAGCCAGACACCCAACCACTCACTTCAGCCACGTATATTCCTGGCGGCGAGTCTTTTGGCCCGGGTGTTGGCATTCCGCCTCTCCACACTTCGGATAGCTACAGTGCGAACAGCTACCACCCATACTTCGGGGATTATTCTCAGTCGAACCCGCCGCTGGCCACGCCGCCTGAGGAGCTTTCCAATGCCAACTACACGAGCCAAACGCCGCAGGCACCGACGCGCCCGCCGCCTGGCCAACCCGTTCTTCCAGTCCAGGAACACCAACATTCAGGCTCGGCGAATCCGGTTATTCACGCAAAGCATGCCTCTATGCGCAGCGATGGGACCGCTGCGAACACGCCCGTATCACCTTCTCAACAGCCTGGCTTCCAATGGCCTTTGGATCGCGTTCTGATATGGCTCGCATCAAATTCCTTCTCGAACGATTGGCAAGACACGTTTAAAGTAATGAATCTCGAAGGGGACAGATTCCTCGACCTCGGCAGGGGACACGGATCAAGCGGAAATGTGGCAATGATTCATGGCGAGATATTTCCGCAGCTGGCAAAAGTGTGTACTGCGAGCGGAACAGGGTGGGACCAGACGCGCGAAAGAGATGAAGGGAAGAGGCTACGGCGGCTTGTCAAAGCGATTGTGGACAACGGCGGCGTTGCCACGATTGCAAAGCCCGTTCCAGGCCGGCGCACTTCTACGACATTCCATACAAGCGCCGGGGCAGATGGCACAATTGAGAACTCGCCAAACCTGGGACGCCCGGAGCTGTTTGGGTCAACGCCCACGACAGCCGCAGACGGAGAGAGCCCCGGCAAGCCCATGGGCCCATTGAGTCTCAATTCACCTGCGACAAACCCGAGGCGCCACTCTGGACAGCGCAATTTCACGGTCCCGTCCCTGAGTCAGCCGGACCACGTTTCTGAAACTGGGCGGAGCATCTATTCAGAAAAGGTTCTGAGAAACATTGGCGACGGCCCGGCATCCAAAAGACATAGTCCCAACGCCTCAGGAGAGTTTGGTTCCCGAGAGGCTTTGAGATCGGCTAGCCCACAACAAAGCCCTGCACTAGGATCTGTACGCCCGGCCCAGGCCACGAGCGCGACTAGGTATTACGTTAATCGCCACGATCCAGCCAACTCGGAGTCGAATCTCCCGACCTTGGCCAGTATTTCAGGGCAACAGCCTGGAAAATCTGGCGAATACCGAAGGAACTGTATCGAAGGGGGTCGCGATTACAGCAGCAGTCGACACAACAGCAACGATCCGGAAAAATCCAAGGAACACAAGAGCTTTTTGTCCAAGTTTCGACGGGACAGAAAACACGATTCTCATCCATCTCCAGATGAGTCAAGCATCGATTCCCCCACCAGCCCTGTTGCTAGCTTCCGCTACCTACCTACCAACGCCCCCTTGAGATCGAGCTTAAACTCCAGCGAGACGTCGTTGAACGAACGGCCCCCCTCGCGTAGATCAGCCCAAGCTGAAGCCGACAGTTCCGCGACGCGGCCTCGCGCCATGACGAGGGATTCAGAGCCTCGCAAGTTTTTCTTCGTCACCCCTGATGGGTGGAATTACCGACTTGTGGATGTCACCGGCATCGACTCTGCCAGTAAACTGCGCGACACGATATGCCGGAACCTCGGTTTCTTCAACACACCTGACATAACACTGCACCTTACTGCAGCGGGCCAGACCGAGCACGACGAAGGACTTAACGACGAGCTCTTGATGCAAACGAGACGGATAGCAGATGGGTCAGGGAATCTGAAGATATTTGTGAACGTGCCAGAGCCCGCATCCGGCCCTGCAGGCTTGGGATTGGGCATGGCCGGGACTGTAGCATCGCCTTTTGGTCCTATGTCACTGACCGGTAAGCCGATAGATGAAGATAGGCTCAGGGAACTGCAGGCGCAGAACCGGTTAGACTCTCCCGATCCTCGATCCGGCGAATCCACGCTTGTGCCAGCCCAAGAGCAGGCTCTCCGCAACCTCGGCAAGGACCCCGATCTGGCAGTTGATGGTAGTAGTCATCGTCCGAAGAAATCGGACAGGACGTGGGAAGCAGCCGGCACCAACGACATGTCTGAACAAGAACGCAAGGAGCTGCTTGAGGCAGCAGCCGAGGCTCATCGCCGCGACATGCAAATCCGACAAAAGGCATATCTTGAGAAGCGTAGGAACAACTTGAAAGCGGCGGCGTCACCGATGGAACCGCCGCCGAGCGCAATCGGCTACATCCGAGAGGGTATCATCGACTTTGATGAGCGCCGCGACTCTCCCTACGAAGACGGGAAACGGCCGTTCGATGAACGCAAGAACAAACTGGTGCCGCTTAGAGAGCCACCGCCCGCGCCGCAGGTCGAGACCGAAACACTCATCAGAGCCAACACCCTCAGCAAGCGCGAGCGCGGTGGCAGGCGTGATTCTCGGCCAGAGGCCGACGAACCGCTACCGCTGCTCACCAACCGAACCTCTAGCGGGGAAACAGGCACGCCCGACGTCGAACGAACCCGCCGCGCCTTCCCCGAGACACCCTCTGTCACATCAGGCATCGGCGCTGCGCTACTCGGAGTAGGCAAGCTTGGTGGCATGATTGGCGCTCCTCCGCGTGCTCCACTCAAGCCTTCGGCATCGTCATTCTTTGGCGCCTCGCCCACCATCCCCACGCCGACTGTGAATACGCCAACTGACAGAGAGGTGAAGCATCAACGAGCGATGACTGCTGTGAATTTTGCTGCTTCTCGGAACGGTAGTCCAGGTGGGTCCCCTAGAAGTTTTCATGGTATTACCATGAGCAAAGGTCAAATTCCGTTTATGATTCCTGACTATTTTACGGAAGCTCCTATGGAGGACCGTGCACAGCAAAACAAGCCAGATTCGACCCTCGAAAAGTCCGCCGTCGAGAACCCCGCCATCTCCAAGCTCAGAGAGGCCTCGGCCGAGCTCGCGATGCACGTTTCGCCGGAAGTCAGCCCAAGTACTGCGGGCCCACCGACGTCGCTCTCGCGCATGTCTTCCAGAAGGTCAAACTTCGATTTCCAGGAGACGCATGTGGCGTTCTCCAAGTCCCCGGTTATTACGGCGGAGGATTCTGATGAAGATTCTGACGACGGCTTGTTCGCAAAGCCTATTGCGACTAAGAGCCCGCCGCGTACGAAGATTGAAGAGCCTCAATCGGCGAGGAGCCAAAGACCCTCGCTGTCAATTGAGACCAAGTCAAAGATACGTTTCGCGTCACCTGAAAGGGGCAGGGGACTTAGCGCCAGCGGAAATCCGCCTAATATTGACAGATTCATCCCTACGGACCTTTCCCTGGACTCACCGGAGGAGGGGAGGGCCTTCAATGGCCGACGGGAATCCTTCGCGAGTGACATTTGGGCTAACCGTCCCCCGCCCGAGGCTCTTGTGGAACACCTCGACGAGTTCTTCCCGAACGTCAACCTCGATCAACCGATTATGGACGAGAATGAGCAGACGCCCCCAGCGTCTCCTACCCAGGATGGCAGGAGCCAACAGGAGCCCAGTACCCCCCAGGATGTTAGCCGTGCGGTTACACCATTGTCAGCGCCTGAAGATGAGAGCACTCTGCGGAGCTCCGACCAGTCGGCGCTGAAGCGTGGCGATACGATCATGTCCATGGCACAGCGGAACATGCGCAAGGCGGGTGGCCTCGGACGCACCAAGTCTATCCGTGAGACTGTCAGGTCCCAGTATCAGCCCCAGGAGAAGCGGTCGTATCCCGGACCAGCGCGCGTCAACACGCTCAAGTCTGGCGACATTGTGCGGAGGAAGAGCACAAAGATGTTCGGCGCCAGGATTGAGCAGGTCAAGCCGCCGCGCGGTAGCCGCATGATCCCGTTGTCGTCGATCCCACAAAACACGATGCCCGTTCAGCAAAACTTGCAGCGCCAGCCCACGTTTAAATGGATGAAGGGTCAACTGATCGGCAAGGGCACGTTCGGACGGGTGTACCTCGGTATGAATATGACGACGGGTGAACTGATCGCCGTCAAGCAAGTCGAAGTGAAGCCCAACCTGGGCGGGACGGACAAAGACCGGATGAAGGAGCTGGTGGAAGCGCTGGACCGCGAAATCGACACGATGCAGCACTTGGACCACCCGAACATCGTGCAGTACCTGGGATGCGAGCGCAAGGAGTTCTCGATTTCTATCTTCCTGGAATACATTCCCGGTGGTAGCGTTGGTAGCTGTTTGCGCAAGCATGGCAAATTCGAAGAAGCTGTCGTCTCGTCGTTGACACGGCAGACGCTGGACGGCCTCGCCTACCTCCACCGCGAGGGTATCCTACACCGTGATCTCAAGGCCGACAACATTCTTCTCGACCTCGATGGCACATGCAAGATCTCCGACTTCGGTATCTCGAAGAAGACAGACAACATCTACGGCAACGATATCACAAACTCGATGCAAGGATCCGTCTTCTGGATGGCGCCCGAGGTGATCCGCTCGCAGGGCCAGGGCTACAGTGCCAAAGTCGACATTTGGTCGCTGGGGTGCGTGGTGCTGGAGATGTTCGCGGGTCGGCGCCCGTGGAGCAAAGAAGAGGCCATTGGCGCGATTTACAAGCTGGGCAGCCTGAACCAGGCCCCGCCGATTCCGGACGACGTGTCGCAGAACATCAGTCCTGCCGCCGTCAGCTTCATGTATGATTGCTTTACGATTGATCCGTCGGATCGGCCGACGGCAGAGACGCTGTTACGCGCGCCGTTTTGCTTCTTTGATCCACACTATAACTTTTTGGATACGGAGCTTTATGGCAAGATCCGTGGGGCGTTTGATGGGCATTGAGGGGGTAAGTGTGCTAGGGGTGGAGTATGGGGGCGCGTACGAGCGCTCGCGCGCACGAATACGACAACGACAATAACGGTTGCAGCGGCAGCAGCGGTGGCGACGCATCGTGAGATATGCGTTTAACTCTTCTCCTTCACTTGCTTCGTTTTCTTCGTCTTCACAAGTCAGATCGAGCGATACTCTTTAGCGATTCCCTTTTTTTATTTTCGTTTGCTCTTGCGCCGCGTTTGCTGAACCGAAATGTTTTGTCATACTATTATCTTGCTTTCTTGCTCGCTTCTGCTGTCTTTTATATTTTCTATTTGTCTGGTTTTTTGGCCTCGTATGCCCGCTTGTTTGGTTGCTTTGCTTTGCTTGCTTGCCTGCTTGCTGGCTTGGCTTGGCTTGCCACCCACCGTCCGTCTATCCGTCTCTGTTTTGTCTATATACCTACCTACTTACCTCTGTTGTTAATCGCTTGTCGTCGTCGGCATGGCGCACCGTCTTCTGTGGCCGATATATCTACCATCTACCCGTCCAACTGCTCTGGCTCCGCGCACACGTTGTTTTGCTTTTCGTCGCAAGATATCTCTTGTTCGATGTTGGATTGGGCAGATAGACAAGGCAGGCAGGCAGTCGGATGGCTTAATACCCCGCCATCGCCGCTCTCGCATCCCTGCACCCTCAACGTCTGTCCTGGTTTTGCTCGGTCTGTTTCTTTGGGTTTACGTGCTTGCTTGCTTGCTGGCTTACTTGTTTTGGTTGATGGGCTTTTTTAGGCGTATTTATGGGCATGGATACGGCGGGAAGACGGAGATGGGAGAAGAATATCGGGACATTAAGACTTGGGGAAAGATAAACGCGTAACTACATAAGAAATAGCATGTTTGTGAGAGGGGCAAGCTAACGGAAATGGGTCAAGGTGGGGGAGTGACTGCTGGGAAGTGGGGAGCAAATTTAATGGAAATGCGTCATCACGTGTTTTGGCACCGTCGCGTCGCGTCGGGTTGGCTTCGCGAATCCTGCCCGCGACACCTCAACTCCACCACCACGACGCGCCGCCCCAGCCTCTCCACCTCTCCCTCCCACAATGGCAAGCTTCTTCGACATCAAGGCGCGCCAGGCCGCCGCGGCCGCCGCCAGCTCCTCCAAAACCCCCGCCTCAAAACCAGAGACGAACCGGCTGCAGCCTTGGGTCGAGAAATAGTGCGGACACCCTCTCATCATGCACGAGCAAGCAAGCAAAGCTGACATTGGCGTGCCTTCAGCCGCCCCAAGTCCCTCGCCGATGTCACCGCCCAAGATCACACCATCAACGTCCTCGAGCGCACGCTGCAGTCGTCCAACCTGCCGCACATGCTATTCTACGGCCCGCCGGGCACGGGCAAAACGAGCACGATCCTGGCGCTCGCGAAGCAGCTGTACGGGCCGGAGCTAGTGAAGACACGGGTGCTGGAGCTCAACGCGTCGGACGAGCGCGGCATCAGCATTGTACGGGAAAAAGTCAAAAACTTTGCGCGGCAGCAGCTGAGCAACCCGCCGGCGGGGGCGGCGGGCAAGGCGTACCGCGACAAGTACCCGGTGCCGCCGTTCAAGATCATCGTGCTGGACGAGGCGGACAGCATGACGCAGGACGCGCAGAGCGCGCTGCGCCGCACCATGGAGACGTACTCGCGCATCACGCGCTTCTGCCTCGTGTGCAACTACGTCACGCGCATCATCGACCCGCTCGCCAGCCGCTGCTCAAAGTTCCGCTTCAAGAGCCTCGATGTGGCGAGCGCGGGCGCGCGGCTCGCGGACATTGCGGCGCTCGAGGGCGTGCGTCTCGCTGATGGGGCCGTCGACGCCCTCGTCCGCGTCAGCGACGGCGACTTGCGCAAGGCTATCACGTTCCTGCAGAGCGCGGCGCGCCTCGTCGGCGCCACCAAGCCTGCTGTCCCTGCCCCTACCAAGGGCGCGCGCAAACGCGTGCTTGAAGACGACGATGATGCCGACAAAGACGGGGACGCCATGGACGTCGACACCGCCGCCGCCAAAAAGCTCGCCGCAGACTCGTCCGGCCCTCCCGTTACCGTCGCCATAGTCGAAGAGATTGCGGGCGTCATTCCGGGCCCGACGATCGCGGCGCTGCTGGCAGCAATGCAGCCGCGCAGCAGCAGCAGCAACAACAACGGCTCAACGTACGAGGGCGTGGCGCGCGTGGTCGAGGACATGGTGGCGGACGGGTGGAGCGCGGGGCAAGTGGTGGGCCAGCTGTACGAGGCCGTCATGTACGACGAGGGCGTGGCGGACCTGCACAAGAACGCGATTGCGCTCGTGTTTTCCGAGACGGACAAGCGGCTGGCGGATGGCGCCGACGAGCACTTGGAGATTCTGGACTTGTGCTTGCGGGTTGCGGGCGTTTTGGCGGAGGAGTGATGATAAGTGGGTGAGGGGGTGAGGGTGGAGGTGGGGGTTTTATGAGATGCGAGGGGAAGTGAGTGGGCGAGGGAATGATGATACCTATGATGTTTTAATTTTGCTGTTATTGCTGCTGAAGCCGCTGCATTGCAGTGCACTGCACACACTCGGGCACGAGGTTGTACTATCGAGTTTTCTTTCCATGCTCGTATGATCTCTATACTGCGCCTCTCGTTCGCGCTCACATGCATGCCCATGATATATGGTCACAAGTTACGATCGTCCGGCAAGGACTTTTGTCGTCGAGCTGGAGCCGGCGGAGGAGACGGTAGTTATACCCCTCGGGCAATAGGATCTCCATCAGATCGTTATAAGTAGGCGGGGAGCCATGTCGTGTCGTGTCGTGTCATGTGGGGAGAGCCGGCACGCGAGAGGCGCATGTTCGTACAATATAGATGTGTGTGTGAGTAACATGTACATACTCCGTACCTACTCTGTACAACACGTGGCGCAAGCCCATCTCATAGACGCGTTATACCACATTCCTCTATCGCAGCAGTAAGGAGCAAGCAAGGAGCAAGGTCCAACACGCAAAAAAGGTGGGTACGCAAGCAGTAGGTTCTTCGGGGCGTTTCATCATCATCATCATCATCATCATCATCTAAAAGGCGCTGACGACGTCTCTCGGCCCCCTTGTTCCGAGCCAGCGATCAGAGTAAGGATGGAACGGGTGGGCCGTGCCGATGCAAAGCAAAGCAGCAAGGAACATGGGAGTTGGGACTGGGAGCAACTACGTAGGGTTGGCTGCTGCTGCAGAAAGGGAGTCGGGAGGCCATGCACCATGATGTAATAAGGCGTGCGTGCGCGAGCATCCTTGATTGAGCGTCGCGACGCGATGCGGCTGTGGAGGCTCTGTTGCGGCTCCTTGGCTCCTACATACGCAGCTGCTAAGCAAACAAAGCCTAGGAGTAAGTGGCTAGCTACGACTAGTTACCTATGTTATACGGGACATTTGTTTCACAGACGCCAGAGATGATGCCATTTTTAGCCACACAGCGAGAGAGGCGCGTGCAGTCGGGGCGCTGCCCGGAAAGCCTGAAACCGGGCTGTGTGTGCGCGCGTGTGTGGGTGTGCCTGGCGCTGGGCGTGGCTTTCGGTTTCCATTCCTTCCTTTCGGGAGGCGGTAAGCGGAGGCTAGCCTTAGGTACATACTGATGGAGATAGCGGGGCAGCAACGTTCGCTTATCGGGGGAGGGGGCTTGGGGGGATGTGTGCACGTGTATGTGTGGAGAGACGGGGGGTGATACAAAGAGTGGAGAATGGGGAGATGAAGAATATGGTATGGTGATGAAGAAGAAGAAGATGGCGTGAGATAGAGAGAGAAAGAGAGATGGGAAAGATATGGATGGAAAACTGATGATGATGGCAAAACGCCCGGCAGGTGGAGCTCGCACGGGCGCGGGGCTTTGCAGGCCGCGCGCGGTGATCAGGAACTCACGACCCCAGACGCTCCCAGAGCTGAGGGCGCCAAGCTACGCTCGACCCCACCGCGTCTTTGTGTCGGTGAGGGTGCCTGCCGAGGTGCTGTCGAACAGTAAAAATGTGGCTGCGTCCCGCGCGGTGTACATACTGAGCTACTGTCGACTGTACTTTGCTTCAGCCACTCTTTTTTATTTATTTAGTTACATACGTCACGGAGCATTTAGTACCGAACCTAACATCCTTCTCACCTACCCAGCAGCTCACCATCCACACATGGGTCGGGCCGCCGGACTGACCAGCCGCCTGCGCGCCAGCGCTCTTCCTCGCAGCGCCGCCCGCCTGCTACGCCTGCCCGACGAGATCCTCATCATCATCATCGAACACTGCGACATCGACGCCTTCCTGCAGCTGCGCCTGACCTGCCGCGCCTTCCGCAACCTCATCGCCACCTACGAGAGCACCATTGTCCAGGCCGTCGCCCGCACCACCTTCCCCGAGTGCCGCCGCCTGCTGCGACCCCCGCCCACCAACATCAACTCCAGCACCCTCTCGCTGCCCGTCATCCGCGTCATCCCAAGTACTTGCCTACCTACCCCTCCTTCATCCTCTGGAACCAACCCCGCGCGCTAACCCCGTCCTCCCCCCCCCCGCCAGAATCGCCCTACACTATCAAATGGCTCACCGGCCTCATCCCCAAGCACCTCGCCTCCATCGTCGTCGATCGCCATCGCTACTGCGGCACGCCCCTGCCCATGCTCGACGGCATCCCCTCGGAGGACGAGGTAGGCGATGATATCCGCCGCCACGTCGCCCATGGCTTCCGCATCCTCGAAGCTCTATCCCTCATCGCCAAAGACGTCGAAGAGACGCCCGACTCCAAAATCGAGTCGAAACTGCCAAAGTGAGTAGTTATTGCTGTTGCCCCGCAACCCCCCACCCAGAAAGTGCGTCCCCCGTATTCTGATCCGCAACCCCCCGAAAAAAAGAGACCTGATGCACCGGCGAACGCCGCCCCCCGCCTGGCCGAACCGCATGTTCCGCAAGACGAAGCGGGCGCTGTGGTCGTGGCGGCGCCCGCAGGAAACGGCCGAGAAGCAGCGCAAGGCGTTGCTGCAGCGCCGCCAGGACCTCACGACCGCCCTGCAGTGCCACTACATCTACAACAAGCTGACGCCCGAGGGCGCGCGCGACTTTGACGCCATGTGGACCATTCTGCGCATGGCCTTCCAGCACCGCCGCTACTTCACCCTCGGCACCGAGACGCTCGACTGGTGCAAGCCCGACCGCCGCGACGTCTTCTTCGGCGACTCGTGGGTCAACTGGTTCGTCTTCGAGGCCGGCGCCTCGTTCTGGTGGAAACACTACTGGCTGCTGAAGATCCGCCATGCCGACCGCAAGGCCCCCTCGGGCTGGCAGGAGATCAACCGCGCCTTCTACGCCCGCCCCCGCGACCAGATGGTCATTGAGCGCGCCGGCGCCGCAGAGGTCTACGCCACTATGCACCACCGCATGAAGGGCGTGGACCGCATCCGCCTGCCCTCGAGCGAGGAGTACGAGGGCATGATTCGCAGCTTGCAGCGCGATCCGCCCGAGGACAGGCTCAAATATGTCTGTGCGAGCATGACGCTGTATTAACGAATTTCCTTGCGGCGATTACATTTCGCTTTTAATGACCTTTTGCTTTTTAGCCTTCCCTTTTTTAAAACTTCATCCCACTTCTTATTCCCCTTCCTATTCTTCTTCTTCTTCTTCTTTTTACCCCCTTTTCTTCACTTCTCGCGTCTGCGCGACACGACGTGTCGGCTATAGACGCTCGCGCTTGGGGTGTGTGTCGGGTTCCAGGTCCTCGTCGGCACTCTCATCCTCGTCGACCATAGTCTCTCCATCCGCCTCCTCCTCGTCTCCCCTCCTCCTCTTAAGACCCTTCATTTTCCGCGTTTGCAGCTGGCCCAGATCCTGCTTGCCCAGGTGTATTCTGCCGATCTTGTCGCCGATGATGTCCGTCTCGACGTTCTTCTTCGTCTTGGGCTAGAGCGGGGCGTTAATACGTATGTAATTATCTGGAGGGAAAGAGAGAGACAGAGAGAGAGAGAAAGGGAAATAATATATACCTCGAGCTGCTTGGGCTTCTTGAGCGCCTCCTTCATGACGGCCTCGTCGGCCTCTCTGACTCTTCCGACGCGGAAGTCGATGCGCGGGCCCATTTCCTCGACCTCGACGCGCGGCAGCTTCTGGCCGCTCTTCTTTGTGCGGATCAGGTACACGCGCATGTGGATCTGGGGCGCGGGGGACCCCTCGACCTCGTCGCCGGCCGAAAAGTGGATCATGTACTGCAGGCCCTCGACGTCGACGCTCTGGGCGTCCTGGCCCTTGAAGAAGTCGGTAAAGTAGTTCTTGGCGAGGGTGTAAGCGTTGGGGGTGGGGCTATCGAACGGGGTGCCGGAAAAAGCAATCATAGGCTTCAGCCCGACGGCGCACTTTTTGTTCTTGAACTGCGACAGCGTGCGGAACGTGTCCGGGTCAATGTACAGCTCAAACATATCGAGCAGCTTGTGCGCAAACAGCCGGATAAACGTCAAACAGTGGGGGCGCTTCTTGCTGTGCACGCCAAACACCATGAGCGCGGCGTCGTTCTTCTGCGAGAAGAACTCGAGCGACGTGCTGTCGTCGAAGGGGTGCAGCGGGTTCTTTTTGGTGAATTTTATCGCGAGCGGGTTTTTCAGGCTGTGCAGGTCGGCCATGGCGAGTTGGGTGATTTGGCTGCAGGACGTGCCGCGCAGGAAGAGGGTTGTTTTCGGGTTTTCGTGGATTTGCGGCTCGCGCGCGGCGAGGAGCCGCTTGGTGCGCGCGTTTTTGGGCTTGCTGGTGGGTGGTTGGTGGTTAGTTGCGTGGGGTTTGGATTGGGTTTGGGATTGAGGGGGGTTTGAGGAAAGGCTTACACCTCGCGCAGCGGCGTGGGCAACATGGTGGGCGGATTTGTTGTTGTAGGTAGTGTGGTTGTTGGTGGTTGTGGTTGCGGTTGCGGTCGGTCGGGGAGCTTTTTCCATGGCCAGTGGCGCGGCGCGGGCAGAATTTGGGTTTTGGGCTTCGGGGCTAGGCTGGATGGGGGTTACCGCCTTGAGTTGGCAGAGTGGTTATCTTATCTTATCGGCTGGTTGATATCTACCTATAAATTTGGTTTGCTTGAACGACGCAACAACGACTGCACAATATAATATATTTGTTTATGAATGGTTTGTTTCTTGCCCACATGCTCTCTTTACCTCCACGAAAAGAAGCCATGCTCCTCGTGCTCCAGACGAGAGCGTCCATGGCTGCTGCTGCTGCTACAATCGTTAGATCTCCCGTCTCATACCAATATAGTCAAGACAGCGCTGTCGAAGAGCCCACCACATCCAGAGAAGCTCGCTCCCGCGACAACTCCTCTGGCGGCGACAGTATCCGAGGCGACGACGACTCGGACGACTGATGAGGCAGGTTTAGAAAGGCGACGCGGCCCCTGTGCGGCACTTCCACTAGGCAAATGTCGTAGGCTGATTGGTAGGCGACTAGTAGTGGTAATACTGCGCTGGTGTGGTGGTCGGTGAGTGTTGTATTCGCTTCTAAGTCTATGTCGTTTTCTGGAGTGCGTTAGTGAGTGCTGGTGCAACGGGAGTTCAGTGTTACCTACCTGCAGCTTGACGGCCCCACCAACTCATGCACGAGGTGATTCCTTTCCAGCAGGCTTGACGGAATGACTTTGGAACCAGGCATCCGACGACTGGAATGAGTATCATGAGAAACAGTCCAATCAGTGCCAAGACGGATTCGGTGGATAGGTTCGAGGAGTTCTCGGTGGACCGAGAGATGTTTGATTGCGTGTCTGTTTACAATCAGTTAATGGTCTCTTGCGAATGGCAGGCGCAGGCTTGCCGTTTGTCATCGGGCTACTGGAGTAGTGAGGCTGAAAAGGCTAGTGTCGTTGTGATTGGCTAGGCTGGAGTGAAGGCTGATTGGTTATAGGCTGCCTGGAGAAAACAAGTAGATCGCTGAGGTTGCTATTGTGTGCAAGACGCAATACCCGGGCAGGTAGGGAGGTCTTTATAGACGGATGCCATCAGCACGGCTGCTCTCCTTGTTTATCCTTCGGTCCTTGGTATCTCGAATTAAAGCTCGCCGCCTAAGCTCCGCGCTTGCGGGTATGTCACTTACGCAGCCCGGATCTTTGCATGCATAGAGGGATCGCGGATGTTGCGCCCGCTCATATTTTATAGGCTATTTTTTGGATGGCAGGGTGACCAGATTGCCGATCCATAACTATTGTTGTGACCAATAGGTTCTGCAGTCGGGATTCTCCAAACCTTCCGCGCCCCTCAAAGCTGACGGTAACATGCCAGCCTGCGCAATAGTACCCTAGTAGAGCTAGAGAACTTCCGTCCTTCCCGCTGCACATGCAATGCATATGTAACGTTGGTTCGTCTCTTCCCTTCCCCGCTGCCGCGGGATTGGATGGCGGGAGGGGCCCTGTGCCGGTATGCGTGTCAAGTTGTCAGCCCCAAATCTCAATCTGTCGGCCGTCAGAGCCTCGTGGCCGCCGTCTCTCCGGAAGAAGCCTCGGGGTTTCCAATTGGTGAACACTGCATAGATTATTTTACTTACTGTCCTTTTTTTTTTAGCTCCATTTTCTACTTATGGAAAGATACAAGTGGCAATTTCTCTAAATAACATTTTTTTAATCGACTTCCTGGTACCGATGCCACCGCCGACGAGCAACTTCTCGCTAAAAGATGGCAGCGGCGAAGTCAGACTGTAGTGATTCGGATTTTGTTGGCCTAGCCCGATATTATAGTCATGCCAACCCCATACAAGATTAGCTTTCTGCTGTCACCTTATAAAAGTTCCCGGTGCATCCGTACTCTACGAACGGGAGGTCACAAGTTGTAGGTTCACAAGTTGTAGGTACCTCGGAGTTGTTGAAAAAGTCATTGCCGCAAATAATACAAGCTTCTTAATACGCGGAGGCCACGAGTTGTGATGCCGTCTATTCGTCACCGACGATTCATTACCGGCATATCCGTCACCAGCTACTTGACACACATTCTGCACTATGCATACGCGGCAGTAAAAAGGTTCGGCTCATCCTAGCTCCTGCAAGTTACGTCACATTGGTCAACAGACATAACGTCCGTCACCACCAAGCAAGATTCACCGTATAGCGAGGTAGGGAAGGAAGAATACAAGCAGTCCCTACCTATGGAATACTCATCTGGCTACAAAAACCTAAGTCCTAAATATAAGTGAAATAGTCTTAGAGCATACATATACTGTAAACATCTTAGCTAGGTTTCTTCTTCTAGTCCATACAAGCATCATCATCTCGTTAGGCGGTGAATCTCGCTCGACGGTGACCGATGTCAAATGTATTAGCAAATTCATGTCATTTCAAGTCTATCATGTTTATATACCCATAGCCCGCTCTACAACTGCGTGCCTCTTATCATGCCGCTTGCTTGCTTACTCGTAAATCATCCAGGTCTCTTTTTCTCCCTTAAAAATCCGTCTACAACCATCCATCTAGGACTTGACGAGCAGAGAAGCACCGCTCATCTCCTCGGGCTGCTGCAGGCCCATGACAGCCAGGACGGTGGGCGCAACGTCACCCAGGACGCCGTCCGCCTTTTTGAGGCTGTAGTTCTTGGGCGCGTTGGCCATGACGAAGGGGACCTTGTTGGTCGTGTGCGACGTCTTGGGCTTGCCCTCCTCGTTGAGCATCTCCTCGGCGTTACTGCGGGAAGTGTTAGCGTCTACGTTAAATTCAACATACATCAGATGAAACTTACCCGTGGTCGGCGGTGATGAAGAGGGTATAGCCGCTCTCCTTGCACTGCTCGTAGATGCGGCCAATGGCCTTGTCGGTCTCGGTGACACCCTTGATGGCGGCCTCGTAGACACCGGTGTGGCCGACCATGTCGGGGGGAGCGAAGTTGTTCATGAGGAACTCAAACTTGCCAGTGCGGATGCGCTCGCACAGCTTGTCGGCGACAGCCATGGCGCTCATCTCGGGCTGCAGGTCGTAGGTCGCGACGCGGGGCGAAGCAACCATCTCGCGCTCCTCGTTCTCGAACTGCTTCTCAACACCACCGTTGAAGAAGAAGGTGACGTGCGCGTACTTCTCCGTCTCGGCGACGTGGCACTGTTTGACGCCCTGCTTGCCGAGCCACTCGGCGAGGACGTTGCCCATGTGCTGAGGAGGGAAGGCGATGGGGAAGGTGTACTTGGGGTTGTAGGAGGTCATGGTGGTGAGGTGAGTGTTCTTGGGGTAGGGGAAGTCGGCCTTGGGGGAGCGGTCGAAGTCGCCCATCAGCTGGGTCATCTCACGGACACGGTCGGAGCGGTAGTTGAAGAAGAAGAGGGTGTCGTCGTCTGTCTCGCGTCAGAATTGGTTGCAGCGTCTTTGCCGGATTGAACTTACCCTTGATTCTCCGCTCGTCACCGCCGACGATGATAGGCTGCAGGAACTCGTCCTTCTCGTCCTTCTCGTAGCGGGCCTTGATGGTGGCAACGGGATCGCTGCTCGCCTCGCCCTCGCCCTTGACGATACCGTTCATGGCGACCTCAACGCGGTCCCACCTCTTGTCACGGTCCATGGCGTAGTACCTGCCAACAACGGTGGCGATCTCACCAAGACCAATCTCCTGGGTGTGCTTGAGCAGGTCGGCCATGTAACCGGCAGCCGACTTGGGGTCGGTGTCACGGCCATCACCGAAGAAGTGGATGAAAACCTTGGGAACACCCATCGCCTTGGCCATCTTCAGGAGGGCGACAAGGTGGTTGATGTGGGAGTGGACACCGCCGTCGGAGACGAGACCGAGAAGGTGCAAACGGCCGTTGCCCTCCTTGGCGCGGTTGAAGGACTTGACGATGTTGTCGACCTGCTGGAGCTGGCCCTTCTTGATGGTCTGGTCGATGCGGACGACATCCTGCCAGACGACACGACCAGCGCCGATGTTCAAGTGTCCGACTTCACTGTTGCCCATCAGGCCCTCGGGAAGACCGACGGCGAGCGACGAGGCGTCGAGCTCAGTGTAGCCCTGAGTAACCTCGGAGCCCTGACGCTTGAACTCGTCCATGACGGGAGTATCGGCGGCCAGGATAGCGTCACCATCCTTGCGGGACTTCTCGCTGGCAATTCCCCATCCGTCGATGACGACTGGGATGCAGTGTCAGCCACAGTGTATACACTGATGTCTTTTAATGGGGGCCTTACTGAGAACAGCCTTTTGATCGACGTTGACCATGGTGAAGTTGTTGGGGTTTTTTGTTTTTGGGGGTATCTTTACAGGAAGAGAGGAAAGTTAGAGCGGCGGCCTCTTATAAGGCGGTTAGGAGAAAAAACGCACCTGAGAACAGTGGAGTGCAATCAATGGCTTGGTGAGAGAGTCGTGAGATGTCAGCGGACTTTGGTGGGGTGGTTTGTCGTCTTTTCAGCCCCTCAATCCGTCGCCGAAGATCGCCCCGACGTCACAGCCGTTCGGCCAGCGCCGACGCTCAACACCCAGCATTTTGCCTATTGCTCTTCAGCCCGGTGCCTAGACCCTGCGAGCCTCCCGTTGATTTGCTGCCATCAAACCACTTCTACCAGCATTATCTGCAACCTCGACTTCTTCGAGCTCTCGGCGTCGCATCGGTCAAAATCCGCCGGTCAAGCCATCGTACCACCACATCTAACCTTAACCTAGCCCACCGCCGCCTCACATCACCACCGCCCACTTGAAACAACACAATGGCAGCAACCGGCACTCCGCGCGTCTCCACGCCCGCCACGCCCGCCTCGCGTTCCTTCTCCCATGCCCCGACCAGCAGCAAGTCGCTCGCCAACACCGGCAGCGCCCAGCCTGACACGCCGCAGCTGCCGCCGCCCGCAAGCTTCGACGTCCTTCCGCACCTGCATACATTGCTCGGCCGTCTGCTCATCCCCGCTGGCGACGACGCGTCCGCCAAACCTGGCGATGGCACCGGTGCAGGCCAGCAGGGCGCTGCCGATGACAAGGCGTCTGACGCCGCGCCTCTCGACATCCAACAGCTGACGGCGGCGAGCTCGGGACTGAAGACGCGGTTGCAGAAGGCGAGGCAGGCGTGCGCGCGGCTCGGGGATGTGGACCGTACCGTCGACGAGCAGATGGAGGAGATGGAAGAGCTCGAGGAACGCGTCAGAAAGCTGCGGCAGACGTTGAACAGGCTGGGCGTGGGTGTGGAGAACGGAGCTAGGCAGAGCGAATCCAGGGACGTGTTGATGCGGTAGAGTAGGACGTCGACATGAGTTCTACCTACCACGTCGACAAACCGCCGTTATCGGTTGAGGACTGCCCGAGACCGCGATGCGTTCACCTCCCGCCGAGACCAAATGAGTCGCGGCCACATTGAATCTCTGAGCATCAGGACGGCATGAAAACTAGACCGACCGACAAATTTCCAGCAACTTCCGAGTTTTATGGGGTTATTTGTGCGAGTACATACAGTTCCTTTGGATGAGGCAGCAAAGGCAAAGCTGCAAGCAGAGCGCAGCCATTAGAGGTAGAACGGGCAGGAGGCAGAGAGAGGCTTCGGAGTCGGCAAGACCATCTGTAGAAGGGTCCAAGGGAGTAGGGAGCAGGGAGCAGAGAGGCATGCCACTACGTACACCCTACTGCAATGCAACCGCGCGAAATGCACGCAGCCACTCCAAATAATCCCCGAGAGAGAGCCATGCAGCAATGAGGCGACGGCCACGCATAGTTGGTAGAGAGGAATGTCAAGCCAACACACGAAGTTTCTAGGTAGTAAGCTTTAGTCACAACACCACAGCATCAATCAGCAATTCTCACCTTCAAGTCTCCCCGTCCCTTCGTGTCCGTACCTACCTGCACAAACCCAACCCCCCCTACCCAGCATTTGTAAGCCCACCACCAACTCCCAACCCCGAACATCGGGCCCGACAACCCTTGAACCCAACCCAACCCAACACCGCACCAAAGAAAGCTCACCCCCTAGGTACGCAAGCACCGGCATGGCCTCTCGGCCCTCGCCCTTGCAGAGATATCGTGACGCGCACAGACAGCACGCAACGAGTTTCGTGACAGTATGTAACGTTTCGCGCCACACCGCACCGCACTCACCCGACGTCTACTTTAAAGCAATCTACATAAACCTACATAAATTCCTCAAAAAGCACGGCCTCCCACGCGCGGCTGAGACCGGGATCGGGTCGGACCGGGCACGCGACAGGAAAGCATGGCCAAGCGCGCCTTCCAACGGGTGAGCCCGGCGGTACCAGCCACGGCCGGGCCCGGCGAAGCGTTCCCGTAGCTGCTGCCCTACGTGCCTGCCCGAACGTCGCGTCGTCGACTCGGAGCTTTCCCGGACGGACGACGGCCATCGTCACTTCCCGAAGTTCGGTCTTGTTGTTGGAGAGCGGGATTATTCGGAATGACCTTGTTTGGAGTGTTCCATGTTCCATGTTCCATGTTCCGTGGATGTATGTGGATTGGAACTTTCGGCCGAGGCGTAGTTAACCTCTGCGGTGGGTAGATATGAGTGGGTACGAGTATCATGAAGAAAAGAGGTAGGGGTGCTTGCCAAGGAAGCTCACGGCGATCGATCTGTGCTTGGCGTGATAGATCGATCGTTGGGAGTAAGAAGCTTGATGCTCCTCGAGTCGAGGCAGAGGTACTTCACTTTTTTGCAAGCAAGATGGGCAATTGTTTTGTCCGTGGTATAAACTCTAAAATTCATGCAAAACTAACTATGTTTTTTCATTACTTCGTGGCCGTGCAGGCAGTATGAGTGCCTGGCAGGTTCGGAGAAGTGAATGGAAATCAAAGAAAGGAGATCAAAAAACGCCCCCAATCAAACCCCCATTTGATCGATCAAGCCCGTCTATTCCCGGTACCCAATGAACATACTCCGTTTGTTTAAGCAGCGTTGCGCTTCTCAGCGGCATCGCAAGTGTACTTGAGCGCCATAGGAGCGTCGTCCTTGGGCATGTACAGCTCGACGAAGCGGAGAGTGTTGCTCGAGGCGAACTCCTCGTCGGCAAAGAGCTTCTCGACATCGTCCTTGGTCCTGACCTGGTACGTCCTCGTCGTCTCGGGCTTAGCACCGAAGGTGGCGGGGATGTCCTTGTACTTCCACTCCTGGACGTCGTTGTAGACGGCCTCAAAGCCGTGGATGAAACGCTCAATGGTGTAGCCGTCGTTGCAGATGACGAAGATGACGGGGTGAAGGTCGTTGCGGATCAGGGTGGAGACCTCCTGAGCCGTCAGCTGGAAGGAACCGTCACCAGTGATCAGGACGGTACGGGGGCGGTTGATCTCGCGGGCAGCGAGGACGGCACCCTGCAGACAGCCAGTGGCGTAACCAATGGAGCCCCACAGAACCTGGGAGATGGCAGTGACACCCTTGGGGAAGCGAGTCTCCCAGATACCGAAGTTGGCAGTGCCAGTCTCGGTGATGATGATGTCGTCCTGCTTCAGCCACTGACCCAGACGGGGCCAGAACCAGGCCTGGGAGATGACGGGGTCGCTGCTCTGCTGCTCCTTCTGAGGAATGGTGTTGTTGGGGGTGGGGCCAGCCTGGATGTTGAGCTTGCCCATCTTCTGGGTGATCTTGCGGAGGACGCCGTTCATGCGGACACCGGGGTAGTCGGAGTACTTGACGGTAACACCGTACGAGTGGAAGTCAATGGTGTTGAGCTGGGTGGTGCGGAAAGTGAAACCAGCAGTGTTGAAGTCGGACTTGATAGCACCGATGGTAAGGACAAGGTCGGAGCCCTCGACACGCTCGCGGACACCCTCGTTGGAGCCGTCACCGGCGTAGACACCGCCGTAGTTGGGAAGGGTCTCATCGACAGCACCCTTACCCATGGGGGCGACGAAAGTGGGAAGGCCAGACTTCTCGACAAACTCGTGGGTCTCCTCAAGAGCCCTGTGGCGGATGGCGCAGGCATCGACAAGGATGACGGGGTTCTTGGCGGCCTGGAGGTACTTCAGGACAACGTCGACGACGTAGTCCTCCTTCTCGGCGTTGTTGGGGCTGAACTGGAGGTCCAGAGGAGTCTTCAGCCTCTCACCCTCGACCTTCTTGACGACCATGTCGGAGGGCAGGGCAATGTAGACGGGGCGGGAGAGGAGGTAGCACTTCTTGATGGCATCGTCGATCAGGGTGGCAGCCTCGTGGGCGTTGTTGAGCATGGCAACCTCGCAAGAGACCTCCTTGCTCATCTTGGCGAAGACGTTGAAGTCGGCGTTGCCCAGGGTGTGGTGCAGAAGCAGGCCATCCTTCTGGGACTTGGTCGAGGGGTAACCGACAATGTGGACAATGGGAACGTATTCCGAGTAGGCACCGGCGATGGCGTTGATGGCAGACAGCTCACCGACACCGAAGGTGGTGACGAGGGCGGAGATACCCTTAATCCTGGCGTAGCCATCGGCGGCGTAACCGGCGTTGAGCTCGTTGCAGTTGCCAACCCAGTCAAGGCCAACCTTGGGCAGGTAGTCAAGGGCAACCAGGTTGTAGTCACCGGGCAGACCGTGGACGGACTGGACGCCGACCTGCTTCAGACGACGGAAGAGGTACTGTTGGAAAAAGTGTTAGTTGGGAGGGGTCGAGGTAGAGCGGGGTAGCTCAAGCTCTTGAGCTGAGAGCTGTGGCAGAACGCACCTCGGCCACATCAATGGGCTGCTTAAGGTCCTGAGTTCTCAGGTCGGGGGTGTTGTAACCGCTCATGGTGAGGAAGATGGAGGTGCAGGTGAATGCTTAACCGGATGGATGGTTGGATGGTCGACTGAATTGGGGGCGGGCGGTTGCTTTTGTATGCCAGGCACGTCAGGGTGCAGCAGGGCAGGTGGCGGAATCCTGGTGCAGCGGCCTCTGCAGCGGGTGCAAACGGGATTCGACATCACTCGACATGGCATGAGCTGGCGCCTGCTTAGCACCGCGTTCCGTGAGCTGTGGGCCGCCGTTGCGCAGCAAAGTTGCGCACAAGAGAGTCTCGGTCGCACTAGCCCGGCATCGGATGATCGCGACTGGGCGCGACAACAGCCCGCGCCTCGGGCGATCTCGCCATGCGTAGGGCTGAAGGCTTCTCTGCATCGTCCCACCGCGCCACCTCACGACAATCGTATCTCTACGTTTCGCAAATAGGGCCGATGCGTGAAATCACTCACCCGAATCTCGCGCAACTTTTTTGTCCATCGTACGAAGATAGCATCAAGGAGATAGGGGAGATCCGAGCCGGCGCCAGACTAGAAAGCCCATTGTCCTCCCGCTCTCGAGCCGCATGCGGCCTTTGACGTCAAATTCTACGGAATAGTGCCTCGCAAGACCTAACAGCATGGCTCCCTCCATCATCATGTCCAATGGCCGCCAGGTCGCTCACCACCTCCTCGAGCACTCGCCATGGCACCACCAGCTCCTTCTCTCTTTCTCCAACCCCGCCTACTCGGCCGCACGCCGCGAGGCCCCATCGTTCCTCACAAAGTTGTCGCCAGTCACCTCGGGCAACTCTTTCACCCCTGGCGGTGGTGGTGCCAAGTCGGTGGCGGAGAGGTTGACGGTGATGAAGCACACGCAATTTACCGGTATGCACCCTTGAAAGCTTGCATGCAGCCATCATGACCTGACCTGACCTGTGCGGAAGCTATGGCGGGGTCTGGAAAACCAAGCCCTAAGCATTAAGTGAAAGAGGAAGAAACCGCAGAAAGACGAGACACTTCCGGCGATGCGACAATTAGCGAAAAAGGAAAATGTTTCCGCGACAGGACATACGCGAAGCGACACGACCGTCAAGGACAGCAAGGTCCGGACGTGTAGAAAGAGCCATTGGGCGCAGAACAGTACGTGGTACCAGCAGAACGCCTGGTCGAGCGATTGATCAGTGGGCGGGAGACGGGCCGGTTCAAGGTTGAGGCGCAGTACCCACGACCTGTGGCGATCCCGATTGCCGGATCGACGAGCAACATTATTCGTACAGCGTAACATACAGGTGTCGATACAGACGCTCGCCATCGGAGTCGACCGCCCCCCCCAAAGGCATTGGCCATCTCGATTTCGAATTCCAACTCGACGGAACCTTCCCTTTAGCCCGAGGAAACAATTCCGTTTACAATGCATCTGGAGGGCAGGCATGGGTACCATTCTCGGAGGCGACACGTAAGCCGTGCGCGAGAGGCCAGATACTCCTAGGAGTACAATGCCCACTGCGACACTCGAGATTCGAGAAGCGCCTTCGACAATCCCTTTCCATGTCCACGTCGACATCTCTCGTCATGAGGCCAGCCAGACTCATTGAGAGGCGGGGAAGCCATAATCCTTCGCATCCTACGGAGTTCCTGAGCGTGGAGCACACAGCATTCCAGCGATCCTGGCAAAAGTACCCACGTTCTCTCGCCTCCCAATGCACGTCGCTGCATGATGAAGGATAGCACGCCCTTAGGAGCTTGACCGGTTGCTTTGCGCTCCACTCGATCGTCGATGTGATCCTTCGTAAAGACGGTTTTAGACGGGATAGTGAATAAAATCGCGATACGAGGAAAGCATTTGTTTGCTCGCTCAAGGACCAGTGGAATCTTCAGCATCGTGTGCTTCAAGTGTTGCTTTCGCTCAGTGACACCCTCTCTCCGGATAACAAACCAAGGCCCAATGCACCTGCTAAGGAACCGCCATCTCTTCAACCATCGAGAGTCGAAGTTGCACGTGGAATGCTTCTCTCGGATGCTTGGAGGTCACAATGAAGCACGTCGAGGCTTACGACAGGAGTCGGATCACGCATGTTCTTTGCCCAACGCCAACTCATGAGTCGTGTGAGAAATGGCAGTATGGCGGGGTCTAAATGTGCAAGGGGATAGGGTGCAAAAGAAAATTTTCAGATGTCATACAGAGTCGTTCGAGGATGACAGCATCTTTTTACTCAAGATTGCCCCTACTCACGTCAGTCGCCAGCGACGAATTGGCAAGTGCTCGGCAATGCAGGAGCCCTCGTGAAAAAGAAACGGAAAATGAATCTGATAGAAGATGAATGTCATTGTGCGCTGTCCTGATATCGAGGAAGTAGGAGTAGGGGAAAGAGGCCCAGTCGATTTCGTTGTGTCCGTTTTCGGTGTGCAACTGCGAAATCGCCCAGAAGTACACCAGCACGCCAGATACCGGTTTTCGAGATGCGTACCACGGTAGACGGAGACACTAACGCGAAGAAGTCACCGCCACGAGAAAATTGTTTCCAACAACTTTATCGCATCACGAACTGCTCACGATTGCAACCCTACGGATTACCGAGCCTCGGATCCACCTTGTCTCTTGCTTGGACGCAAAGAAGCCTGCTTTTCCAGACACGTATGAAGCTACCCATGCAGTCGCAAGTCAGTCACTATCAATCTGGAATCTGGTCCGGCTGTGTAACGTCAAACATGTCATGAAGCTGCGGGATGACGGTCGCGGAGATAACGGGGGTAAACGGCTGCCCAGGATGTTGCCGCTTCCCATCTCAGCACCGAAACTCGAGATCGCGTTCCACGAGCGCTTGCACTTCACCTAGCAACCTCACTTGCGGACACACCCAAACGAACAGCCGCTACGCCCTCGTCATTGGCGCACCTTCCTTGCCGCTTATCGCGAGGGCTCGCCGTTCAGCAATTTCACCCCCAAGCGACTGCCGCTTTCTACGTCGCCGCCACCGCCGCACCTTCCCTCCCGCTTCCCGCTCTCGCATATAAAAGCCAGCAGCTCGCCGCTCAGCAACTCGCCACTCACTGCCTCTCGACCTCCCAACCATGCCGCTCGGCTTCGAGCGCCTGAACGAGCGCACCAGTCGCCCCAACGCCCTCATAAACTTCATCAAGCCTCTTCCGGGCCGAACGCAAGATGTCGCACAACACATCCTGAACCTCGTTGCAGCTCGCTGCTTTCCTATCATGAAAGCCAACAATATTGCCGTCATGTCATTGGAGGAATATTCACCGAATCCGGAGTTTGTCGGGCGGAATTTCAACGCCGGCGAGGTGATACAACTGGTGCTCAAGAACAGGGACGGACGCTGGCTGTCAATCAAACAGGTGGAGATGGTCATGATGCACGAACTTGCCCATTGCAAGGAAATGAACCATTCGCGGTTCTTCTGGCGAGTCCGCGACGATTACGCAGCTGACCTGTGCAAGCTTTGGGCAAAAGGATACAAGGGCGAGGGACTTTGGGGCCGTGGCAGAGAGTTGGAGGGCGGTCACGTTGTGAATGAAGATCAGGCGGTTGACATTGGTGACGTTGAACACCTATGCGGTGGCACATACAGGAAACGGGGACACAAGAGAAAGAGAACCAAGGGCGCCGAAGATAAGAAGCAAGAAAGCTGGGCGGAGAAGAACCAGCGGCGGATCTTGCGCAAGTTTGGTGCTGGCGGCACGGCATTGGGAGCGGACGAAGATGCGAAGACGCAGCTTGAGGGCGGGAAAAAGGCAAAAGGCAAACCGCGCGTTGCGAATAGCGCGAGAGGACGAGAATTGAGGGCTGCAGCCGCTCTCGCACGTTTCGACACCAAGCAACCGGAAGACGAAGAAGAATCGGAGTCTGGGTCTGACTACGAGGACGACGGTGTTGACGGCCCCATTGCTAAAGACGTTGATGGCCAGGAGCTCAGAGATGGCAACGGCAACAACTTAGTCAGGATCGAAGACGAAGAAGGCTCGCAAACTACCCCCGCCCGAAACGAGCTGCGCGAGCTGCGGCAGCAGAAGATCACCAATTTCATACGCCGCCAGTCTTCGAGCCCGCCGAATGATGCACCTTCCTCTGCCAACAGGACCGCTTCCAGCTCTGCGCCTCTCCGACGTAAAGCCAGCAGCACCACGGCAGGCAGCGCCAAGAGCACGACGTCCTCCAAGCGCACAAAAACGGCCCCCTCGTCAGCAGTAGTAGCAGCAGAGCTCACCTGCGCCGCCTGCTCGCTCCGCAACGATGCCAACGCGCTGACCTGCATCGCCTGCGCCAACGTTCTGAAGCCAACGCATTTGAAAGGTCACGAATGGCGTTGTCAGAGCCTCGCGTGCCAGGGTGGCGTTTATGTCAACGCTGCTTCTTGCGGGGTATGCGGGGTTTGCGGCGCCAAGAGGCCTAAGCGGTAAGTGTGGCTTGTTGGCTTGCAGCTGACAGGGATTGGGCTGCTGGTTCCACCAGTTCAGGGCCGACTGGAGGGGCTGCTCCGTGGGTGGGATTGATACAGAAGATGGACGTTGTGCTCTATGAGTGATATGGGCGTTGCTTGATTTATACACGTATGATACCCCTGGTGTAGTTTGCTAGTTACTCTCGAGCTCTCGAGTCGTTAAGAGGATAGATTTGAAGCTGGGCATTGAGATATCGACTGCTTTTTGTACGCACCATTAAGGTAATCGCCTCGTGAGAAGAGCAAAAGACAGAAAGGCAAAAAAGAACAGAAAAAAGGACCGCTTTACTTGCTAAAACATGCCGCATTGAGTGAGGTGAGAATAAGGTATGCACACGCGCATGCTATACTCGAATCCCATTGTCCGTCGCACCGTCAAGGACCACCAGCTGCCCCCTCCGCCGCGTACCCGGTACGAAAGCTTATAAAGAGAAGCACCAAGCAAGACCTCGCCCGCATCCATTGGAACCATGAGATGTTGCCTTTAGCTTGCCGCCTCCCTGCTGGTATCAATGTTTATTGTAGTTTATTTCCGAGAACCGGTGGGCAGCTGAACGAGCGCCCCGAATCGCTGGTCAGCCGACTGTAATGCGTTTGCGGGGCTTTATTTTCGGGTCCTGGACTCCACCTTCTCCTCCATGGCGCGGACGTAGCCTTCTATTCTCTGGACGGCGGATTGGAGGGCCTGTGTGAGGGCATGTTAGTTAGAATTAATGCTATGCGTGTGTTTGGCGCAGCAGGAAGGGATTGAGGAATCGAGGAATTGGGGGGGGGGGGATTTGCACGTACGTAGATGTCTTCCGTCAGCAGCTGGTTCGAGACGCGGTACTCCTCCATCACGTAGAAGTACATGCCACCGGCCGCGGCAGCAGCTCCGGTAAGGAAACCGAAGAGACTATCACCCGCAATTGTCAGTAGCAATCCCCAAGAAAGACAAGGAGGAGCAGCAAGCGGAGCCGCGAGCTCCACCTCCTTCGGCAACTCGGGACCCGCCGGGCCACGAGCAGCAGGGCAATGGAACGAAGACGCGGGCGAAGCAAGGCCATTGCACCTGAGGCAGGCGCGTCGGCGCGTCGCTCGAGCCCAATGGAAGCTCGCAGCGGCGTGCTCGCGTGCCTCGCGGCCCAGCACGAGGGGACAAAGCAGGATAGGTAGAGCGCAACTCACCCTCCCCTGAACGCGCCCACCGGCTTCTTGGCGGGCAGGGCGGCCGTCGGCGTCTCCATCAGGCGAGCCGACGTCTGGAAGCTGCGCGGCGCGGCGCAGGCGCGGCGGACGAGGGCCGACGCGGCCGTGGCGGTGCGGAGCGACGGGTTGGCGAGGATGCGGGACGCCATTGCTGCGGGTGTGGGTTTTTGTTGTCGCGACGACGGGCGGGAGGGGCGGGTGTTTGGGGTGCGTGGGCGCGAGGGGTGCGTGCGTGGTGCGGAGGTGCGGCTGCGGCTGCGAGCGGCGGTGATGTCGTTAGTTGGCTCGGCGGGGGTGGTGGTGGTGTGAGCGGGCGCGTGGATTATAAGCTGGATTGTAGACGGGCTGGTTGGCTCGCCGGGCAGATTGAGTCGGGCGTATGGACCGAGCTGTAACTTGGAGTGGGCAGGTGGAGATGATGTTGGAGGAGGTGCCCTGGGGAGCTTTGACGTAGCGAGCTACACGTCCATCCATAGGTTCGGCTGCCTTTCGGATGTTTGGACGTCATCGCCTGCTTCAACAACATGTGGACGCGTGCTACTTGATAATTGCCATCCATTCCATCGTCTCTCTACTACTAAAGTACACCAATTGGTCCGACGTGCCAAAATTCCATTCCTAACTCCAGCTCGCCTACATGCACATGAAAAAAATGAACAGGCCATGGGGTCTAGTGCAAACACCCCAGGCGCGAGGAACCAAACAACGTGTATACAAGCATAACAAATCATTCCAGAGGCTCCGGGCCTATTTCATCGCGATAGGGGAAACCTTCTTGACGTGTTCAGTCATATTTGGTGCCACCTTTGCCGCCTTGTCTGCCGCCTTGTCCGCCAGCTTCTGCAGCTTCTCTGCGCGAACCTTCTTCAAGTAGCGGAAGAGGAGAATGAAGAGCAGTTCTATGCGCTCCTTGGTCATCATCAGGAACCCTTGCACCAATAAACCCTTCAAAATTTGCGGGGCGATGCCCTTGAAGAGACCCAGTGGCCCATCGTTCTCGATGATAAAGGCCATGACCTCAATGAAGGACTTGAATGGCTTGCCGTTCCGCGCTGGAGGGGGCTTGGACTGAAGGCCAACTTTGGCAACAATCAGAGGCTGCGTCGCAATTGTCGCAAGAGACTTGGAGAGAGAGCCAAGTACTGGAGCTTTATGTTAGTCTGAAGACTTGACACTAAGCGAGGTACTCACGGAATGCTTCCCAGGGCTTGAGGGTGGTCTTTCCCGGGAATATAGCCTCCCTCAACCTTTGGTAGGCGCCATAAGTAATGGCGGGGTTGACCACCAGCACCAAGCTGGCTTTCAAACCTCTCCACAACCCGGTCCAACCATCCTCACTGTTCACGACCTCGCGCCCCGTCTCGATGAGGCCCTTCCTCTCCCACTTGGGTTGGGTTTGCTGCCGGGTTGTTACCACAGCAACGGGGATCGTGAACAACTGCGCGACCGCTCCGGCCACAGCGCCTAAACTGAGCTCGATGGCGGTGCTTGGTGGCTTGGAAACTTTCTGGCTCGATATGTAGAGCGTACGGACGACTGTGTACCAGTAGAAGTACGCAAAATTGGTGGACGCAACACCAAGGAGCGACCCCGGCATGCCGGCATACAGACCGGCAAGTCCATCATCTTGCACAATTTTGTTTATGGCGTCCCAGGTAGAGTTGTAATGCTGCTCCTCGGTGGGGTCGACGACTGTATCGCCTTTGGATTTGGCGCCCTTCACTTGGACTTGGAGGCGCGTCTTGACGCTGTGGTTTCGTCAGACCATAGCCGATGACGGAGCGCCTGAAGCGGAAACTCACATATCCAAAGGGTATACCAGCGCGTTGGCGAGAACCGCACCGGCAGCACCCGCTACGGCATAGCCCCACGGCGGCAGAGCTGCTTCTTTGGACTGGCCCGCCATAACTGTGAATTGTTAGGGGAAGGAAGCAGATGCAGAAGACGTGTTCAAGGAGAACGCGCAGCGATGATCGGATTCTCGGCCGTAGTATGACGACAGCCTCGGCGATTAGAAAACGGCAAAAGCACACAGCTACCTAGGATCTCATAAGAAAGAAAAGGAAGACGGCGGAGGAGGTGACGAGCGGCAGGGCCGGCCCAGGGTAAGTTGAAAGGCGTTTGGAGCTTGTACAGGGCTCATGATGGTGAGCTCGCTATCGCACATGGCATGTCTGGCTACCGAAACCGAGGTCTGACGAGCTGGGTAAGCGGTCAAAGCTTCGGCATGTCGGCAAGTCGGCAGTTTGGGTTTGACCGACCCGGAGGCCCGTGTTATCAGATGGAGGTACGGCCTTCCGAGTCAGGACATCAACGCCTGGACAACACTGAATGCGGGCTGCGCTGCGACCAACTTCACCCCGCGTTTCACCGCAGCTCGTCCCCGGTGGCCGTCTGACGTACAAGGCTCTCTACTTGCGCTCGTTTTTGCTCTCTCCATCGTCTCGCAATCGCATCTACATTCTCATGATGCGACGCAGTACTTGAGCCTAAACAACATGTGCTACTTCCACTGAGCTCATCCCCTCGTCCATCGCACCCTTAGCTGTCTCGAAGCGAAATCCTTCGCATCGCAGCACCCAGTTGGACCGTGGGAAGAATGAGCAGCAACTTGCACATCTCCGACATTAAGTCGGAAGTCGCAGATCTTGAAGCACGCATCCCAAATGCTTCCAGCAAGGATGAGGCTCTAGATCTTGCATTAAAGGCGGCTGAGCTGTGCATGAAGGCATTGAAGCTCGCTAGCGACAAATCCCAAAAATCGGACATCAGCTCCAGGTGTCAGAGCCTGCTGACCGAAGCTGAACGCATCAAAAAGACTAACGAATGGGCTTCGTCGCTGCCGCCTAGCTCTAGCTTCATCCCAACCACACCGCTTTCCCAGAATTCTTCGTTGGCTCGTGGAAGCTTGAGTGAAAGGCTGGCGATAAAATCGTCAGATACACCGCCCAAGACCAAGAGATCAACCCCGCCCATCCCTAACCGCAACCTCTCCACTTCCGAACAGATATTGCTGCTTAAAGGTTCTCGACTCAACGGCCAGACCTACCCGCCATGGAAAGGCGATCCGGAGCCCAGCGAGTTCACCCTTGATTATGATGAAGGTCCCTTCACGGATAAGGCAATCCTTAACTTATCATCTCACCAACTTGCCAGTTTCGATGGTTGGAGGCGCGCGAAAGATGCTCTACCACCTCCCACATGGTTTCCTGGAAAGAGAGATGGGCTGGGCCCTATCATGAGTGCTAACCACAGTATCGATCTGGTTCAGGATGCAGCTACGGACTGCTCGGTGGTGGCTAGCCTCTGCGCTGGTGTGGCTCGTACAGAGCGCGGCAATGAAAAGGTTTGTAGATAATATACATTAATACGAGACTGCAGCTAACACGCATCACAGCTTCTATCTAGCTTTATATGGCCATTTGATGACGAAAAGATGGCACCCAAGATATCCGACAACGGAAAGTACATTCTACGGCTCAACTTTAACGGCTGTTGGCGTAAGGTCGTCATCGATGATCGTCTGCCTGTCTCGAAGTCTTCACGGATGCTGCATGTGATCGATCGCAAAAACCCTGCATTACTCTGGCCAGTCCTACTGGAAAAGGCTTATTTGAAGGTCCGAGGCGGCTACGACTTTCCTGGTAGCAGTTCTTGTACCGACTTGTGGATGCTCATCGGATGGCTCCCAGAACAGATCTTCTTACAAGAGTACGTCACTGCAAACTCTATCAACCGACAGGCTAATGACTCTATGAGTGTAGTGAAGAAGTTGTATCAGACGAAGTTTGGACGAGGCTTTTCAGCGCTTTCGGCTTCGGTGATCTGTTGATGACAGTCGGTACTGGCAATATGAGCAACAGAGTTGAGAAAGAGTTAGGCCTTGAAGGCCAACATGATTACGCCGTGCTAAATATGAGGGAGGTTGACGGAGAGAAGCAGTTACTCCTGAAGAACCCTTGGGCAGAAGGAAAGGGATGGAGGGGTGTCCGGAAGGAGTCTTTCGCCACCGAGAATGCCACTCCACCCCCCAACTTGTCTGCCAGCAAAAGCTCAGACGGCACTTTTCCATTCCTACCCCGAAGCTCTCAGGATCCTGACCACCTTGAACCTGGTACCTTCTGGATTAATCTCGAACACGTCTTCCAACATTTCGAGAGCATCTACGTCAATTGGAACCCTGCATTATTCAAGTATAGACAGGATATCCATTTCTCCTGGGACTTAGCCTCCTTACCGAGCATTCCGACCTGTTTCATTAACAACCCGCAATTTTCTTTATCGACGACAGATGATACGCCCATCTGGCTGCTCCTATCCCGTCATTTCAAGGAAGATGTCAGTGGAGTGATTCGGAGCCAAGAGACATCGGTAAATTCTGAAGACTCTTCCCTAACCACTCTCATTGGAGACACGGACCATTCTTTCCAAAAACAGGCCAATACCAAAGATAACGGTATGGTCACCCAAGTCAAGTCAGAAAAGTCTGGGTTAAGCGACCTTGCACACGGCTTCATCAGTTTGTACATATTCGATCAAGCTGGCAATCGTGTCTACACTAGCAACATTGAAACAATTGAGCGTGGCGCCTTTGTCAGCACGGCACAGATGCTTCTCAAGTGGAAGAAACCCTCAAAAGGAACATTCACTGTGGTTGTGGAACAGATGGAATTGCCTCGCGACCTCTATACTTTTTCCCTATCGGTATTCGCTCTCAAGCCTATCAAGCTGGACCATGCGACTAGCCAATATGGCCAAACAACCAAGCTTGAGTCCTCCTGGAACAAGGCAACTGCAGGCGGCAATCTTCAGAGTCCGACCTTCAGTGAGAATCCGCAATTTAGCTTGAAGGTGCCGCAAAATACCTCCCTTGCCATCCTTCTCCAGGTCCCGAGCTCTGTGGTCGTGTCCAACGTCGTACTTCTCCATGGACAAGGCAAGAGGGTGTACTCTGTTAAAAACAGAGATATTATCGCCAACTCCGGTGTTTATAAAAAACATTGCGCATTTGCTGAACTTAGGAATATTGATCCGGGAACCTACACCATTGCTTGCTCGACGTTCGAAGCAGGCCAGGAAGCCAAATTTGAGCTCAGAGTCGACAGCAACGTCCAGTGCGAGCTAAAAGCAATACCGCAAGAAGGTGCCGGGTTAGTCCGTGTCAAGCTGGCAGATGCTCAATTCCCATCGACGGCTAGCATGATCGCTGCGCCCATTGTTCCCCGCAAGCTTACGCGTGTCACCATAGTAGCCAGGTTCAGCCGCGCTTATAGCAGCTACGATAACCCACAAAGAAGCAACAGAAGTCCTCTACGCGTCACGCTTGAACTTGGACGTGGCCCATCGCGTCGCATACTTATCGCCAGTGGAGACGGTGAATACGGCGATAGTGAAGCTGGTGTGAGAACTGAAGAGATTGACCTGAACCCAGGCATGTTGCAAGGAGGAGATATGTGGTTGGCTCTGGATAGGCTTTCTGGGCCTTCGTCAGGGTTCGCAGAGGTCTACAAGGTAGAGCTGTTCTGCGATACTCCTAATGCGCTGGAGGTTGGAGTATGGAGGAGCTTTACGGCGTAGGGGTTCAGGAAGGGGGTTTAGCATACGAAGCAGTGGGGACGAGACAACCGAAGTTAGCTAGCGGGAATCTCGCGGCCTTTGTGGCTGGACTTTAGGATCCTTGAAAGGAGACATGGACGGCAGCAGTTTGTTGCGCTCCAGTCGCGCACAAATTACCGAATGGTGCTCTGGTAGATAGGATGCAACCCCATGCTTTCTCACTGCAGATCGTACTGTACATGACACTGTGCACATTAGGCATGATTTGGGGTCGGGCGGTGCAGTCAGAAGACGGCGAGAGAGAGATGGACACGCCCCGGATTGACTGGGCCATTTTCTGCCACAGGACTCGAGCACGTGTGGGCAGCTGGATGCGGGCTCGACGGTGTGCGGGAAGCGGATGGTCCAGGTCGCAGATCGACCGGCACCCCTCATTTTAGCGAGCGCGAATATCCCCCCTTCTCAGAAAGATGCAAGACGTGACCACTGTGCAAATGATTCGCAGGGGCAGCGGGTTTGCGGGTGTGATTGAGCCGTTGTGCTCGTATGATTGGGTGTCATGCGTGGAGGGCGCGTGGCTAATAGGGGGAAGCGGCCGGGGAAATCGAGCTGCTTCGACGAAGATTCCAGCTGCATTTTTCGGTTTTCTCCCCCTCTCCACAGCGCGCCTGCTGGAACGTTTCTTTTCTTAGATTCCGAGATCTCCTGGGATCCCGGCATACCGGCACACCGCCAAGCCCGTCCTTATCGATCGCTTGGCGCCCTCACTAGGTAGCTAGTCCTCTCTTCACTAACGACGTAATTGAACCCCCGGCAACAAACATCACCACTCTCCTTTCGAGTCAGCCCGAACCGTCGCACGCTACTCGTCCTCCTCTCTGTCTACTCACGCGCCTTTTTGCATCAGATTCCACGCCTTTCGACCCCGATCCCATCGAACCCTTCACATTTAGTTTCCGTCGCTCGGAATCTTTCCGTCCGCAATGGCTTCCGCCTCCTCTGGCGCCGCCGACGCGGCCTCCACCGACCCCTCGCGTACGGCCACCCCGGTGACGAACCCCGCTGAGAAGATGCCCGATGACAGCTCCAAGCTGAAGACCTTCCTGGGCATCCTAAGAAAGTGAGCCGCCCCGGAATACCATCCATACTGCGCGCCAAGAGGGGGGGCGAACTGCCTTTGAGGCCACGCCTTTGCACGATGGCTGACTTTCTCGTCCGTCTCATAGGTTCATGGGTGTCTCGGACATTGCCACAGTCCGGTTTTCCCTGCCATCGCAGTTGTTGGAACCGATACCGAACTTGGGTACGTGGGTCTCTGCAGCTGGATGCAAACGACCGAGGATCGACGTAAGCAGGACTAACGGTCCACAGAATACTGGAACTACTTGGATAGACCGGAGACTTTCATCAGGTGTGTATCCCATGCCACGGTGCCGGCCGTTGTCGAGCGTAGACTGACCTGTGGCAGTATCGGAGATTCCGAGGACCCGTTGGGGCGCATGCTGGCGACGTTGAGGTTCTGGTTCACGAAGGATCTGGTATGATGTTTTAAACTATACAAGATGCTTGGGGGCATAGGCTGATGTGGTACAGAAATACGTCAAGGGCAAGCCCTGCAAGCCATACAACTCGGCGCTGGGCGAGTTCTTCAGGGTAAGTTTGACCCTCCACCAACCGGATCTAAGTGGCACGGCTAACACCGGCTCAAGTGCAACTGGGAGGTCGAAGATACCCTGCCAACCATCAAACACAAGTCGGATAGTCAACCGAGCAGCAGCGCGGCGAGCACCACGGGCAGGACAGTCAAGGTATCCTACCTGACTGAACAGACGTCCCATCACCCTCCTGTCTCGGCATTCTGGGTGGACTGCCCTGAGAAGGGTATCACTGCGCGAGGCTTTGACCAACTCTCCGCAAAGTTCACCGGCACGAGCATACGGGTCACTCCCGGTGCGCATAACTTGGGTATCTTCATCACGCTGAACAAGTGGGACGATGAGCAGTATCAGCTCACGCACCCTGCTGCCCATCTGGGCGGACTTCTGAGAGGTTAGTGGAGCGCTGATGCGGAGGTGATGAACGATGGAACTGACGGTGTGTAATCCAGGTTCTCTTAGCGTTAGCGTTGCCGATGTTTGCTACGTTACCTGCGCGAAGACGAAGATAAAGGTGATTTTGCACTATCTCGAGGAAGGCTGGCTCGGAAAGACACAGAACAGGGTTCAGGGTGTCGTCTTCACCTACGACCCAGAGAAGGACGACAAGACGCGCATAAGGGACGTCCCGGATAAGGATGTCCTGGCACGTATTGAGGGTTGCTGGCACGGAGAGATTTTCTATACGTTGGGCCCGCAGCCCTTCAACAAGGCTACCGTAAGCTATTCTACCCCCATCCCGTCGCAAACCCCACAGCTAACACCCCGTAGGAGAAGATCCTCTTGTTAGACGTCAGCCCGCTGTTCCCCACACAGAAGATTATTCCGCCCGAAGAAGCGCAGCTGCCCAATGAGTCGCGGCGCTTCTGGTCAGGGGTGACGGACGCGATCACGACGAAGCAATACTCGTTGGCAACGACGCTGAAGCAGGACCTGGAGGAGCGGCAGCGCGAGAAGGCGGCCGAGCGCAAGAACAAGAACATTGAGTGGCAGCCGCGCTTCTTCGCGGGCGTGACGACACCTACGGGCAAGCCGGACCTGACGGAGGAGGGCCGCCGTGCGCTCGACGGCCTGCACAAGAACGACTTCAAGCTTGAGGAGAGCAATGAGGAGGTGACGTGCGCGTGAGCGGCAAAGTGCGCATGATCATGCGCGTGCGCGCGCTTGACAGCATCTTGCAGAACCATCATCTTCTTTTCTCTTCTTGCTCATTCTTGTCTTGTACGTCAGGTCAGCATATAACTTGAGGAGTAGCGGCGAAACGAGCGAGGGAACGAATCGGAGATGGAGGAGTGAGAGAGAGTGAAAGCGAGAACGAGACAACAGCAGACAGCAGCAGCAGCAGCAGCATCAAAGGAAACGAGCGGCAGCGGAGTAGATGAAGCGAGCCTCGCGGTTCTAGATCCCGATCGATAATGGCTTCCAGACTTTCCTTTCCTGGGTTCTTCTTCTTCTTTATCTACTTCTTGTTTCACACGGGCTGGGGGGACTCGGTTGATTGATTGATTGATTGATTGGCATACAGCGCGGCGGAGGGGGCGGAATACTGGGAGGGAGGGAATTAGGGAGTTTTAGTATTTTTTTGTATTTTGCAGCTTAGCTTGCAGGTATTGTAGCAAGGGGAACGGTCCATCTCTGGCATTTCTCGGTTCTCTCCTTCGTCCTCTCTCTCTCTTTCCCAACATCCCTTTCTCCCTCTCTGTGCATCTCTCTATATGTCTCTCTCACCCTCTCTCCCTCTCTCACCCTCTCGCTCTCTCTCTCTCTCTCCCTCACACACACATACACACACACAACCACTCGCTAAGTAAGCGCAGCGCAAACACACCGCGCTACCTCGTCTCTCGCTTTTCGCGCGTGGTCTGTATGTTTGTTTATTTGTTTGTTTCGCGAGCAATAGGTATACATGGTGGTTGGGGGAATTGCATCCGGGCGTTTGAGTATTCCTTTTGGGCGCGAGGCTGGTTTTTGGTTTTGAATGTCATCAGTCGTCATTGGTCACTTGCGAGCATATATATATAGTTGAATTGTCACTGTTGTCGCCTTTGGTGTTGTTTGTTTGGCTTTTGGTTGAGTGAGTGCGTGAGTGAGTGAGTAAGTGAGTGAGTCTGCTTGCTCGTTCGTTCGTTCGTTCATTCTTTTTGGCTGGTTGGGTGTGTGGATGGGTGGATGGATGGATGAGTGACTGACTGCCGCCGCAGCTGCTAACGTTGCAGTTCTTGTGCTGGGGATGGGAGGGGGGGATTGAGAGGAGAAAGAGAAGAAAACAAGTGCTGCCTGCTTACTACCCGATGCTTGCTGCTTGCTGCTACGTTGTGCATTCATGCTATATTTGTGCGTTCGCGTGCTATTACGTTCCGCTTGTGTCTTTTGCCATTTGTCTGCCCTTTCATATGTGATAGGTAGAAATACACAAATAAATAAAAGAAAGTGCGTCTAGTCCTGCGCACCTACCTACCTGCCTGCCAACGATATGTGCATATACGTGCGGTAGCGGTATCAGTCCCAACCTGTCCCGGTCAGGCGTGACGTACGTCACCGTCAAAAGAGAGGGATTCACCGTCTAGCAAGACAGGGAAGGACACAAGCGGTCCCTACAGAACACTCTTTATCTAGCTGTAAGCCCAAGTCCTGGGTATAAACGATAAGGCCTTAGAATGCACGTATACTTCTTCAAACACTTTGACGGAAGAGTATTATTATGCTCTGCTAACTCTGAAATGTCTTTGATTTGCATTTGCAAGAATACTAGACACACGTAAACGTAAATATATGTGTATATATACTTACCTACCTGCCGTACATACACGGCATGTACGCATGCCTGCCCGCTCTCTCACACAAAAGCACACGCACGAACTTTCTCCCTTTCAAAAAATCAGACAAAGCCACCACCTCCCAAGAACAGAGAAAAAAGTACAAAAAAACAAGAAAAAAATAAAAAAAGTCCCTTAAAACGCGCTAGCACCGTGTGCCTTCCCACCAGCCTCCCCCGTTTCCTGAAGATATGTTTACCCTAGCCCTAGTCCTTGCCGTTTGTTGATGTTGTTGAAACCCCTTGCCCATGTATGTCCGCTATTATTACCTATTTTGCAAGATAAGAGAAGAAAATGAAAGGAAGAAACAGGAAGAAAAGATCCAGCTAGACAAGAAACCCGCTCGCCTTGCGCCGTGCGCCTGCTCTCCCCGTTTGTAGATGCGAGCTTGGCGTGACCTAGGTACTCAGCAGCCCGTCACCACCACCGCCCCTGCCGCTCGGAAAGCGCAGCAAAGAAGAAAAGAAAACTTGGAAAAGGAACAAAACGGCTTTTTTAAAAAACAACACGAGTGAAGAAGAGATGAAACAGATAGATGAGTAGATGGATGGATGGTACTCCTAGTAGTGGTGAGTCGAGCCCGCTCTTCAGTCGTCGGGATACTCGTCGCGCAGGTTGCTGACGAACTGGCCGGCGGCTGCATCCCAACGCTTAAAGTAGCGGCCTGCGAGGCGGTGGAGCAGGGCCGTGGGCGGCGGGTCCTGCGTGATGAGGATGTTGGACTCGGCGACGTAGCGGTTGCTGGAGTCCTCGACTCTGTGGAGAGAGTTAGCAGGGTGGACATGAGGGAGACAACTACTGCTAGCTTGTCCGATGGTAAGAGGGGAGGAATTGCGTGCTTACAAGACTTTGTAGAAGCTCTGGTTGCGGCCGCCCGGCAGCCGGTCTATGTCCATCTGGGCGATCCACTCGTCGGCGGCGCGGCACTTGTGGTCCCAGCCGATGATGACGGCATAGTAGCCGTAGCGCTTGTGCAGGAAGACCTGGCCGACGCGGAACTTGACGAGGCGGTTGACGTCGTCGGCGCGGCGCTTGGGCGCGCGCGCGACGCGGTCTTCCTCGTAGCTCTCATGAATGATCTCCAGCAGGTCGCGCATCTCGGGCAGGTCGCGGAACAGCGGCATGACATACTTTTCCAGCAGCCACATCTCCCACGGGAAGTGTAACTGGAGCTGCTCGAGCAGGTTGGTGATGAGCACGCGCCGCCGGTGGATGACGGCCTGCACGGCGTGAAAGTTGCCCGTGACGTTGTCCTCGCGGTCGAGGTACAACCACGCCCAGATGGACGCATGCAATGCGCTGTGGATGTTGATGTTGGAGCCGGAGAAGCGGTTGTCAATGTACACGAGGCGGCGGCCCTGGCGCATGGCGTCGACGGCGCGCCGGATGTTGCGCGCGGTCCGCAGCACCATCTCGACCGGGTCGGCCGCAGTCAGATACAGCGCATGCGTGTCGGCTGAAGCACCGATGCTGCGCAGCTGGCTCTCCAGGTCCGTCCGCGGCGTCTCTTCTGCCGAGCGGAAGGGGTCGAGGTACATGGACTGTGCCGGAGCGCCGGGCTCGAGCGCGCCCCCATCGAGCATGCGGCCCGGCGGCGCCGTCACGATGGCATAAACGTGGTACGGGTAGCCGCACGCCTTGGCGTCCAGGCCAAGCCGTTGCGCGACGGCGCAGAAGATAGCTACGTTGATCAGCGGCAGCGCCTCGTGCTGCTTGTCCTCCAGCGCCATGCCGATGAAGCTGTGGGGCAGCAGCCCGTACCGTTCATTCGACACGCCGAGGAAGCCCGAGCCGCGCAGGAATTCGACAATCAGGAGGCTCAACCGTCGCGTCGTGTACGCCGCGAACCTGGGGTGCTGCGCCGTGAAGCGCGCTGCCAGCCCGTCCAGTCGCGCCGCCATTGCTTCTATGTCGCCGTCACCGTCCGCCCGGTCCCATACGAACATGTCGTACGCCCCCAGCGCTCGCTCCAGCGACGCCGTCTTGCCACTGCGCAGCTGCTCCCACTCTTCCATGGCCACGCTCCGGTGTATCGTCGTCAGCATGGCGCCGCTCCAGTACCGGCGCGCCAGCGCGTCCTCTGCCTCGTCGTCGGCAATGTTGCGCTGGCGTAGCAGCTCGTCTTTCACGTCGTAGCCCTTCTCGGCAATATGCTCCATGCGGCGCGCGCGACCTTGCTGCTGGGCGGCGATGGCGTCCATGCCGGAGCGCACGGCATGGTCGAGGCGTTTACGGGCCAGGAAGACATCTTTCCAGTGGACATTTGCGACGGGCTGGGCGAACTTTGCGTAGATGTTGTGCTGGGGGTGCCAGTACTTGTAGTGGATGCGGCAATTGTAGCGCCACAGCAGTGGCTCTTGCGCCAGGGAGTAGAGGCGTTTCGAGGTCAATTGAATGGCGTTGAGGGCTTCGGGTTCGAGGAGGAAGAAGACGCCAGTGATAATCTCGTCGGGCAGCGCCAGGAGGGAAGGTCCGGTGGCGGCCATGGTTGCTGGTGGAACAGTGGGAAAGTCTTGCGGTTGCTCGCACCGAGGAAAGCGGAATGACTCCATGACGCGCGCGCAATGACGCCGACGCCCCAACTTTAGCCGACCGATCGCCGTTGAACCGCGTCCATCTTATCTCGTCCATCTACTACTAACGCAACTTGATAAACTCCCAGGCCCACTCAATCCCAATTTTCCTCCGTGTTTGTTCCGTATTGTATACCCATGCCGTACCAATTCCAAGCCGGTAGCTAAATTCTCCCTCTGTTTTGGCCACCAACACGCAAATATCATCCTGCCCATTTCTACTTCCCTGTTTCCATGCTTGGTCAGCAAGTACTCTTGGTGGTCCCAATGCGATCAGGAGAGAGCACTCTCCGGCTCCTGTGCCATCTTCATAATCCAACGCAGCGCTGCCGATTTCGTAACGACCCCTTTCGATCCTTAGAGGGAGCTCTTTATCCTCATCTGCTACTCTTCTTACAGACATACTACAACGGAGACATGGCGCCCAGAAACCTAGGATTGCTGCGTTAGGATCAGAACAGCTCAGTGTTGTTCCCTCTGGTGCTTGCTCGGGACATATGGATAGTCCCATCTCCTCGCGAAACCATAGTCTCTGATTGTCGCGATGCCACCCTATTGGTACTTTACCATCATACCATGATGTGTTGCATATGACCATGCTCCCGTCTCCTTGACTAGGAGCTGAGAAGAACCACTTCGATACGAAAGGCTGATCAAGCCGCGGGAAGTAGAACTTGACCGGTCCTGTCTGGGAAGCCCATGACCAGCTCGAGAATTGTGTGCTACACTCCTTTGATTCTCTGATATGGTTCCCCGGTGAAATGCGCGGAGTGGAAGAGAACCAAAACAACGCGTCCGGAAGGAATTGCGGTGGAATCCCTTGACACGAGCTCACATTAATGTCCTTATGAGGACTTGACGCGTAAAAGCGGTTGAACATCCCCGCAAAAGCATTGAGCCGATCGTCCTGCCGGGTGGATTTGCGGCACAGAAAATTATACGTAATGGCTTTGTAGTCCGAGAGGTTAAGCGGGCGACTTGAATCGCCCAAGTATCGATATGGCGATATAGTTGTATCCCCCCATTGGTTATACCAATGTGCAGTTCCCAGCCTGACTGATATTCGTGGCGCATAATCTTCCAGTGCGTAGCCTTCTCGCCAGTGCGTATCTTGGCTACAAGCAAAGAACGCTTCTTGCTCTGTGAAATACAGACAGCGCTGCGATAGACATTGTTCCTGGTATGTCCATGCACGAGTGGCCCAACAGCTCTCCTTGATGGTCTCAACCAAGGAAGGACGAGTGATCGCTAGATCGATGGGTCCTTGTTTTCCAACAGCGTGATAGATTTTCTCGAACGGTTGATCCTTTCGAGGTGTTACTCCAGGTAGTCCGGCATCTGCATCCGCACCCGCAGCGGCCACAATTGTAAGAGCGGCACATTCGTAGATGTGATTCATGCCATGAATTAGGCGTTTCTTTTCATCCAGATCGTCTTGAACAATGTAAAGTGCATCCACCCACAAATATCTGTAGCCTAGGTCTCGGGTAAGTTGTATAGCATCTCGGAGCGTTCGAGAAATCCTCTTGCCGGTTGTTCGAGTATGTGTTGCCTGGTCCAGAGCTCGAAATTTGCATAAGATAGAAAGATTCCGCTTCGTAGTACGAAGTGCGAATGGATCAGTGCCTCCCCACACATACGACAGGGCAAGGTAATCGCATGGGTCCGTTACTGAGGCAAGACATTCGTCGTAAACGTCAATGAGCCGGAAACCGAGGCCAGAGAACAAAATTGTCCTAAGAGTATGAACGGACTCTTGTGCGTGGCTATGGCTTTGGCAAGCACGTAGCCACTGCCGCAAGAGGCTGATTTCCACAGTGCTTTTTATTGGCCTTCGTGAACCAAACGGCCTTTGAGACAGTTGTTTGTGGTCTTCAGTACCAGTGACACCCATGTTATGGATTTGCGGAACGAGATCCACTTCTGCAAGAACGAATCTTAAATTCTTGTGAACTCCGTGACTGTAAGACTGCTTCGATTGACGATCTGTAGGTTTTGCATCCGTTCCCAGCAGGATGCGTGTTCGGACTGATTCAGGGCCCGTATAACTGTCACAGCTGTGGAACCAAGGATGACTTCTGATGAACAATGAGACAGCATTGGCGTTGGGCATGGTACACCTTTGGGTTGATTTGTTCGTGCGTTTGTGAGCAAGGCGGAGACACCTTAATATCAGCTGACAAAAGGTGCAACTAGTGTTTTCATGGTTGTGCCAGAAACCGATACTTTTCTCTCTCGATGCCGCTTGGAACATGGCTAGTATGTCCAACTCTGAGCAGTTTTCGCAAAGTCGGCCTACCGGAAGTCCATTTAATGTTGAAGGGTGAATAGTGGAACGTAGGCGTCTCTTCGTTGACATCAATTCTCTCTTTTCATCCCAGCCTGAAAAGGGTCGCTTGAGCGAAGTCCTATTAGGAGCCATTAAGGGTGCGCAAATTCTGCTTAAGAGTGAAGTAGAAATACAAGAATAAGCGCAAAAAATAATTCGAACGCAGAGGCCTGAAGAATAGGTTGTTGGGAGAAAGATGTAGGTTTCGGGGTGAGTTTACAAGGCTGCCTTGTGCTGACAGTGTGGCCGGGGTTGTGTGGAGCAGTCTGCACTTCGCCACAACGCCATTGTGGCTTCTGAGTGAACTTCAGTTCATGAAATGTCGCAACCTATAGGATTGTCGATTGATATCCGATTAACGAACTCTACTGTAACTTGGGATTAGCGCAAGGCGAATGGCGGTTGATAAGCGCCTATCCCTTGTCGCTTGTAGGCAGGATGCCTAGTTTTCAGATGTACGTCTCTCCAAGTTGGGTAGGACCCTCGGTCTAGTTCCTGGGGTTTGAGGCCGAGGTGCCGCGTAAGCACTGCTTATTCCCTGCACCCATCGTCAACTTGGGGCTCTGTTACTATGCCAACGCTATCTGGATCGATAGATCTTAAAACACTGAAGTGTTTGTGGACAAAATCTTCACCCAGCCAAGCCGGAATCATATTAGTAAGTTTACGAATATTTTGTGAAACTCATGGTTGACAGGTCAAACTGAGCCGATAGAGTTGTCGCAACATTTGAAGAAAAAGGAACAACCAGTTTCAGAGATAACACGGGGTAAGATGGGAGGCCATACGAACAATGCTCAATGAGCAGTCGTCTCCCGAAAAAATTGCGTGGTGCATCATAGCTATATGCCAGACTCATAGGTCGTAAATTTCTTTAAATGGCTACAAAACATTACTGATTGAGAATCGTGAAAGGAACCCATTCATGCTTTTGCACGCCTCGACTTATTTGTCGAGCACGTCTTTTATCTTCTTTTTCGTCGTGTAGGCGGTACGCCACTGAAATTGCTTCAGAAGTTGCTTACGCAACAGCCGTGGAAGGGATAACACGGAGATCGTCCTGGCAAGTAAGTGCGTAGTTGAACGCGGAGCAGACACCACGGACGGGCTCGGTACCGGAGATGGTAACGGTCTCGTTGTTGCTGTTCTTGACATTCTGCTTCAGGGTGAGGGCTAAAGGAGTCAGCATTGGTGTCTAATGGTTTGATCAGGGAGAAATGCAGCTTGTACTTACACCTATCCGGGCCAGAGCTAGTCTCAAAGCTGAGGCTCGTGTCGTTGCAGCCGTGATATGCGGGGTCCTTCTCGTACGTGCACAGGATGGGCCAGGGCTGCTCGCTGTACTTGACGCGGATGGTCTGACTCTCGGAGTTGTATTGCGAGTTGGTCAGGTTGTAGAAATGGACATCCCAGTAGCCGAGGCCGTTGTTGGGGGGCTCGGGGAACGTCTGAGAGTTGATGTAGATGTTGGTGATCTCGACGCTGCCGGAGCCGGAGCAGCCGCGGCCATTGCCACCAAGACCGCACTTCTCGCTGGTGTTGAAGTCGGTGCCAGTGCCGGACAAGTGCACATTCTCGCCCTGGAGAGTGGTGTTATAGTTGACGGTGCCAACTGGTTGAGGATTAGATATGGACGTTGACAGAGCATGTGACACCGAACTTACGGTTCTCGAAGTAACCCCAGTCAAGCTGGAAGCCGTCGTCGCACGTGGTGACGCCGTACTCGTTCTCCTTGTCGGCAGGGTCTTTCTTCCAGGTGCACTTGATGTTGGCGTTCGTCTTGGAGTAAACAATGTCAAAGTCAATCGACTTGAAGCCGTTGGCAGCCGAGGAGCTGTAGGTGGTGAAGTTCAAGAAGCCGAGATCGCCGGTGAAGTCGGTGAGATCGGGGGGAGAAGCGGTGGCCGAGGCGGCAGCAGGAGCCGGGGCGGCGACGGCCATGGCCGACGACATGAGAGCGAGAGCGACAGAGTTGAGCATTATGAATGATTTAGCGAAGGACTCGGAGGGATTCTGAGCGAGGGACTTGTGGGTGTGGGTGTGTGGTGTCTCTTCATGGCGGCCGACGTCTTTTCCATATATATAGGCGGGCTTGGGATGTCCGGTAAAGACCAGGATAGCTGCAGGATGCTAAATTTGGGTAGCGCACTTGACTCGGGAGGTGTGGTGGCCACCGTCCACGAAAAATCTGGTTGCCGTGCGCCGAGTGGGGACACCACGATATCGCGGCCATGAGTTGTTCGCGTACCTTGCAGCTCCAATCTAAAACTGCCGTGTTCACTGCCCCTGCTTTGGAAGTAGGCCCGAGGCGGCTCGTACTCGCCCGCCTGCTAAGCTAGGTATCGTCCTTAGCAATTGGCCCAGATGTTCGCCCAAAGCCTCGACGTTGCAATGCGCTACGCCATCGAGTTCAATGCGCTGCAGTTACAATGGTGCACTGATGCCACACTCGTTTTCTTCTCTCGCGATCGCGCCACTCGGCACCCAGTTAGCACCGCCGTTTCACGCGCTGTCAGTGCCTCTGATACGAAGTCAACGGCGGAGGATTAAGCTTGCTGGCGCCTCCTGCCCCGCTTTGCAGGCTCTAGCGAGACGTACATCCGTCTTCTCCGGCCTCCGCAAGCCATTCCTCCACAGCCACATCAACAATGACGTTCGTCCCGACTGTCCCCGAGGATGTCGCGCGCCATCTATCGTAACGTTGAAAAAGGTGTCGGCCGAGAGCATGGTGGAAGCGTCGAGAATGAACTTGACATCAATCATGGACGCCATTGCTCCATGACGAGGTGGTTGTCGCGCTAACTGTGTCGATATCCGTCGGGCGATTTTAATGTCAACTAGAGTATCAACCGCATGGTAAGTATAACATCCGTCACTGTCAAGTGAAAATGGCACGAAACGTCTTTACGATGTTTTTAATTCAGGCATCTCAATGTCTTAAATATCAGAACTGACTTACGTCTATTATGAAATCTAAGCCCTTGTCATAACTTTATGTTACTGTGTTTTCTCGAGAGCTCAAAAAGTCCAATACAAATTCATTCTAAATGGTTTTCCTTCGACTCATTGGCGATCAAAAATTAGGTTCACCAAAACATAGTCCAAGCTTGTACACCTACCGCTTTAGGAACACCCTCCTTACCCCGTGGCCAGACGGAGGGCGAAGATAAAATCGAGTCGGCTTGGATCCTTCGTCCAAATTATGAGCAAGTTCCCGAACTTGTACCTTGTTGTCAATATGTTGGATTATTGCTTGTCTCAACAGCATGCTGGAAGATTCGCCTTAACATCCTTGTCTTCCGTGATATCGACACAGCGACGACAAATGCCGAACATCATCTCCACTCCCTGCCGGATTCAATATCACATCCCCCGCGTTCTCATCCCAGCACGATCACAGAATGACCCACGCCGCTGTTTCCTTCATGCCACCGTCACCTCGTCCAACCGCCTGCTCTTTTAGCCATCGCTGCAACCCAGCAACGACATCGACTCGAAAGCCTACAACATTTGTTCTCATGGGATTCGACAATCATACGAAGTGAGCGAGAATCTGTCGAAGAAACTCGCATCAAGAATTTATCTAGCAAGCAACCATCTTCCATAGGGAATCAACCATGAACCTTACCAAGACAAAAACAAAATGATTGTCCGATGAGACCTCGTCTCACCGTCTCACGTCAGACCTGCTCGTGGAGGTGTTTTGTCCGACCGCGAAGTAGATCAGAACGTCACCCTCGCTCGCCTGCGCACAACATCATCACAACCAGCAGCCACCAAGCCTATTTCGACCTCTAGCGAGAAATGCATCGTCCTTCCGACAGGATCGGATCGCGCCTGCCGAGTTCTGCATTTCGGCCGTTGCTGGAGCCGAGGCCGAAGCGCAATCCGAGCGCAGCTCTATCAAAGCTCAAACGACGCCATGCCCACAAACACTATCCACAACCAGACTAGACGTCTGTAAAAATAGACGTGAGTGCTTTTGCAAAGTCCGTTTTGCAGTTTGTGTTTCTGTCAGTTTGCCGGTTTCCTCGCGTGTTTGGCAGGTTTCGCCACTCAACCCGGTTCCTTCGCACTTCCTCCTCCAAGCAAAAGATATATCCACCACTTTTGTAACTATTTAAAATAAATGATTTTAAAAAGCAAAAAGAACTCTCCGACGGGGAATCGAACCCCGGTCTCCCGCGCTTGAAACTAGACAGCTAATGACAAGCGGAAATCATCACCACTAGACCATCGAAGATGTAGATACTTAATATCTGATGGTTGAAAGAAGTTTGGAAACTACAGTAAATATAGTGTATATTTTTAAAGGAAGAAGAAGTCACCTACTATATGTTCTATTATTTGCGACTCGCGATGATTATGCTAGATCGTGGGATAAGCATGCAAACCTAGCCGTAGGTTGTGGAAAGACTAAAGCCCACTGTAGCTGCTGCTACTTATGTAAGTTCACGTTATATTGATCCTCTGCCAAACAACGGATTATACCAACACGAAGATGTGTCTAATCTTATTATAATGTATCTAATCTTATTATAATGTATCTAAATAGCCAATGTCTGTTTCTATGTACTGTGTGTAAAGGGATACTCCTACTTGAAAAGGGCTTCTGCGGCTACAGATAAATATATCTTACTAGCTTTATGCTTTCAGCAAAACCTCTAAATCTGGTGTCGCTTTCGACTTACAAACATGTCCGCAGAAAGTCGTGAAAGTAAGAACTGACACTAGCAGGCGATGACTTTGAGAAAAACAACTGCGATACAACTATCTTCAACTACATGCGAGGTTATAAACTTATAAAAAACCGGGCATGACCTATCCAGCCAGTTCCTGTTGATTGGAGCCAGTTTGCAACTGCATGAATGGCTCCGTGTGTAGCCGGGACGAACTTGTCTGTAACATAGACAGGTCTTCTTGCGTAGCTATCAAGTCTCACGTCAGTACGGACTGACTTAGGTCCTGTCTAATTAACACTTGGTGTTTACCGCAGGTCTGCGTTATTCCACGTCTTCTTTGCATTGAATGTTATTTTATCTTTTGTCTACTCTTTTACCGGCCATTACCTTAAAACTACTATACCCACCGAGTGATCCTTAGGTAGTTAGAAATAAAGATTTAACATTTTACTAAGGCAGTGCTAGATAGCCATGCTTGATTAACGGATAAGAGAGGGTGCAAGGTGCCATATATATGAAAAATAATATATAATGGGTACGGCAAGACTTATCGGAATATGAGGGCACGAATATACAAAAGCATAAGAGTACCCAGGGACAGTTTAAGATAGATATATACGATGGCACAAAAGTATCTTAAGAGGTTACGGAAACAGAAAGATGCGACGGTACGAAAGTGTCCGAAAAGGCACGAGTGTGCCGATATATAAGAGTACGAAAGTGCAAAGTTAAAAGAGCAATGAAAGTACTTTAGCTATACAGGTGTGATATTACGTAGAATGGAAACTTTTCCGGTCCTTGAATCGGAATTACTTCAAGGCGTGGAACACACAAAGGGAGATGTGAAAAGTAGACATGACCGAACGTAAAAACCATAACGCTATGCATATGCATATAACCTACCATCCAACGCCTCATTATGTAAGCGTATACTAGCACTGATATTCCAGTACCTCAAACGCCCACTTTAGTGTCGCGCTCATATCCAACCAATATGGTAATTCTTACTTCTTTCCCTCATCCAAATCCACCTTCATTTCCTCACCTGGCCCCAAACGCGCGACTCTTGTCTCATTTCCCAAGCTCTTCTTCACCTCCTCCACATTAAACTTGCTTACCTTCAGCATCCTCACGCTCACTCCCCTATTGTCCTTCTCTTCGTCGTGCGCGCTCAGCCAGCACCGCGCCATCAGCTTGCTTGCGATTTCCACACCACCTGGCTTTCCTGCCGCAATATTGCCGCCCAGATACCAGGGATTATCGACGCGATCGAAGGAGTGCACGAGTGTCGTGAGCGGCAGCGCGCCGGTCGAGACGAGGTGTGATGACGCATAGGGCGCGATGACGGAGTAGGGTACGCCATGTGGGGAATAGAGGAGAGAGAGGGTGCGCTCGCCCTCAATTTGTGGCGTTTGGGGTTGGTTTGGGCTGGACGGTGGGGAGAGGGTGAACGGTGCAGATATTCTAGTGCCAGGTGTAGTAATTGTGCTTTGCGGAGCGTCGTGAGAGCGGACGAGCCTGGCGTCGGTCGTAGTGGGCGATTGGGAGTGCGACGGCGACGGAAATGGAGATTCTGGTGGACTTGGTGGTAGGTTGATATAAGTATGCCTGACTGGACTCAGAACACTGCTAGGGGCGCGGTAGGTGATCCCGACAGCACTATGCAGACCACTAATATCGCGCTTAACAGGCATATACGCCACGGTGATCTCTCCCGACAAGCCGGATGACGAGAATGCAGGGATCTCGAGTCGGAAGAGGCAGGTATCGTCGGTGGCAGAGTAGGGCTTCATGGTATGGATGTTCTCAGCGTGCTCGAAGTGGTTCCACTTCCGTATCTTCTTTGCCGCAGCCGGCGCAGCGAGAATGATGGAGCGAGCATTTGAAGGCAGCGTCCGTAGCGTCGCTTCGTGGCAGTGATCCGGCTTGTCCTGGGAGATGATGATCAAATCCGGCTCAGGGAGGTCGGCGAGAGAAGAGACGCAGGAGGCAGTGTTGTGCCATGATATCGAGAATTTGGGACTTAGAATCTGCGAGGGCCCCGAAAGCCATGGGTCGATGAGGACGGTGAAGGATCCGGGAAATTGGGCGGCCGAAGGAGCATCAGGCGCACACGAAGGACTGAAAGTGGCAAGGAAAGAAGTGTCGGCGTTGAGAGCTTTGATGGTCAGCATGGTGGTGATGTGGCGTGAGAGGTCATGGCACGGGATCAAGAGACGACAGGAGCGGTATGGAGAGAGAGTCGGAGCGCGGCATGGTGTTAGCGAGCATCAAGCAATCAATAGCATTGAGGGAGAGAGCATGCCGTGCACGCTCAAGCTCGACGTTTCAATCGACGCATGGAGGAGCAAGTGCAACCGAGGGCGTCGACGACGATCGGAGCGGGCGGCGGCCGGAGCAGTGGCACGAGTGGTAGGTGGTACCGGTAGGGAGCAGTAGCAGCGAGCAAAAGGATTGGCCTTTTGCGAGTGGAAGAATGCAGAGTGCAGAATGCAGCATGCAGCATGCTTCATCGGTCGGTTCGCGTGGAGGAGGAGGAGAAAGCTGACAGACTGTCAGGCCGCCGTAGCATTTTCTCAGGCTGCCTTGGCCGGACCCTGGTCGTTTTTTTTTTTTTTTTTTCTGAAATTGCCTGTGCTGTGCTGCTGGAGGCCGAGGAAGGAAAAAGGCCCAATCACGCCCGGGATTCTCTCGTCGCTTTTTCTTCACAAAATAGCTTGTGAGCTGGCCGGGCTGGGCTTGTTGCTTGCTTCTGCCGCCACTGCTGATGCTGATCTTGCCATGTGCCATATGCGTGCCCGAGCTGTAGGCCCGCAGCATGCCCGCGCGCCCATAGCTCCAGCTCCTCGCACAGCTCCCGCCCCCAGCTCCGAATAGCCCGTGAGCCCGTCCGTCCCCTACCTCTTACGCGATCGGGCCCGGGCGACGGGCTGAGTGAAAAAAGTGCTCTAAACTGCCACTAAGCACGCAGTTTTTTTCACTCTGACAACTGCCCGACCAATCATCGCGGCACCATCTTCTGAGAGCTCCCAGAGCTTGCCAAAGCCTCTCCGTCGGCAAAAGATGGAACCCTGCCTTTGCAACCAACACATCCCCGCACACGCTGAAAAGCCCCTCCTCGACAGCTTCCCAAGCTCCCCTACCTCCAGAGTCCGCTTCCTGTGAGCTGCTCGGCGCTCCCTTCGCCTGCACCTGTCCCATTGATCGCCAGTCCGCTGCGAGCTCCCTCCTCTGCTGCCTCCCGCGCTCCCGGCCTTGCTGCCCCCATCCGCTGCATGAAGCTATCATGCCACCCCCTCGCTCTTTGACAAACTCCTTCTCCGTGTCGGACAGCACCAACGAGGTCGTCTGTCCCCTGCGGAATCAGGATGGATCCAGCTGTCGCAAGCGCTGCCTCGGCGTGAGTCCTCTCACTCCTGCATAGCTCCTCCTTCCCCTGCTCCTCGTCCTTTTCGCACCACGTCCCGATCAGAGCTCGAGGAGTAACATGCCTTCTTTCGTCGATTGCAGGAGAAGCGATTCCGCTCTATGCAGGAGCATATTCGTCGAGCGCACCCCGAGCACTACATCTCCAAGCTCCCCGCCACCGAGGAGAGCTTCATTCTGATGGTCAACACCCCACCATCGGAGCGCCCTCCCCCGCCGCCGCCTCCGAATGTCGCCCCACAACCCCAGACAGCTGGTGCGTTCGCAGGCTATACCGGTATGACTGCGTGGGGACAATGTCTGACTGCATCAGGCTACGGACACGAAGTTAGTGTCTACTATGGTGACGAGATAACGCCGCGATCTTCAGATGAGATGCGCCGGGGCTCCCTGCTGCCGGCTGCCAGTGCCGCTGCAGCCCTGGCGCAATTGCACAACCATCGACCGGAGTACGACTGGGATTCTGAGCAGGTAAGCGATTTAACAACGCAACCATGGCTCAAGCTTCGAGCCGCACGGGCCTCGACCGCTCCGTCTTGCGCCTCCAGGGCAGCTGAAGCAGCTATCCATGTCGCTGTCTTCCTTTTGCAAAAGAGCTCGGCGCATGCTAACTGCTGCTTCTGCAGGACTTATCCGACCCAGAGAGAAAGCCCAAGGCACGCTTCGCGGTCGATCCACAGCTCATGGGAGAGGGAGAATATGCATACGGAAACACTTCCACTCATCACGACTTGCTGCCCTCGTCTCTCGCTCGATCTCCCCCTGGCCGCTCGTCCACCCTCCCGCCTGGGTCGCGCAGCAGCAAATCTCGTTCTCGCAAGAACTCCGTCACCCATAATGCTCGCAGACCCAAACATGAAAGACAGAGATCCAAGGAACACACTAGAAAGATAAGTCGAGATAGGAACGCATTCTCCGCCGAGCCTGCCAGCGCCGCAGCAGCCATCTATGGCAAGCGTTGGGAGGATCTGATAGACGCAGCGGCATCGGCCACTGAAGAAGATAGCCGAGACTTGACACCGGTAAGGCGCGACTTATGCACGACGTTGGCAAGTACACCCAGCTCATAAGCTCCAGATCCCCGGATCCCCACACATCGTGAACCGCGCGTCACTGCCTCCGTATGTCACCTCGCAGTTTCAGTCGTATCACGCATCGCCACTGCAGCAGACGCTCACTCCACCTCCGCCCGATCACAGCGGCTTCGAGCCTTTCCCGTCTGTCGAATCCAGCATCGAATCAACACAATCCGGACAGAACTTCCACATGGGATCGCAAGGCTTGTCGGACAGCTCTCCCACGTACGGGCAGACGGTGCAGATCTACTGCGCGGCGTGCCGGCGGTTGGCGCTCCTGCGCTCCAGCTACGCCTGCACAGAGTGCATATGCGGGCTCTGCCAAGACTGCGTCGACGTGCTGAGCAGCGAGCAGAACCGCGGCAGAGGCCGGTGCCCCAAGTGCGGCAGCATCGGCGGCAAGTTCAAGCCCTTCCAGCTGGACGTACGGTAAAGCTGCACGCGCGCGCGCCCGAGGCCGATGCGAGCCTCTTTCTCACATTTCAGCCCCTAACGACAATTTCCTGGATAACCTTTACGAGTTGATCACGGCCACGGGGCCTGGTGGGTATACCCTAGATTCAGCGCAGCTTTGCCCTGCGATTCGGCGTTTGTTCTTCTTCATTGTGTGTGTGTTCCCATCCACTTTCCTTTTCCGGACAGATTGGACGTTTGCGTAACCCTTTGCTTGTTGCGCGTTTTGCTTTTGCTATACCTAGAACACCACTGGCATTGTACGGGGAGTCGATGCGTTTTTTTGCTTCTGATCTTTGGTTTTTTTTTTTTTTTTTTTTTTTTGTTTTTTTTAAGCGTGCGCAGACCAGGCTTAATTTTGCTGGTTTCGGTTTTTACTAACAATCCTCCATCATTTGCTTGTGTATATAAAAATGATGGAGGATTGAAACCTTGGCTTTTTTTTGGTCGGTCATTTCTCGGGTCTAGGGATTAATTCTGGAGTCGGCATAGACGGTGTTGGTTGCAATAGGGGGTTAAGGGAGGGGTTCGGGATCAATCAGTCAACTGGCATCACTCAGGCGGGGCTTCCTGCGCCTCTGCCTCGGCAATACGAACACTTACGGGCGGTACGGGCGTGTACCAGTCCCGTTATTTTCTGGGCTTCTTGAAACTCGGTCTTTTTTGCTTTCGGAGACGTGCTATTACCTACCACGTGAAATTCGTCACCTGAACCGGTGGTGTCGCCCGCCGACACTCTTTCGCCGTCCAACCTGAAATCCACCCAAGATACCTTACTGACCCACGTGATCAGTCCATCTCCTGTACTCATTCAAAATGCTACCTCTCTTACTCCGCAACCTCCGCCGCTGCCTGCACGGGTGCCGCCTGCGGCGTCCCCGCACGCGGTGGCCCTCCCCGTGGGGGCGGCCCGGCCTTTGGCGGCGGCGGAATCGAGCCCGGCCGCGAGCCGCCGCCGGCGCCGTAGTCGAGCTCGCGGCTCTTCTGCTCGCCCTCCTTGAAGTACTCATCGATGCCGGCCGAGGGGGCGAGGGCGTGGTGGGCGCGGGTCTTGCGCGGCTTGTGGGCGACTGGGGCAACAGCAGCAGCGGTGGAAGCGGTTGGGGGCGGTGGGACGCCCGCCGCGCCGGGAGTGTGCTGCGGGGGCGGGGGCGTGGGCATGTTTGCCGGGACGAAGAAGTTGGTCGAGGAGGGCGAGACGGCGGTGGCGGCCATGGTCGCGGGCGGCGCTGCGGCCATGCTGCTCGCTTCGAAGAGCGTCTCGCCTGGTCCGGCGGGCGGCTCGTCCAGTGGTGGCGGGAGCCGGTGCAGCGCTCCGAAGCCGAGGATGCAGCCTAGGGCGCCGGTGCCGCCCCAGTTCCGGGAGGGCGTGATGGTGATGGGACGCGTGATGTTGTATTCGTGGTTGTAGACGAAGAGCCGGAGCGGACGGTTGAGGTACTGTGGGTTTGTTAGTGGGGTTGGTTTGAGAGAGGTGTGGGATGTTGGATATTTATCAGGTGTGTGGTTAACGCAGAATGGATTAGAAAACAAAGTATAGAGGACACTTTTAAGGAAATGGACGGAGATGGGAAAAGGTAGTGCGGGAAATGGGATTTGAAACTCACGTCTTCGATCAGCTCTCCAAGACCCGATTCGCCTCGTACAAGACCTTCAGGGCTACCAATCACATAGTCGCCGTAAGGAAGAAGGCCGGCGAGGTCAGCTGGCGAGTTGGGCTGGACGTCAAGGATGTGCCAGACATCTTCAGTGACAGCCAAAGGCGTCCACTGGAGCGACAGGCCGAGGGACGGGTTTTCCGCCGGGATGGGCACATATAGCTCGCGGATGCGGTGGCCCTTTGCGCTCCAGATGCCAAGGCTGATGGTAGTGCCGGCGCAGTTGCGGACTTCGGTTGCGAAGAGCGCCGGGTCGGGGTTGTCCTGGTGGAGTATGATTAGGCGTTTTCTTGGAGTGAGTTTGACAAAGGTGCGACGTACTATTGTCCTGCCATTGATGCCGATTATGAAGTCGAACCAAGGCTCAATAGCTAGCTCAAGGTTGGTGTTGCGCAGGATCTGGAAGCCGTGGGCGCCGCCGAGGCCCTGTTCCTCCTCTTGCGGCGGGGCAGCGTCGAGCCGCGAGATGAACTTGTTTAACGCTCCGAACATGTCGTTGTGTTGGGGTGTCTTGGACAGTGACCGGCGCGGCACGTGGAAGCGTCGTCGTGTCTTGTCCGCAAGGCCCCAGGCCCCTGGTCTCGCATCTCGGTGGTCAGAGCTTCCATCGCCAACGGTCAAAAGCACCAGGGCCTCCGCCTTGCAGCTTCCCCAGCAAGATCACCTTTTCTTGTGCTCACGCATGGGAAACGCCGAGTCACAGCCGTCTGAGCGCGACATGATGCCCGCTGACGATCCCGCCGAAATTGGCGACGTGGAGCCCCATGTCTATCGCTACGAGAGCATCGAAGAAGTTCCCAAGGAAATTCAAAAGTGAGTCCGCCAATGTTTGTCTTGGAGCATTTGACTAAACTTATGAAGGTACTGGCATCAGAGATACGATATCTTTTCCAAATACGATGAAGGCGTCTATTTGACCCACGATGCCTGGTTTGGCATCACCCCAGAGTCCGTCGCACAGTAAGTTCCCGATGCAAACCGTGTGGTAGCGCCTTGACTAATGACATAACCCAGCTCAATCGCACAGCACATGGCCACAGCAACACCTGATGGCAAAACTAAGCTTATCGATGCGTTCGCTGGAGCTGGCGGCAACACCATCGCGTTTGCGCTCTCTGGCCGCTGGGAGCAAATCTTTGCTATTGAGAAAGACCCGGAAGCGCTAGCATGTGCAAAGCATAACGCTGAAATTTATGGCGTTGCAAAGAAGATCTGGTGGATTGAAGGAGACTGTCTTGACGTTATTCCCTCCCGCTTCGGCAGCATGAAGGACACTGTCATATTTGCCAGTCCACCTTGGGGTGGTAAGTGAATTTGACCAGCTGCTGTGCGGATTATTCTGACGACCACGTAGGCCCAGGCTACAGAGACGACCAAATTTTTAACGTCGAAACGATGCAGCCATACGGCTTAAAGCAGCTGTACAATGCCTACTCGAAAGTTTCTAAGGAGGTTGCCCTTTATCTTCCTCGGACATCGAACTTGAACCAACTGGCCAAATATGTGCCAGATGACCAGAAGATCCAGGTTGCACACTACTGCATTGATGGTGCCAGCAAGGTTGGTTTCCCCTAAGATCTATGCTTACCAAACATGTCTAACGTTCTAACAGGCTCTGTGTGCTTACTACGGCAACTTCGGCGTGATAGATAACCAAAACATTCCATCATGAGAGCGTCTATTATGATGTCTTGCTCGAATATGCGCATCTTATATTGAACCGGCCTAACTAAGCCATACCACCGAAAACTGGATGCATTATGGCCCAGTAAGATAACTTTGGACACCAGGTACAAATGAACTAGTTCCATTTGGACAGTGACCCAGAGTCTTTGGATAGTCTGCCTACCCTTTTCCAACCATTCTGCCTACCACAAATTGCACCAAACCTGCACAGACATATAGCTTACGCTGATGTCTTTCCGCTTTCGAGCTCTCGTACATACCCTTTTATCGCCCGGTCCTCGCCTCTATTCTATAATCTCTAAAAATGGCTACCTAGCAATACCAAAACATTGTGTTAAGCTGCGTATAACTACCGAAGGAAAACTCAATACGAGCAGTTCTAGTTAGGTAGTTAAGAAGAGGGAAGAATAATCAAAAGACGTAGGCAATTTGTCCCGGGATCTGGCGACCTGACGGGAAACGTATGCATCTAAGTCGATTCTTCGATAGTACAACCACATCAATGCTATCTCTCCATATGTACTCTACCTTTGTCAAGAAGAGTCTTCTACGACAACATAGCTATTGGGCGAACATGTACAACGCGGCGAAGGAGCGATTTTTTCGGCGATCACCCAGTAAGAAACTAAGATTGAAATAAAACCCGTCTTTCAGCTTGATAGCACTACGCGATTTGCTTGTTAATAAATGTGGTGAAGCAAACCTACCTATCAAGTGAAAGCCACGTGACTAGCTGCGTCAGTCTTGGCATCCGGGGTCTGCGGCTCCGACGTAGATCGTCACTCTCCACCTACACAACTCTACGTCCGCTATTCGACGTCCGCGACGCGGCCATCTTACTCACGCACGCCCGATCGCGGGAGCCCCGGACTTTCCACTGTCGCCGGAACGCGCAGAAGACAGTGGTCCCAAATCTGACGACTTTGCTGGCCGGCCGATGCTGGCGCGCTCATTTGGTGGCGCCCCTCTGGAGTGAGGTTTCACTTGTCCATGCTGACCTGCGCCCACGCGCAACAGTACTGTTATTCGATTAGATATCCCAGAAAAGGGACATTATGCCTCACGCAGTCGACGAACAAGCGGCGCAGGATGACGAGCTCATCGGCCAGCTGCTGGCCGCTGGCGAGACCGGCGACAACCCGCTCGAAGGCCTGCTCAATGTGTCCTTTGACCAAGAAGCCAAGGCGGATGATGCGATAGATTATGAAGATATTAGCGACGATGACCTGGCCGAGGAGGAGCAGCAGGCGGAAACGGGTCACGGTTTAAATGGAGACGCCGTTGGCGACGATGAGGCTGATGGTGAATTCGAGGGCTTGTTCTCAGAAGCTTTTGCGGAGACTCAGGCTGCCGAGGAGCCAGCAGAAGGCGAACCAGGAGACCAAGCGGACCCGAATTTTGATGATCTATTCGGCGAAGCTCCGTCGTCGCCAACCGAAGAGCAATCTCAGGACATCAACGGTGCACGCGCTCCGGAACATATTGCTGGTCTTCCAGCCATGAACGGTATTGACCGCCTTGATCATGCACCGAAATTTAAAGAAGAGCCTGTTTCTCCAGAGATGCAGAGGAGTCCTGAGAGTCCGCGAAGAACCACGGAGAAAGAGGTTACTTATGGAGGCACAGAGGAAGGACAGGAGGATGAAGAGATGGACGAGGAAACAAGGATGCAAATGGAACTCTTTGCTCAATCCCGGAAAGTCCAAGAAGCGCGCAAGGGTGGAGTAGTCAGTGACATACCGCCTGCGCTGCAGACAGATGACGATGTCTTCCAAGCTGTCTGGCCTCGCTTTGAGTCTGCTGAAAACCCGCGTTTCTTCGAATTGCTACCGATCAGGCGTGCGTACTATATCGCAAAGACCCCCTTGAAACCGCCGAAGCCCGTTCAGCCGACCAAGGTCAACCTGGACTTACAGCAGGATCAAGAGAAAGCTTTCAGGCTACCTACAGCGGCGGTTCCGGCACGCAAAGGTCGCCAGGCCGAAACCGATCAGAGAGGAGTCGTTCCGGTCACGGAAGGAGATGCAGGGGAAGAGAGCAGTGATGATGAGGTAATGCTGGACCAGTTTCACGAGGATGAGACCATTGGCGGAGTTACCTGGCAGGATTTGCAGATACTCTGTGACAATTGGGACATCCCTACTCCAGAGAGCATGTCTGGCGTGGAGGACATGCAAATCACCGGGACGGGTGATGAAACCTCGTTCCTCGACGACTGGGACCTCGAAAGCAAAGCGCGTCCAACAAAGAAGAGGAGAATATCCGGACCTGGTCATAGCTTCCCTGTTTTCCAGGACACTTTTCCACTCTTGGAGGATCCGGAGGATGCGACTGCCAAGATCGCCAGGAAAATCGCTCTCAATCTCAACGACCCACAGCTCCTTATCGACATCCAGCAACCAGACACCGTGCAAAAGAAGCCTCGAGCCCAGGATTTCCGCCGCGATGTCAGCGGCAGCCTTACCAAGTCTCTTTTCAACAAATACAACATCTCCAATGACCAGGATTACGATTTGCTGAAACAGAACCATCGCGACAAAGTTCGAAACATCACGAACAACAATACCCTCGAGCACAGCTTGCCCGCTGTCAAGCTTCAATACCCCTTCTACAAAGTACAGCTCACATCCAGGGAGGCCCGCTCTTTCCACAGGCCCATGTTCACGTTCGTGCCCAATCAACGGATTACATTCAACAAGCCCAACTACGTTAAAAAGAAGAAGCAGTACAAAGGACAGGATCCCAAGACGGTGTACACCAGGGCAGAGCATCTCTCCTTGGCAGACAACTCGAACATGGTGTTGTTAGAATATTCCGAGGAGTATCCTACGATGATGTCTAACTTTGGTATGTGCAACCGACTGGTCAACTACTACCGCCGAAAGGAGAACGATGATCCTTCCAACAAACCGAAACTTGAGATTGGAGAGAATCAGATGTTATATCCTGAAGATCAGAGTCCCTTTGCCATCTTCGGTGATGTTGAGCCAGGACAAACGGTGCCTACCGTGACAAACGCCATGTACCGTGCGCCTGTATTTGCTCACAACACTAAGCCCACGGATTTCTTGGTTATCCGTAATACCACTGGAACAAACGGCTCTCAATGGTTCATTCGGAACGTGGAGAACCTCTTCGTCGTAGGCCAGCAGTTTCCCTTGGTCCAAGTGCCGGGTACGCATTCGAGAAAAGTCACGGAAGCCGGTAAAAGGCGACTAAAGATGATCTCCTACCGTATCTACGCTCGGAATATGGCCCAGAAAGCTAAAGGTCCGACTCTAAGCAATGACATGATCAAGGAGCACCTGCCTGGCAGCGACGTCGCGCAGAACCGTGGTAAGATGAGGGAGTTTATGGTTTACGAGAAGGAGACCCAATCATGGAGGCCGAGGCCTGGCGAGCCTATTCCCGACGAGAATACTATGCGTGGGTGGATCAAGCCGGAGGATATCTGCCTCATCGACTCAATGCAGGTTGGACGTCGCCATCTAGAAGATGCCGGTTACAACAAAGAAGGCGCTGAAGCAGAGGAAGAAGATGACGAGAAGGAGGGCCAGAGCCTCGAACAGCAGCTTGCGCCTTGGAACACCACTAAGAACTTCCTTGAAGCCAGCTCACGTAGAGCCATGCTTCAGCTTCATGGCGAAGGTGACCCTTCTGGTCGTGGTGAGGCTATCAGCATGATCAAGACTTCAATGAAAGGAGGCTTCAAACCAGTCGGAGAGTCCGTAAAGGACAAGCTTGATGCCAAGAGGTTAAAGGAGCTTGGAGGTCACAGTTACAACGTGGCAATTCAGCAGAAGGCTTATGACGAGGCTATAAAGAAGATCTGGGAAGCGCAAAAGGCCAGCTTGTCGTCGAATGTCGAACACTCAGATGTCGAAATGGATCCCGATGACGCGGAGGAGCCCGAAGCCTCGTTTGGTCGCGCCAGAACCCCGCAATCTCAGTACGGTACGCCTGCAGCATTTAGCCGCCGCGATGATGAGTCTGCTAGTCAGTTCAGTCGCTTCAGCGTTTCCAGCCAGAAAGGCAAGGTTCTGCGAATTGTTCGCAAGGCCCCTAACAAGTATGGCAAGATGGAAGCTCAGGAGGAGGTTGTCAACGACCCCAAGGTCATCCGGGAATACATGAAACGCAAGCGCGCTCAAGAACTCAGCTCCATGAACCTTGCAGATCTCAAGCCTACTGGTGATGAGGAGATGGATGCGCGGCAAAGAAAGAGGCATGATATGACCCTTACATCCATATGGCTTGGTCCTAATGCTGACATGATGATAGACTCTTGGAAGAATTGGCCCGTCTCGAACGCAACCGCGAGCGTCGCCATGTCCGTGAGAAGGCAAAGGGTCTGCACAGCAGCGCTTCACAAAATCCCGATTCGCCTTCCGCAGCCACTGGTGGGAAAGGCGTCAATACAACGCGTAGATGTGCCAACTGCGGCCAGGTTGGCCACATCAAAACCAACAAAAAGTGCGACAAATGCTCTCGTTGATCCTCCAACCCTGCCCCCTTTTTTTTTTTCGTTCGGGACATAAACGACCTTATATCTTGCTTATTCCCAGTTCATTCCCATATCTCATTTTCTTTGGCGTCAACCATTTTCAGCATTTTCTCGATTCTCCGACTTTTACGAAGCAGTTGGCTGACAACTGGTGCCTACAACAGACTTTGCCCGTTGCTCAACGGCTCTGCGAAGCAGGGCGACGGTATTGATGACGCAGCGTTTGGATCCCCGGTCGTTCCACCCTCGGCTGTGCCTCAGAGTTCGGGCGCTCCTCCTGCTTCCTCCCCATCCTAAAGACATCAGGTAATCGACAAACTCTTGGCCGTCGCAAGAGAAACGTTCTGTAGTCGGGTGGGTACGGTTTTTAGTTTCCCACAATAGTGTTTCGACCATTTGGGAGTGGGTTACGGCACACTCCCCCTTTCACTGCATCGCGGTGGCGTTTTTTTTTCTTCTTGCTGCTAGACCTCCCAAGTCTTCAACCACGAGCTCAAAGGAGCCGTGTTTCCCCTTGCGAGAGCACAGCAGGGAACAGAAAAGGCTTCGTGCTGGGCCTCACCTACTTTGGTCGCAAGGAGTGGTTTACGTCTGGACACTCTAGTCTGCGGCAATAACGGAGCTTTCTTTGCGCCAGATCCATCTCCGTGACGCGTGCCGTACTCTGTTTATTTATCATGGCTTCGATGGAGCGTGAAGCGTGAAGTGATGGAGCCAACCTGCCGATGATGACTGGCGGCGTGACTGTCCGTGAATGCTTTTCGAACTGGTCGAGACAGATGCGCGATTTCTGGTCACGAGGTGCCGCCCCCTCTCCATGTGAGCCAAGGCTAGCGCCACATCGGCCAGCACCTGAGGGGTGGAAGGCCTGACAAGTGACATGGCTACAGGCTACAGTTAGGTGTAAGACATCCCTTGGTTAGATGATCGGCGGATCCGCATTGCCGCATTGGGGCCTTGTGATAAGCAAGACCCTTATGCTATGGCGGGCGGAAATTGGTCGAGACGTGGCATGGCATGCGGGACAGCGGGCATCCAATAGACAAGATAGGGGAGTCGGGCTGAAAAGGGAAGGCAGCAAGTGCGGTGCTGGCTCACACGGGAAAGAGAAACGTGGAGGCAGCTATGAGGTAAGGGTAAGTAAACGACAACGGGGCACGAGCAAGGCCGGGGGAGCCAATGGAGCAAGAGATGACAGGTCCACAGAGGCCATGAGCTCGCGCTCGGGCGCCAAAGCAGTGCAGAAAGCGCTGCAGAGGGTTGTTGTGCCTCACAGGATTAGGTTTAGCGTTGAACGTCCAAGGGAAGTTGATGAAATCGATTGATTTTCCACGCTCCCGCGCTCAAAACCCTCGCCCCGCCCACCACACGCGCGGCGCATCCCCAGCTTGCCATTGCCTCCACACCAGCTTACCGCCACACCACCGCCCCGGATCCCCGTCCAAACCGCACGTTCAGCCCGTCAATCAAGAGCCCGGCTCCCGTTCTATCCATCCCACCGCATCCCGTTTTCCAACAGTCAATATGCCTCCCAAGAAGTCCTCTTCCGCGGCCTCCAAGAAGGCCCCCGCTGTCGCGCCCGGCCACGCCTCTTATGAAGGTAGATTGCACCACACCACCACGATACCTTGCGATCGCATTGCATCAGCCTTGCTCTCCGTTCGATGCTGATTCGGCCATTGTAGCTATGATTACCGATGCTATCATCGCTGTAAGTCCACGTTCTCCGGCGCATTGCGGTCGCGTGTAAACGGCGCGACTCCCGGTCGCAACGTTGCACCATATCCACCAATCCACCTCTCCATCGAGGCCCGCGCCCGAATTCCAGCCTTGCTAACGTCGTCCTCTCCCTCATCAGCTCAAGGAGCGTTCTGGTAGCAGGTCCGTTTGCACCCCTTATGCGTTGTTGTTGCCTTAGCGCGCGGCGCGTTGTTTACCCCTAGTGCCCCACCGCTGACTTGTACTGCAGCCGTCAAGCCATCAAGAAGTACGTCAGGGCCAATAACAAGCTCAATGTCACCGATGCCGCTTTCAACAGCCACATCAACCGCGCTTTGAACAGCGGTGTCGAGAAAAACGTTTTTGACCAGCCCAAGGGTGAGTGACATTAAAGACGAAAATGGGACGTGCCGCTGCTCTCTTATATCAACTGTGATGGCGCACGTCCGATTTTCATCTGAAAAAAACCCCAATCGATTGAAATGGTTACTGAACACTAGATAGGTCCCTCCGGCCCCGTCAAGCTGAAGAAGAACGAGACCAAGGCCTCGCCTCCCGCGGCCAAGAAGGAGACTCCCAAGAAGGAAGCTGCCGCCGCCACCACCAAGGTACGATCTCGAAATGCGAGATTACGACGCGATTGTCTCTGACGTTTTTGCAACAGAAGACTACCGCAAAGACTGAAAAAGCCCCTGCCAAGAAGGCGGCCCCCAAGAAGGCCGCTCCCAAGAAGGCTGCCGAAACCAAGAAGGCTGCTCCTAAGAAGGCCGCCGAGACCAAGAAGGCGGCCCCCAAGAAGGCGGCTACTAAGAAGGCTGCTCCCGCTAAGCCTAAGGCTAACGCTGGTCGTCCCCGCAAGGCTGCTCCCGCTGTGCGTCAAATCTCTATTCCCAACCCCTAGCTAGTGTCCCCACACGACTGCTAACGCCATTGCAGGCCCCTGCCGTTGAGGACAAGCCTGCTACCGTTCTTGGAAAGACCAAGTCCGGTCGTATCACGAAGACGACGGCTCCCGTCGCCGCGGCCAAGCCTGCTGCGAAGCGGGCTGCTTCGACAAAGGCGGCTGCCGGCAAGAAGGGCACGCCGAAGAAGGCGACGCCCAAGAAAGCGGCCGCTTAAGGCGAGGCTAATGTTTTGGATTCCTTGCACCTCTTCACGACAGGTTTTTTGGTACGAAGCTTTGGGCGACGGCGTCAGGGAATCGAGGCGGGCGAGCAGATGTGTGATATCCTCGCGAGATGAGTTGTCATGACCGGGTCTCCTTTTGCGTATTGGGAGTTTTGGGGGGTTTCAGTGCTACTTTATTCTGGCGTTTCGCGAGGGCTTGGGGCGGGGCGGGCGGACGGGAGTCTTGCAGGCTGAAAGGTACCGTGGTAGAAAACGAAGAGTATTCTCATGCAACATGTTTCAGGACACGCAATAATAGGGCCGTGGTTTATTTTTACGCGCATCAACATTCGATTCGTTGGGCCGTATGCGAGGTGGAGACCTGGAGATGAGCCGGATTGGCACGGGCGACGTCAACGCCACACGACGGAAGGCACGGGACCAAGGCGAGGGGAGAGACGGCACCAATGCAGGGCGAGATGCGAGGTTGGGGGCAGCGCTCTCTCAGGATGCTCCACGTGGGTGCGGCATCATGGTCGTTGCCGCAGCCGCAGCGCAGCACAGCCTCGCGCTCAGGCCTGGCAATCAAAATAAGGATCTCGGCCAGGCTCCTCTCCGGCGAGGCGCGCTGCCCCCCGGCTCTTTGTCATCCACTTGCCCTGTCTTCTGCTCTCTCCTCGCGCGACGTCCAGCAAGCGAATATCTCCTCGCCATCCAATTTGCTCTGTCCATTGTTTCCCACTTGTGATACCCCCCCAACTCGAGCTTGGCCCCTCGTTTGCCCTCCACCGGGAGCCGTTCAGATCCGTCGAATCGCTCACCCTCTCCACCGTGCGTCAAGCCGCAATCTAGTGACCCCGAACGACGACTGGCGTGCACCCCCCCCGACTGAGCTGCCGGCCAGCAGCGCACCCTCCTCAGCTTCTAGCAACCCCGTCGCCCATGCTCACCGACGAATGATCCTCACCTCCTGCATCCCCTCGACATGCCATCCTTCGTGGCCGACGACCCCGACCGTTCCGTCCACCACGCCATCTCCCCGTACTCCCACTACCCCTCGAGCAAGTCTCCGGTGATCAACGGCGACTCGATCAATGGGGAGGAAGTGAGACATCCCCGCGCCCTGCCCAACGGAACTGCGTCGTCGAGGCCTGGATACGGAGACGCGACCGCCGTGAGGTCACCCCTGCGCCAGCCCACCACCGGCTCAATGGAGGCCACTCGCAACTCGAGCAGCGAGACCCGGCGCACCCAGACAGACGGCTCCGACTCGGTCGCCAGGACTGCCACCAGGGACGACGGATACTTCGCTGCGGTGCAAAACGGAGTTTCCGAGGACGGCTGTCTGTCCTCCACCACTCACGTCAAACTGGAGTCGGTCGCAAACGCCGACGGTGCCGCGGCATCCAGAGTCATGTCGCCCACCTCCGTCTTCTCGGCTCCCAGCCCGTCCATGTATCAACGTGGAAGGAAGAACTCCACAGCCACCCAGGCGACCACTTCGAGTCTCACCGCACCCGACGGGTCTCTCCGTGTACCCGGGACGTCCCATAGGCTATCGTCACCGCCCGCCCCAGGGTATAACGCCCCGGGGGCTCCCGGTTCGTCATCGACTGCCTCCAACGCCGCCGCCGCCAACGCTCCTCGGCTGCAGCAACGTCACACTCTCGAGGTGCCCAAGGCTAACAACCCCCGCTCTTCCCGGGATGTTCCTCGCACGTCTGACGACGTCGTCACGGCTACCGGCAGATTCTCTCCTAATACCCCTACCAGGAGAAGAGGCTCCATGTCGCTTGTCAGGCGGCCGACGCGCTCCATGAACTCGGATGTCCATCTGGACGAGGTTCCGACGGACGAGGATGCTGCGAGATGGGCAGAGCACATCCGGCAAAAGCGAGCCAGCAAGCGTAAGAGGAGGGACGAGGAGGATGATGACAGGGTGGTTGTTGGTACCAAGGTGGACCAGAACCATGTCAACTGGGTGACGGCGTACAACATGTTGACCGGAATCCGCTTCACCGTCTCGAGGACAAATGCGAAGATGGACAGGGATCTTACCGACGCCGATTTTGAGGCCAAACACAAGTTCTCGTTCGATATGTGAGTTTCGCTCCGTCTCACCGCCATCTCCATCTTCGGTGCGCAGGAACTATGCTAATGACAACAGCACTGGCAATGAGTTGACACCATCGGCCAAGTATGATTTCAAGTTCAAGGACTACGCGCCTTGGGTCTTCCGGCATTTGCGCCAGACGTTCAAGATTGATCCGGCCGACTATCTCATGTCACTTACCAGCAAGTATATCCTCTCTGAACTGGGATCTCCAGGAAAGAGTGGCAGTTTTTTCTATTTCTCGAGGGACTACAAATACATCATCAAGACCATCCACCACGCCGAGCACAAGTTCCTCCGCCGGATATTGAAAGATTACTACAACCATGTCCGGGACAACCCGAACACCCTTCTCTCCCAGTTCTACGGACTTCATCGCGTAAAGATACCGTACGGACGCAAGATCCACTTTGTGGTTATGAACAACCTGTTCCCGCCGCATAGGGATATCCACCGGACCTTCGACCTTAAGGGTTCAACCATCGGACGGGACTTCAAGGAGGAGGATTTGGAGAAGAACCCCAGGGCCACTCTGAAGGATCTGAACTGGTTGAGGAGAAACCTCCATCTTGAGTTCGGGCCCGAGAAGAGGAACATGTTTGTCGAGCAGATGGAAAGGGACGTGAAGCTACTTCAGAAGCTGAAGATCATGGACTACTCTATGCTCGTGGGCATTCATGACCTTGAGCGGGGCAACGATGAGAATCTGCGCGACAAGACGCTGCAGGTTTTCCAACCGGGTGGCGACCAAGCGGAGGACCCTATGCCGAACTCGCTCATGCGGACACCGTCGAAGTTGGAAAACGCGCGGAAAGCGAAGGAGCTTCGGCAGATCATCAAAAACCAGAAGCCGGTGCCTATGGATCAGACCGCTGACAAGATGCCTGATGAGGTTCAGGACACGAAGAAGGATTTCTACTTCTATAGCGATGACGGCGGATTCCAAGCGACACACGAGGACAATTTGGCCGGCGAGGAGATCTATTACCTTGGCATCATTGATTGTTTGACACACGTGAGTCACTCAAATGAAGATCTACGTATCTTGAAACCCGACTAACAGCTTGCAGTACAGCTTCATCAAACGCGCCGAGCACTTCTTCAAGGGTCTTGCGAATACTGAATCTCAAATCTCCGCCATTCCTCCCGAACGCTACGGCGACCGCTTCGTCCGCTTCATCAGCGGCATCACGAAGACACGCGAGCGCGCGGAGCTAGAGAAACAGGAAAAGCAGGCCGGCGAGATTATTGACGACCCTAATCTGACTGGCGTCAACTTGCACCCCACCGACACCGACAACTCTGTCATTCAGAAGGCGGAGAAGCAAGCACAAAAGTCGATCAAAAAGGGCGCCAATGAGCACAATGTGCCGGAACGTGAGCTTCACGCCGTTCGGAGCCCGTCAGCTGAGAGGGGTGAGGTTGGCGGCAGCATACTGCCCATCGTAGAAGAGGCGGGCGAGTCCAACAGCGTCGGTAACCGAAGCAGGGACAGCGGCAGAAGTGGTGAGCATAGCCCCAACTTTTCATTGCCGTTGGGAAACACGCGGGAGATGCCGTTCAGGACGCCACCAACTCCACCAAAGGACAATGATGCTCGGCCGCCTACTCCCCCAAAGGATGAGCGGTACCTGCATATGCGAAGGGATGCTCCGCCGACCCCACCAAAGGAATACCACCACAGTAGAGACCATGACAAAAAGCTGCCCATGGCGCCGAACTTCGCTGATAGCTTCGCGAGAGGCCCAACCCACATGAAGCCGGTTGACATGGAGGAAGTTGTCAGGAAGGTCGACAGGCCCATGGTCAACTAAGTGAACGGTTGATCCGAGAAGCTCAAGCTGTCCTGAGCTCTAATTTGTGCTCATTACCATCAAACAGAGGCTGGTGAAGGGAGTCAAGTGAAGATATACACGTTGACTTCTTGCGTCCATCCACTGATACCATTCGTCGCGAGACGGAAAGAGAAAGCCACTCACTCAGATTTCCTTTGTCAAACCCCACTGTCGTGTTTTCCAAATTTCCTTTAGCGCGTCTATTTGCTTTCTTGCCGGGCTGGAGTTGCTATTGTCATATTACGTCTGCTTGTCGCCATTGTCGTCGCTGGCTCGACCCAGTCTCACCGTTTCCACTGCCCTCTCAGACCCACGAGCCACACCATAAGCCGCCACAGCTATCCCGAAATGGATAGTGTCACTGGAAGAGAATAGGCCAACGGATTACGGAGATGTAGGGCACTTATATGGCAGCAGATTTGGGTAGAGAACGGCCGGCCCGATGGGCTTGTTGCTTTTTTTCTCCTGTTCTCTTCGCACATAGAGAAGAAAGTTTGAGGGATCAAACGACAAGAGACATGAGCTTCATGCGCACGTCACACGCGAACCACACAAACTCCAGCACCGTTGCAAAATACCAGCAACACCAACCATACCACACCAGCCACACTATTATTTCCTATGTTCGTCGATTTTCTTGTCGTCGTTCAATCCCCCCAATCCCATCTTCGTCTACTTCTGATCCCTCATCTTCCCTCTCAACCTCCTCACCTTCTGCTGGTAGTTTGGTTTCACGCATGATACCACGGCGTTGCTTTCTTCTTCTTCTTCTTCTTCCCCTGTACATAATACGTAGGGGAAAACTTGTAGGGTCTTTCTTCCGCTTTGTGTTCGCTGCTTCTCAGAAACGGCGCTTTTGTTACTTTTGCTCTTTGCGTATCGATTTATTTTGCTTGGCTCCCTTTTTCCATGTCTTTCCTGTCGGTGTTTGTTATTTTTTTCGTCTTACCATTTTTCTTCTCGTTTTTTTCTCTCGTAGTGTCTCACGCTAGTTAGGTAGCGTAAAAGAAAGTGAAGGAATCATTTGCTCACATATTGTCTTTGTCATCTGCCGTCTAGTTGCACGTGCGGGGAGGTGAAGGAATCGAAGTGAGTCGAAGATGGCTGTTCGAACTATAAAATGCTCATTTCAGGTCTCGGTGCAGTGTCTTGTCTCGAGCGAGTGTGCGCCGAATCAATGTGGAGCTTTTTTTGTGCTGGGTGCTAACAATCCATGCCCATTGACAAATTCGCGGGCTGAGATCCTGGGGCGTAGACAAAGCCAAAGCCAAAGCCTCGGGGCTTTCTGGCAATCAAATCCATGCAACTGAAAGTGTACCGCAGTGAATAATCGCAGCAAAGCCTCCTCATTTGTACAAGTCCAGTATACACTTTTCTTCACCTTCATGTATAAGCTTCGTATAACGCCGGGCCTTTGACTGGTGGGTCCAGTCATGAAAGAAAAAAACATATTTATACAACTTTTCGATAGTGAACTTAGAACTTCTTCTCCAGAAGGAACTTGTTTATCTCTTTATGGTGCCAGCCCTGTTTAACCAGAGTCAGCATTTCCTTTGGCTGCAAGACGGACCAAATGCCCTACCTTCATGATAATATGTTGGTTGACCGGATTCACCTTGACGAGGTCTGGCGACAGGCCCAAGTGCTCGCACAGCTCTTTGCGCAGAGCCTCGGCATCACCGGAGACCCTGCGCACCTTGGTCTGGAGCAGGTTGCCGCCGCGCTTACGTATCGCATAGACGGGCAGCTCGCCCATCCGCGAGCGGGAGATGTGGTATGGCAGCTGGACGGGTTGGGCTTCGCCTGTGGGTTGGGCTTCGCCCGTGGGCTGGGCGTTGGCATCGGCGGGCGAGGTGGTGGAGGCGGTCTCTACTGAAGGGGCAGCTTGGCAGGATGTCAGAGCGATGGCGGGCTGTGAGGTGGAGGAAGCTTTCTTTGTACCTTCGTCTCTTAGCCTGGCGCATTGCGAGAAGCGGAGGAATTGGCTAGTCGCGGCGGGCCTGGGGGCGGCAAGCGGGCGGAAGAAGGGGAGGAGAGGGCGCGCAAAAGACATGGCGATGTTTTCGTGGGGATCGACGCGCAGTTTAATGTTCTATGTACTAGGTATGTAGGATGCAGTTCAACTACGTCGAGTCGGCCATCGGCGGTTGGTTCAAGCGAGGCGAGGCCTGGCGCGGAATTTTGAACAGACCCCCACACACCACCGTCAACACATCACGGTCGCGCCGACACTCGCAGCATCCGCTCTAGCACGCAAGCCCCCCGAAGACCCCGAGCACGATCCGCCATGGCCGACGCAACCGGAGATGTCGCGGCAGAGTACGACCTGCTGCCCACCATGATCCCCAACCTGGATCGTCACCTGGTCTTCCCTTTGATCCAGTTCGTCGCCGGCCCGGAGGAGGAGCAGAGCGAGCAGGACAAGAAGCTCAAGTATGAGCTGCTGAAGCCGACCAACATGACCGACTACGTCGGCAGCCTGCACGCCGACATCAACGGCCTGGCCGATCCTGCGCCCGAGTTCGCCGACAAGCGCGAGGAGGTGCTGAAGAAGCGGGAGCAGTTCGAGGAGGACACCAGCAAGATCCTGAGCCTGTTGGACGATGAGAGCGTCGTCAACAACCTGCGCAGCGACAAGGTTGCCAACTTGAACTACCTCAAGGACAACCACGGCGTCACCAACGAGATGGTCGACGCGCTGTACGACTTCGGCCAGTTCCAGTACAGCTGCGGTGACTACGACCGCGCCTCCGAGCTGCTCTACAGGTTCAGGGTTCTGTCGACCGACAACGACAAGTGCGCCGACGCCACCTGGGGCAAGCTGGCCAGCAACATTCTCACCACCGACTGGGAGACCGCTATGGAGGAGGTGCAGAAGGTCAAGGACAACATCGACGCCAGGCTGTTCAACAACCCGCTCGCGCAACTCAACCACCGCACCTGGCTCATCCACTGGTCGCTCTTCCCCTTCTTCAACCACGAGCCCGCTCGCGACACTCTCACCGAGCTGTTCTTCTCGCCCGCCTACATCAACACCATCCAGACCGCCTGCCCTTGGGTCCTCCGCTACCTGACTGCCGCCGTCATCACGAACCGCACCCGCAGCCGGACCTCGAACCAGTACCAGAGGCAGCTGAAGGACCTCATCCGCATCGTCAAGCAGGAGGGCTACGAGTACCACGATCCTCTGACCGACTTTGTCAAGGCGCTGTACATCGACTTTGACTTTGAGGAGGCGCAGAAGAAGCTCGGCGAGACCGAGGAGGTCCTGAGGAGGGATTTCTTCCTTGCCGCGGCGGCCGATGCTTTCGTCGACTCCGCCAGGCATTTGATCTCCGAGTCGTACTGCAAGATCCACCAGAGGATAGACATCAAGTGAGTTTTCATGACGGTCGTTGCTCTAGGGCACACGAGCTGACTGCACATTTAGGGACCTTTCTGCTCGCCTTGGCCTGAGCCAGGACGAGGGTGAGAAGTGGATCGTCAACCTCATCCGCGACACGCGCGTCGACGCGAAGATCGATTACCAGGCCGGCACCGTCGTCATGAACCACCCGCCGCAGTCTGTATACCAGCAGGTGATTGAGCGCACCAAGGGTGGCTTCTTCAGGACGCAGGTCCTCAGCGCTGCCGTCGCGAAGTGAGGGGCGGTTTCTCTTTGAGCATTGGGGAGATGTTGGGTCATGGTTATCCGGCGTCGAGGCGCTCTCGATGATATTCCTGGGCTGGTCTTTGCACGCAGCGAGGCCGCAAAAGTTTGAGACGGGGCGGATAACGAGGAAAGACGGAGAGCCGGCCGTTCGAGGTTGAGCATGTTTATGTGACATAAAGCCCCGCTTGGAAGCGGGGTCTTCAGGCAACGGAGGGTTTCTGGCAGTGCATTTGCATGAACCAACGTGTTTCACGAGCAGTTGCACGTAGAGTGTTTTAGAAAAGAATCAGACGCCGTTCATGACGAGTCTTTGCCGAAGTGTTGATGTGGAGAGAGCGATGCGAGCGGATACGATGGGGTATCGGTATCAGATAGATGTGCAGACTTTCGCGATTTGCAGCCTGAGGCCTCGAGGCGATGCTTTGGGTGGAGCAACCTTGTCACGGGCCGGAGAATTGGAAACGCCTAAACATCCTTGTCGGACCTGGTCCAACACTCAAATCGGAAACCGACCCATCGCCAGTCAAACCAAACCCTCCAAAAAAGCTCGCGGAAATCGTCATCCTGCGGTCTGCGGCGCCCATCAGAATGACGGGCGAATCAAGAAAGCGCAAGGCTCCTGCGGAAGCGAATTCGTCATTTGGCAAGAGAGGCAAAGTCTGTCAACACGAAACTCTATCAGTCATGTGTCATGTTGAGCCCGCGCGCTGACCGAGTGCGCGCAGAAGGGCGGCAAGAAGCAATGGAAGACGCAGCGGCAGCAGGACAAGCTCGCGTCCGCGCAATCCCGCAGCATCGACCCAGGCGACTCGGGCATCTGGGCGACGTGCAACATGGGCCGAGAGGCCAAGGCCGTGTCTGAGCTGAGAATGTGTTTCGAAGAGGTGCGTATGCGTCGTCTTTCCTCGCCCGAGCGCGCCGCTGGCTTGCATCTCAGCAAGCAGCCACTAATACTGCTTTCTGCAGTACGTCGACAAGATGTATGGCGCACGCCAAAGTGAGGCTGAGGCCGAAGGTGACGCGTCCGAGGACGAGGGCGGCGACATCGAGGCCGAGATCAAGAAAGAGATTGAGGGCATCAAGAAGCCGACCAAAGAGCGCTTGTTCCAGCATGTGCGTGTGGATACCGATTGCAGTCAGTGCCACCAGTTATGCATTTTCCTGTTGCTTCGCCGCAGGCCGCTGATGGGAGTTCAGTCATGTTCTTCAAGACCAAAGCGCCAATTGATCCCGTCGAGCTGGTTCGGCGCATCTGCGAGGACGCGATGGCTAGCACGCAGCTCAAGACCAGCCGGTTCATTAAGCGACTGACGCCCATGACGCTGATGGGCAAAGCCACCGAAAAGAGCCTAGAAGAGGTGGCTGCTCAGGTGCTTGCGCCACATTTTCACGGCGAAGCCAACATGGGGAAGAAGGTACGTGGGGCCCATATCAGATGATATCAGGTTCCTTGCACGAATCTGCGCTGCTCCCCCAACGCAGACGTGAGCCTTTAGGCCTCGCGCGTCGGAGACACGACCTGTAGTACCGTGGCGTGCTCGCTAACCATTTCCCGCCTCAGTTTGCTATCCGGCCCAACATTCGCAACCATAAGATGATGACGAGAGACCAAGTCATCAAGTCGATTGCGGCGGCCGTGGGACCGGGGCATAGCGTCGACTTGAAGGATTACGATTTGCTGATCCTTGTTGATATTTACAAGGTAGGTAGAGGGCGCTGCTGACAGACCCGTCACTCACTTTTTTTTTT